GCTTTTTAAAAAGGGAAAATTATTACATGAATGATAGTTTGCTTCAAAATAAAAACATGAAATCAACTTTTTAGTGAGACAGTGTCCTCTCTAAAGAAGCTGATGAAAAATCATTGAAATACTAATAAAAATGGATGATGTTGCTTGGTGGTTTCAGAATATTAAGTTAGGATCGGATCAGAAGCTTTTTTCATATTCTGCTTAATGACTGAAGTGGAATTTTAAAGGTGCCAGTCTGAACCTCCACTCTCAGACAACTTAATTTAAAATTCAAGGTCCCAAATCCCAGTGTTGTTGGCTTTTCTGCCTGCAGAGCTTTAAGTCAAACCTCAGGACGGCTGTCTTATTTTCCAAGAGTCTCCAATCCTTCTCAGCTCTGTCATGACTCAGCGAAGATTCTGTGTATTCAACTGACATTGCTGTTTGTTTTGTTTTGCTCAGTCATGCCCCCTGTCCAGTCAACGCCAATTCAATTAAAGCTTTTCAGGAACAAGCAAAACAGTACTGCGAAATTGTGTCATGACGCTGGACTGTGAAATCCTCTTATTGTCATTTCTGTCTGCCTGCTACCTTTCATTCTGCTCATGCACAAGCAGAGAAATAGAGATTACTGAGCGCACAGACCTGAGAGGAGCAACCATGGGATATAATTCAGAGGTTTACAACTTTTGGGGTTAGTCGGATGTAGGGCGAGATAAATCAAATGTGATTCAGCAGACCTTTACCGAAACCTATTTTTGTTGTGGGCTGTTACAGGTGCTCTGCAGTGATACCCTATCAGATCCAGAAAGGAGACTGATTGCACTCCCTATAAAAGCAGCCTGCAAATATTTGTTTCAGTCACATGCTTAAGAAGTGTTTAGCTCCGCTCACGTCACATACGGTCCAGCGGTGAACTCAGCAGTCTGCAGAGACAATAGATATTCCAGAGTATTTTTAGTCTCTCAGTCGATCATCTGATCCTGCCTCTGTGGCCCAGTGATTACTATTGATCCCAAAAAGGCAGCAAATACATGCAGGCTTAGTTTGTGTGTGTGCGAGAGAGAGGGCAAACATACAGTAGAGCGCTGTAATGTGTGTGAAAAGCAGACTATTAAGCTGCTGCGCTTGTTTGCTCGGGAGAGGTTTCTACATGGAGTCTGCAGACAGTTTGACACCAGAGGTTCTCCTTTTGATAACTACACAAAGACACAGTCGGCGATGTAAACAAATGTTGGATACAGACAGACACCTTTAGGTCTCAGGGAGAGGAAAAGAAAGCTGCTGTTTTACATGCACAAAAGAAAGAAGTCGTTATTTCATAGACTTAGGGATGGGAATTGATAAGATTTTATCTATTGATGCCATTATCGATTCAATTCTTTTACGATTTCCTTATTGATGCCTTTCTTTGATTTAAAAAAAGTAGACTATATGTTTTCACAGTTAACTCTAAATTTTATCGAGTCTCTGATAACAGTAGTCCAAAAATAATCAAACAACAAACTATTTGTACAACGTTTACTTGAGTCGGTATTAAGTCAAATTAGGGTGACCATAATCTGGATCCCCAAAAAGAGGACATTACTAAACAGGAGGTAGAGTCGCGCACACAATTTCAAGGGTTTTTTAGGTCGGGTCGAGCGTTTTTGACGCACTTCCAACTCAGTTAGTCCAAGTCTGGCATGCCTTGTGCTTATGTTAACACAGGACATACGTACTTTCCATGCTGTTGCTGGGACGGAGCAGCAGTGGCTGATGACCGGAAGAAAGGAATCATTAAGGGAATCGTTAAGATGAAATATAAACAATGTCAATGGATTGAACCATTTGGAACCGGTTCTCAACAAGAACCGGTCCTTAATTCCCATCTCTACATAGACTCGAAGTAGAAGAAGGAACTTAAAGACATGCCTGTGCATCTGTGTTTGTATTACTGAAGGCGTATCGACTAAAGCCAGTTAATTATCTTCTAGCTTTCCAGTAATAAGCTTTCTAAGTTTAGGCCTTTGGTTCTTCCTACTCATGCAAATGATGATTCAAGGGGCACAAGGGGAGGAGGAAGTGTTTGTATTCCCCCATCTTCAAGGTCTCCTCATGAGCATAATAATGTTACTCAGGCTCTCACACTGGGATAATGCCCGACTCCCATTCTGCCTAATGAAAATAAACAAATGTGTGCATGCCTAATCCCTTTAATTTGGGTGGTGGGGAAGAAATTAAAAACAGGGGAATGTAAATCACTGCCAGGTTTTATTTCTGGTATTATTTTACATCTGAGTTCCCCGGGTGATGCTGGGAGATCTTAATTTGTTGTAACTGAATTATACAGAGAAGTTTTTCTGGAAAGGAGGAGGAGGAGAAGGAGGAGTCATTTTGTAAGGACTTTCAAGCAAAAAAAAAAGAAAAAGAAAAGATAACTTCTGTGTCTGGACTGAAGCCTTTGAAGCCTCCCTGCAGCTCCTAAAGCTGTGATGTCTCTTTAATGTTCCTGTGAAAGGCAGCAGATACAAGTTTAGGGAAAATAGTATCACATCAGACTTAAAAGAGAGAAGAAAAGAGCCGAGACATGTTTTTGAAGACGGATACCTGGTAAAATACTGTCTGTGGACGATGTAGAAACTTTTCTCCAAACCTCAGAGGGGAATTGTGCTCTTTTCACTGAATAAGTGTTAAATTCATTTAAAAGGGATATTTAAGAAACTGCTGTCAGAAACAAGACGCTAGGCTTGTCCTTGTGTGAAACCATAATTGTTAACACCCTTATTTAATTTTTTCAATAAAATATTAAATGCAAAAACAGTTCCAGCAACTTCCAGTGAAAGTTTGATCTCATTCAAGACAATAAACGGGACATTAACTTGATGGAGTAATAAAAATAAACGTGTTAATGATGTGTTGATAAGTCGCCATGTCTCAGAATAACAAGCTTTCATAACCAATGACCAGGAACAGTAAGTTTTCAGCTTCAAGGAAAGCATCTTTATTCATGTGAGGATTAAATAATTTGAGTAAATACGCTTCAGAAACAACTGACAAAGTCATTATCAATTGTTTAAAAACATAATTTGACTCGCCCAGCCTGCAAAGAGTGTGTCTGATTAAAAAGGCAGATTGAATGTGTAGCATCTGCATCCAATTACGCTTGTGGTGTTGTTTCTATTTGATTCGTGCTTGCCTGCCAGCCAGCTGAAGCATCTTTCTCATTGTTACAAAACGCCCCCTAAAAATCCCTGCCATTTAGATTTCGAAGACGTGATGAGGACTCGCAACATCTTTGAGTACGACTCAGAGAAATCCAGCTGGAGTGGAAATATCCTGAGCTTTATAAAATGAACATCTCACTTTAGTTACTCAAAATGCAGAACAAAAAATGAACGAAATAACAAGCAACAAAAAGAGAAAAGTCCAAAAGGCAAAATCTAGAAAAATCACTGGAACAACTGGGGACACAAGCAAATGAAACGAGCAACAGGTGAGGCAGATGAGACACAGGTGAAACTCGTTAGTGATTAACGAAGGAGGGAAAACTAGGGAAGTAAAAGCAGAGGAATCAACTACTACAAAATAAAACAGGAAATAAACACTGAAACTGATCTTAAGAATAAAACAGAGAACAGGAGGGAAACAGGGTCAAACGCAAACTGAAAACTCACGAGACTGGACTAGAGGGGAACAGGAACACTAGGGAAAATACACAAAATGCACTAATGTAACAAAACCAGGAGAAAACTAAATGAACGGAACATATGACAACTTTTCCGTACTGCTTCTTTTCAAAGAGGACTTCATGGTTTAAAAACATCCAAGTATCAATCAAAAGGGCAGATTAGTCGACCTGCTAAATTCTGTGATATTCGACTTCTGCAGCGAAGGAAATCAAGCAGTGGAAATATGCCTCTGCTGTTTCTGCTGCTGCAGTCAGGCTGTCAATGTTTCCCTCGGCTCTGCCCACTGGATCTGTCTCCAATATGCACTTCGTTTAAAAACAAGCCTTTTCACTTCTTATTCAGGGAGCTGTGGATGGCAGGTAAACAAACCCTAAGAGTACATTTTGTTACTATCGTTCTAGGTTGAGCTGAGGTGTCACTTCCACGGCCCACAGCCATTTTGCCCACATTGGTATATTGGGTGTCAAAAAAAATAAATAAATAAAAGTAAAACCAACAAAACCAACTTTGATTTATTGATTTATTTTGACACCAAACATACCGATATGGGCAAAATGACATCTGCTCCTGTCGTAAATTTCGGCATTGGTAAATTTTTGGATTATCGCCCAGCCCTATTTAAATATATGTATATATTTTTGTGCACCAGGCTGTGAACATGTTCCTTTTTAATCTGGAGTCCACAGAAACTTTCGAGGGATCTCACGAAACCATGTGGAGCTTGCAGCTCAGCTCATACTGATGAAATGAGGTTGTAGCTCCTGATCGACCTTAATGTGGTTGCAAAGACGTATCGGCTCTGTCAGAGCATTAATAAGCTGACGAGCCACGGACCCCAGGAGGCTATTTTTCTAACTTTACCCAATTAAATCTGTGAAAATCTCCAAATTTTCCAAGGTCAGTTACAAGCAGAGTACAACCTTCTCGAGGCCCTTACCAAAATTAAATTCAATAACACTCGAGAGAGAGAGAGCGTGTACGCAGCTGAAGTGTGCACTTTTTCGTTTCCCTGTGTCTGTGATCTGGAGAATGAAACTGAATGAAATGGTTTTGTGCGACCTCGTTAAAGTTCCCCTTAAGGGCTCAGAGTTCTAGAGTACAGATGTGCAAGCTTCAAGTGGACACTGAAGGAGCTGCGTTTTCTTGGTTTCACGTCTCACGACCAAAACAGTGCAGCAAAAATACAAAATAAAACAAATCACTGCATGTCCGGAGTGATGGGAATAAATGCTCTTCGTCCGTCTCAGTAATGAGCACAGATTCTTGTTGCCTCAAGGAAGAGTCATGACTAGTTTAAGTAGTGAGAAAAACACATTTAATAATGAATTCAATTATTTCATTCTTTGGTGGACTGACGGTTTTAAAATTCATTTCCAGCTAACCCTCCCACGAAAACTGCTCAGGGATATGCTGCGTCCAAGCACATGTGAACGTGTTGAACAGTAAAAAACAGAACACAGCAGTAACAGAACATACTGGCTCATTTAACCGGGCTGAGTACGCCCACACAGGACTGAAATACTGTAACAGCACACCTACAGTGAAACGCATAAAGAGTAATTACATGGAACTCAACTGAATTCAAAACAAACACCTTCTTCAACGCAGCACTGGAGTTAGTCTTTTGTAGCTGTGAAGGTCATATGAACATTAATCTACACACACGAACCAGATCAACAAGGTGTACACAGTTCAAAACAATCAATATATGAATAAATACTCAATAAATACATAAATAAAGCCGAGTTTCTCAGTAAGCAAACAGCAGCTGATTGTGAATTTACAGGAACCTCCTCTGAAGATGTACAGGAAGGTTTCATAACCACCGTAAGGAAGGAGGGACGTAAACGACGAACACTGACCTGTAAACAGATGTCACGGCTTCATTACAATCATGCAAACGCTCTCGATAGCATTCATTTGTAGGGGTGGGGGCGGTGCAGGTGTTTGGTCTTCGCTCTCTTTGAAAGTCCGACCCGCAGCGGCCTTGTGCACGTTTGCAGAGGCTCAAGTCTCCGGGAAGGTTCAGGAGGTTCTGCGCCCAAAAGACACAGTAAGTAATATCATGACTAAATCGAACACACCACAAGACTTCATATCCTACATTATGCAGCAGGTAAGAATTTATTCAGGGCCAAAGCCCCGCAGAATTGTCCGGCTATGTTTTCAGTTCATGGCTGCAAAATAGTCACAGTGGAGGAAAAAAAAAATGGAGCTGGAACCTTTTCATAATCCGCCAAACATTACCATACTCTTTTCTATGTGCAGACTGAATAGCCCCTCTATTAGACTGATCTCTTTTCTCATGCAGACAAGGTGAATGCATTGCATCTCAAGGTAGGTAGGTAGTTAGACCGACTCTTAAATATTCAGAGGCCAGCCCACTTCAGTCCCAGTAGACTCACTTTAGTTCATGATTCAGTGGAGGCCAAGAAAACGAGAAGACAAAAGAAAATCTGAAATGGAATAAATTGTCTCTTGGAGTCTTCTCTGTTTCCTTTCCACCAAAATCTACTTTAAATTATTTTTCTTTTCTCAGATTAATGTAAATTTCAGCAAAGATCTCGTATGTAACTCACTGTAGCTCAGTTCTTCCATGAAGGGCAGACACATGAAGGATGAAGACCACGTTTTCCTTTTAGGCTCCGTCTCCTGGGGCTCTGAAAGAAACAGTTCGACACAGTAAAAGAGGGACCGGCTAATTCTGTCTCATTTGATTCTCTGTTTACCCATAATAAGATTTATTTTTTCCTTCATGGCAGTGTTATCATTCCTCTGCAGTTTATTGAGGAAAGCTGAATAAATATTTAAACATTCATGAGAGGAGGCTCTGTCAACTTGGAAAGACAAATCAATAAAAGTAATTGTATTTTTCTACACTGAATTAACCTGGCTGACCTCTTAAAGTCTATCACCAACACTCTGGAAAAACAGCGTTAACCAGGCAAGACTGAGTAAAAACAAAGGAAGAAAAGTAAGCGCCAATTAAACGACTTTTATGTAATTTTTCCTCTTTCAAACGCTTTGAAGAAGTTTGAGACAATTACAGACTTTAAGTTTAGTTTCATCCTCGTTATCTGTGATGATTTCTGTTTTCAACTGAAAGTAAATTAAGCTTTTATGTGGGTGTTTTATTTTTTTTTTTCTTTCAGAAATTAACCACAAACCTCTGTGTTTCTCTGCAGCGTCCATAGAGACTTCCTGGCAGCTGCTAAGGGGAACCTCCTGCTCACCATCACCGCTGCCGTGGGTACGAGACACGATTTGATCACCACCACACAGGTCTAAGCTGTGGACCTCATCAGCATCCTCTAACAAACATAAACAGTGAAGTTAAAATGCATTCAAATAAAGAGAGTTGTCTTTTTTTATTTCAGATATCCACGATTTCAGATACTTGTGGTTCATTGAAGAAGATCTAAGACACACTAGCTGCGTTAAAATGAGCACAAATAATTGGGATAAAAAGCGTCATGTAAACATGCAGATTGGAAGATTCTGATCCAATTCGGCTTAATCGGAAAGTAATTGTATTCCAATCGAGAGGGCTGGTTTATGCCGATCGTTACTCCGAAACGTGTCCATGTAAACACCTATTCCGATCGTGACTCTCTACCCTGTCTGGATCTTCACTCTTTGTTTATTGAGGCCAGTACAGGAGGTTTCATTTTAACACTCTGGCATAAAACACAACTCCAGGTGTCGTGTCTGCTCCTACGGTAACATAACAAGGCGTACATACAGCGTAATGATGTCACATCTGCACGCACGGTGCAACCTTTGACAGAACAGTAAAATAAGTAAACAAGGGCGCCATCTAGTGACAACATTTAACAAAGGGAAAACTCCTGAATTGGATGGAGTGAGCCACTACCGTGTTTGTTGGTTTGTTGACAGCACAGGCGTAAATACAACTCTTCTTCTTCTGTGGTTGTTTAAGCGAAATCAGACAACTCTGCACATGTCCAAATGCTTCTAATCTGAATAAAACTTGGTGCATGTATATGCACCTCATGGTCGGATTATTTGATTTTGGGGCTTTTGGATTATTTGGTTCGGGGCATGTTGGTCATAATAAAACAATGACTGGTCCATAGACTACTTCTCCACAGACTAACTAAAACCTGGTCTTAACTGAGCTGTTATCTCATGCTGTTTAGAGGGTGCATCACTAACATTGTACAGAGACATGCAGATGGATTCAAACAGAGTATTTTCAATGGGACAATGGGCTTGGTGAGCTTTTGTGCCCTTGTCTCGGTACATCATGTTACTGTCTGACGCCTCTTCTATCTTTTCACCTCAGCGCTCCTTTAGACAAACACGCCAGCGCTCTGCAGCTCTAAGACTGACACCAACCTCTCTGACTCTTTCTAATGCACCAAAAATTGATGTAAACAAATGTTAAATCCTGTTTTCCTCTGATGTGAACATATGATTGTGTCTGATAATGTCTGCATGTTTTGGGATTTCGATAATCGATGCAGGTGAAGCTTTAACTGTCCGTTTTGAAAGGTAGTGGTGCAAATTTTAATACCTGTCTATTTTTCAAGGCTTTGAAACTCAAAGAAAGACATTTTATTGATTTCTTTTCAATCAGCATGGTGCAGGGATCCAGCAGTTTTCACTGGGTCAAAAGAGGAGCTTTTGAAAAAAAATACCCCTGTTCACATTCTTGTCTAGAGTGAAAGAAGAAAATCAATACTCTTCTCCAATCTGTTTGCTAAATTTAAGGCCACAGCTACCAGCAGATAAGCTGATTTTAGCTCTGACTCCGGAACCTTGGGCGAAAAGCCAATCTGTTTCCACCCAAAGCATAAAAAAGCAGACTAAATTTACCACGAGAGCTAAAAATACTACTAAATATTGAAATGAAACGAAAAATAAGGGGTTTGTCAGAAAGTGTTTGCCAGATTTTTTTTGTAGTAAAACAAACAATCACAAGAGACTCTCTGCAGGTGTATATCCTGAGGAGCTGCCTCAAGATTTTAGTTTCTGTTGTATTAACATAATCTACCTCAATCCTTATTGAGTTGTACACAGATACAAACACAAATATTCACTTCCTGTCTGCGACTGAATGAGTGAATATTAATTTTATGTTCTACTGTCGTGGTGAAGAAAGAGCTGAGCCGTAAGGCGAGACTCTCGATTTACCGGTCGATCTACGTGCCGACCCTCACCTATGGTCATGAACTTTGGGTAATGACCGAAAGAACAAGATTGCGGATACAAGCGGCCGAAATGGGTTTCCTTCGCAGGGTGGCCGGGCTCAGCCTTAGAGATAGGGTAAGGAGCTCGGACACTCGTGAGGCGCTCAGAGTAGAACCGCTGCTCCTCCACGTCGAGAGGAGTCAGCTGAGGTGGCTCGGGCATCTGGTTAGGATGCCTTATGGACGCCTCCCGTTAGAGGTGTTCTAGACATGTCCCACCGGGAGGAGATCTCGTAGCCAGCCCAGGACCAGGTGGAGGGGTTATATCTTTCGCCTGGCCTGTGAGCGCCTGAGAATCTGTCTGGGCTTCCCTCCTGAAGCTGCTGCCCCCGTGACCCGTACCCGGATGAAGTGGATGAAAACGACGACGACAAAGACTGTTATATTTTAGCAGTAGCGGTTGAAGTATAGTTACAGATAATACTTGTTAATATAATGAAAAATGAGTATTCTGGCTTTTATCCACTTTAGATGATGTCAACATAACCTCAATAATGTACAGAGAGATTTTAGGAGAGTACAAAGTATGCATGTACTCTGCATAGTTACAAAAGCTCTAAGTGTATCCTACTCGGTGAAAGTACGTCCTTATTGTCAGTTACCTGATGATGTGTCCTTTTCACATCCTCTGAGAGGATCTTTGGAATCTGAAGTGCCGCCGCTCTCCCCGGTTTCAGTTACATCACCGCCCTGCTCAGGTGAGGATTCTCCACTGTAGCTTGAAAACTCACTTCTACTGACGTCAAAAAACAAGTTCAACTCTTTCAGGACTTTGTTGAATTGTTTCTTCATCTCAAACTTGGGCGTGTTGTTCACATCGGAAGCTGATGTAACGTTTTGGGGCATTGGCCGTGGCTTTAACTCTTCCTGGAAGTCCTCAGAGGATTTACAGGCTGATTCACAGTTGGGCTTTTGCTCAGGCCAGCTGGGTGTGGGAACATCTGCTGCCGAGATAAAGTTTGAAAGTTCATCACAACTGTAATCACGGCTTGATAATCCATTCGCCATGTTGACAGTGTGACACTCAAATCTGTCCACATCCTCTTCATCCTCCTCTTCGTGCCCTTTGCTCTCTGCCTCTGGTAAGGGGTGGGAAAGCTGTTGCTGGGGTGTTTCAGGCAGAGGGCTGCTGCTCAGACCGGCATCATTAACGCCATCATATTCTTGTGAGAGTTGGATCTTTTCGAATGTGTCAAAAGCCAAATGGTCAAAGAAAGCAGAGACCGGGGAAAATCTGTCACTGCATGTGAAGGCTGTGGGGTTTTGTGAATGTCTCAATTCATGTGGACCTGGAACAACCGCATCACTAGAGGGAGGAAACGTGAAATCCAGAAGGTCATCTGTCTCCGGTCTGTTTTGGTAGTCAGAGTAACAACAGGGCTCCATTGATTGCTCCTGTTTACTGTTGAGGATTAATTTATCTCCATTTTGGCTCATGATAACCTCCGTCTGTTCGCTGACACACTCATCAGGTGAGGCCTCAGCCTCGTCTCCTTGCAGTTGATTGTTAATTAGTTCCACTAACATCTCAAAGCTACCATTAACATTAGTGTCTTCCTCTTCTTTGCTTTCATTTCCCTCTGTTGTCTCCTCCATTACTAGAATTGCAGCGCTGGACGGGTGATCACTCGAGCATTCAAGGTTATTCCCCGAATCCCCTCTGACACAGTTAGTTATCTCGCCCCCTGCCCACACGCTGATGAGATCGACGATAGACATTTCCATTGTGTCTTCTTCGCATTTTTCATCATTTTCTTCCTGTTTTCTCTCGATGTCCTTCGGGTTTTCTAATTTTCCATGCACATCACTTTTAATTTCTTCTTTTATTTCCGTTACTCCGTCTATATGCGCAATTTCAGCCCATAAAAGGTCCACCTCTTGTGTTAGCAGGTCATCTAAACTGGCAGGAAAACACTGCTCTTTCAAGAGAGTAGGGGATGCCTTTAGAGGACTAAATTGGCTGCTTCTGGGACTGCCTTCATTGTTAGCCTTGTTGTGTGTTTCCTTAACAAGCCATACTTGGCGTTCTTCTGTGTGTGTCCGACATAAGTCCTCTTTTTTGTCTTCTCTGCACCGGTCATCCTCTCTCGGGGACTGGATGTGAGGACGCAGAGGTGTCTCTCCCCCACAGATTTTTACAAATTGAGATAATTCCGTGCTCTCGGAGTTACAGCATGTCTCCTCAGCCTCCCTGTCCCTTTCGCTCCAGATTGCAGGGTCAATTACACCGAATGGGCCCGCATCATTATCTCCTTCAGCAGGCCCTTGACTGATTCTTGCAGGCATTGGAGTCTCTGTTGTGTGATCAGCCATTTCACTCTCGGTTTTGGCTATCATATTGCAAGCAGCATGGGCTCCATTTGCTCCACAGAAGTCATCAGCCTCAAGACTCGCCTTCTCTGTTCCAATATTTCCCACTAATACCATATCATAAGAAACAACTGACCCCTCAGCTCTCTCAGCAGCAGCAGAAGGGATGGAGTTTTCGCTCGTGCCATTCTCATTTACTCTGGCTTTTGTTTCTCCATCACAGACAGCAACATTTTCATTTTCACAAATCTGCATTTCTGTTATTTCTTGCTCATTTTTTACACCTTCTGTCACATCCCCAGAAGGATCCTCCTCAGGGTTTGAGCAGAATAAAGCATATTCTGCATAATCAATGGAAGACATGGGACCATTAGCCTCAGTCTTGCTCAAGAGTATGTTCTCACTCAACCTGTCTTCATCTCTCCTCTGATTGCACGCTTCTCCTTCAGCACATGTGTGAGAGAAACCTGTGGCACGATGCGAACCTTCAAAAGTGCAATCAGACAGACACCTGACCTCCTCATCACTTGAGCCGAGGCTGAATGCTTGGATTTGACTGACACTATTTTGCACCTGTCTCCCATCTTTGTCATCTCCAGCAGGAAGATTGCAACCACCAGGGGGCTTGTCTTCGAGTGATTTCCCCAGACGGTTACAATCAGGCTGACTGGACGAGTCAGCACCGGCGTCTTTTGAAGTGTGAGACTCTGCTAATGCCCCACCTGCATCATCTGGTGGGTATGAGCTGAGCTTGTCAGTTTCATTAGCTGGAGGCTGCTCATCTTTCACCGGAAGGACACTCCTTTCAGGAGCAATAAAACAGGCGTTAGGTGATCCTGCGTTTGCTTCGTCATCGTGTGGAGAAGTCCGCTTAATTGGAATGACAACTGGCACTGTGTCTTGCAGCTGCTTTTCAGTTTTCCTATATTCAGGATCCCCGTTTCCTGCTGTATATTCGAGGCCAGGATTCTTTGTTGATGGTTGAATGACAATGGTTTTTCCAAAAGTCAAAAGCATTGGAAAGTTAAACTTGTTTTCGCCACTGAGGTTATTTGACGTTGGGCTATCTGTCCTGAGCCGTTTTGGTGAGAGTGGTGATTTGAGCTCGCTCTCAGTTTGTGCATCAGGATCATCTTGTGTGATTTTTTCCATTTTCTCCTCTTTTCTAAACCTGTAAGAGAAATGTTTTTGGTTTAAATGCGGCATCTAAAAAAAACACACTGCTCTGATCAATAAGTGCTACTTTTATCCAAAATGAGAGAATATTTCTCAGGATTTACCACGTTCAAAAAATCTCAGCATTGACCAAAGGCTATAATCAGGATTTGACAGTGGGACTGTTTCACTCGCATCTGCGACTAAAAATAGATGTGTGCAAATTGTAAAATAGATTTAGGGTAACATGTGCGCATAAAAAGAATCAGCCGGGGCAACAGATGTTTTTTCATGTAAATATCGCGGTGAAGTTAGTTTTAGGTTGGATATTTGACGGACATTCTCTGCGGGTCTACCGGTGTCTTCTCACTCTCTGTAACCGGAATTGGCAACAGCAGCGCGGTTAAATCTACTCGGCACCCTCGCTGTCAACGTCGAGTGTTGATTAAGGGACCAGCAATAAATTACCAGTTGATGTTCTCAAAAAAGGCTGTTTTCCTTTAAAGCTTTCATGTCACGTGACCAACTGACCTAAAATTGATTTCAAATAATAGTACTAAGGTCGGACAATAAGACACACTTCTTTATTTCTCTAATTTGTCCTCTAAAACTTTCTGTGTTAAATTTAAAGGCAAATTTTGAGTTTTCTTTAATAGCTTCCATTACATGTGACCAATTGACCTAAAATTGATTTCGTACTTATGGTTGACACTTTTGGTCGACATAAGTACGAATAATTGTACTTATGTCGACCAATAAGACACACATTATTTGATCAGTTTTTATTGTGCCCCTAAAGTTCTTTGTGTGCTCCTTGTGAAAAAAGTTAGTGTCAAGCCCTGGGTTAAGACTATGATCAATCAGCAGCTGATCTGACCTGATCTGATCCATGAAGAGCTTCAATAACTCACCGTATAACAAACTTGCTGTTCAAAACATGTAGGAGGTATCCCCCTTTTTGACCTATGGAGAAAAAACAGAAGACAGCAAATTCAGTGAGAGATTTTTTTTTGTCAGAGCAGATTACCGCAAACGGCATGATGCTGATTCACTGTATAGCATAAAGACACATCTCCTTTCTACTGCTTTGTTCTATTGCATCCTTCTTGGCACCAAAATCTGAAGCTGTGGTCCATCCGTCCCTGACAATGCTAGCTTTGTTAGAATGCGCACAATAGGTCTTTTTCACATCTGAGATTTTGCCTTGTCACATTTAGAAAAGCACAGGTGTTACTAATAGCGTCAACAATGGCTCTTTTTTTTTCTATTCAAATGTCGCTGTAACCATGAAAGAATAACAGCGAGCAGGCATGCACAACAGCTGGGGGGAGCAGAGCAGCTAAATGGAATGCAGCCATCATTAAATTCATCATTAACGCCTCTCCTTTTCCAGCTATGAATCATCATCATTTGGTCTGTGTAAAAAGAGCTATATCTCACACTTACACTTCTTTCAACGAGCAACCACCATTAGAGTTCAATTTTCTGGTATCTATGCATTTGTAGCAGACTTACATTAGTGGGCTTTATCTCATCAGCAACTACACTATCTGCACCAACCAGCCACCACAATGTAAACACGTGGGCCAAATAAGTGTTAGAGGCACTTATCAACATAACACACTTCAGTACACCACCAACACCCCCTGCAGTTACAGCAATTAATCTAAAGAGCAATTAGCACCTCACTGACCTTTATTAACATAAAAATTAAAATGAAGAGGATCTATAAAAGTTGAATAAGTGGTGGAGATTTATTTTGTATGGTATTAAATTAGGTTGTGCAGGTCTTCATAGTGTGTAAAATGTACTTAAAATTTTGAGTAAAATGAGGTTCCTGCCTATGAAAAACAAGTAGACTTTGCTTAATTTGTTTAAATAAATATAACTTAAATCTTGGATGTCATTAAGTAAATGTTTCTTAATAATCTCACAACTGTTATGTTTTATGGAAAGTAAAAATACTTGATATTGCAGCATTAAATTTTACTTCAATCATTTGCATGCAAATAGCTACAATATATTTTTAAGTAAATCTTAATTTCTTTCAGTGTTAACATTACATACGGGATCAGGTTAATAATCACTATCTCTAACTCCAGCCTTAAAATGTTTATGTTACAATGACAGCACAAGCTACTATTTGCCTGAAAACTTCTACATTTAGTTTTAAATAACCCTTTTCTCATTTCTGTAACTACTGTGGTTAAAAATCATGTCTGTACAATTAAAAGCCGTAGGGGAGAGTGGGGTAAGTTGGGCCAAAGGGTAAGTTGAGCCACCCCCTGTTGCTTGAAAATGGTAAAATAAATTGATAATGTGACCAAATATTAAGGAGATGGTCATCAATTCATGGAGTCTGTGAAGGTTAGAAGCACATGGGTGAAGAGGTTAGATATTTATTTAAAAAATATATATTTTTCGATCTTGAAAGTGAATTTAGTCGTCATAAGTTTGATTAGAATTGTGTTCAGACCAAAAAATATCATTTTATACATCAATTGTGGTATCTATAAGCTACAACATGAGGTAAAAAAAATCTAATCATAAAAGTCCACCATTTTAGCTTATAGGACTAACGAGACCACTTTTTTTGACATGCTATATTATCAAGACAGTTATGTTTACACTCATTCTGTTGGTTTGCAGGGATGAACTATATCCTAATACAGGGCTCTCAAGTCTCACGCACTCAGCGTGAGACACACGCATTCCCACCTGTTCACACGCTCACACGCCACACATCGTATTTCTCACGCATTTAAATGAACATGGTGATGTCCACCAAGTTGCACCTCTTTAAGTATGGAACAGGTACGAATCAACTGAGTTCCTCCGAGAGTTCAGAAGCTGCGTGCCATGCGCAAGCCAATCAAATAAAGTATATCTACTGAACAGCCAATCAAAAAGCAGCATTGCTGTATCCGGGTAGATTTTGATATCTTGCGGTTTGACTACAGGAGAGGACAGACACTCGCCGTAATAGAGCAGGTTTTTATAAGGACGAGATAGACCCGATGATTACAGTAAGTCAGTAACCTACACATGCAGAGACCTCAACACCTCATGGCAGATAAACTCATATGATAAACTAAAGCCCTATGCTATTGCTATTAACAGCTGTATTGACGGATTTAGCCTCCGTACAGCCATTTCCAGCCATTTTCCCCTCCACAAAAGCTGCATTTCTCATATATCTCAAATATAAGTTCTGATACTCATGACAGTGTAATGCTCATGTACCAAAGGATTAAGTATCTCCATGTTTGTGAAACCTATACTAAAGTACAATTCATCTAAATGCTCCACAGTGCAGATTTTAACAACTTAACGACTTAATACTTATACATTAATGATTTTATTCTCCCAAATAACAACTTTATTCTGTAAGATATAAAAACGTTTTTTTCTAATTGTGCCCCTTGTGCTCCGTTGTATTTAAGAGATAATTATACTAATAGTTATCTTCAACCCCCCCCCCAGGAAATCTCACTCTAAGCTTAGTTCAAAACTTGAGAGCCCTGTTAATATATATGCAGATACACTAGTTAGAGACAAAACTATGATTTTAATGATGTAGTGATCCGAAATATTAAAAATGGCGCATCTTACACCACTCTCCCCTAAAATGGCGGCAGCCAGTGAGCTCGGTGTTCTTACATCATTCGAAGAGGTTAGCTCTTCTATCACTCTCAGCACCATAAGTCTTCACAATATTACTTTTACTTAAGTTTGAGACAACCATTACTGACATTTTAGTTGGTATCAGTTACTTTTAATTCGGTTAAAATGAGATTTTGACGGGATACTCACCCTCTTAAGTTAGTAGTTTGTAAGAGGAAGCGGTTCGCCGAGCTAGCTTAGGTGTTGTTTTCCGGTTGTCCTGAGTGTGGCGCGAAAACGCAGCGCGTGACACCGTATTTAAAATTAATATTAATTATCTATTTTATTTTTTATTCTATTTTATGTCATGATTTTATTTGTTCTACGTGAAAAAAATACATAAAACAAAAATTAAAAACAAACAAAAAAAAAGATAAAATGTGTAAACTCCTCTCTCTCTCTCTCTCTCTCTCTCTCTCTCTCTCTCTCTCTCTCTCTCTCTCTCTCTCTCTCTCTCCGTATCTGTCTCCTCCTCTCGGTGCATCAGCAGCAGTGTGTGTTCAGCAGCATCATCCCGCGGACCAACACCGCTGTACTTATCAGTCGAGTTTTACTTTTCCCCCCACAAATAACCAAACTCCTAACACCTCCGAAATTTAAACCTGTTATCGGCTCGATAGAGGAGCAGCTTCAGTCGTTTGAATCGCTTCTTTTTCAGTCCTCACAGGTTTTTTCTTTAAAAAAAAAAACCCGCTCCAGACAGCAGACCGGACTTCTCCCGTAGACTGCTCTCTCACGCAAGGTAAGACTAAAAGGAGCTCTGTTTCATATGTTTGGAAGATTCGTTTTGTGCATGGAAAAACTGTCTTTTTGCACATCGACCTGCATGATGCAACCTGGTGCGTCATGTGTTTGATTGATGGATTTATTGGCGTCCATATTAACGAGGGGCAGATGACAAAAAAACTACACATATCATTTTTATTCATGCATCTATTCCTGTTTGATATAGGCAACTATTTGCACGTTTTGCACGTAGACATGCGACTCGTCATTGTTGCATTATCTGTTTGTATCCCACACGAACTCACATGCACAATCAAACATTAGGCTTTTTATTCAACAACTAAAGTGAAGAGACACAGATGAATGAGCCCGTGTCTGTGCAGGGCTGTGTGATTTTATTATCGATTTCAATTGTGACTTTGCTTTGCGTGGGATGTCTGGGTTTTGCACGATATGTGTTTCTAGTGTAGTTTGGTGTAGGTGTTGATGTTGCAAGGGTGTGTGTGTCTGTGTGTGTGTGTGTGCAGCAGGGTGATGGGGGTGTGGTGTCTCCTTAACCCACATCATCCTCACCATGAGACTACTCTCTGCAAATCTATAAAGGCAATAACACACCCCTTGCATCCTCACCACTAAGCTTGTTATACCAACACCTTTCCTGCACACTCACTCACTCCCTCACTCCCTCACTCACTCACTCACCCCCACTAAATTTGCCATAATCAAACCTTTGACCACTGTATCTATGTAGTGCTGCCGGGGCTCTGCCTGCCTCTCAAGGTCATCCCCTGTTGGCAAATGATGGTGTAGGGAGAGTGTTATGTAAGAGTGCACCGCCTGGCTCAGGGGCAGGTCTGCTGGTTGTCACAAGTCCGTAAAATCACTCATTTGACGGTATATGTGTCTGGCATTTCGCACCTGTGTGCTGGTGTGTGTAACTAGAGCTGGGATGTTTTGTCGTTTTGGCTCTGTCGAGGCCCCGAGTGGACCTGAAGACAAAGGGCTATGACTCAGGTTTGGAGTCAGCACGGTGCTCTGCTCTGCTCTGCATTACACTGCAGACTGACCCAGAGGGTCTTGCCCTGTTCTGCTCCTCTCGTTCCCTAATTTAAAAAAAAAAAAAGTGACATTTGGATGATGCACCCTGCTGTACGTTTCCTTCCTGGCATAAAATCTTATCATGCTTTAATTTCAGAGCAAACAGGGGTCATGGTGTGTTCACTCTTACGTGCTCATAAGTGTGTCACATCACTGCATCAGTCTCAGATCACACCCTGATCACTTTTGCTTTATTTTACCTGAATTTACCCTTTTGACTGCCTGCCACACTTACGTCATGTCTTTGTGCATCTCGTCCTCCTGATGCACGGTCCCTCCTGTTGCAGAGGCAGTAAAAACAAAACTGAATGTGCTAAAGGATGTAAAAGGAATTTAATTCTGTCATTATGAATAGATAGATGTGTGCAAAGATTTTATACTATTATAAAAGATGTAAAGATGGTTTTAAATCTTAAGTTTAACTGATTGCAGTCCAAGGTTGATGGTGAACTGGATGAATGAAACTGACTCGTTCAAAATGGCTCCAGGTGAAGATCTTTGAGAAGTTTATTCAAAAAAAGGTTGGAGGATAATGTCGACATAGCTCGAACACACCATGGTGTGACTGGCGTCACTTGAAAGGTTGTGCAGTTGCAGGTTTTATATAAAGTAAGCTGCGAGGGCGGTATTAAGAAAGGTGTGACTTATTCGATTTAAGTGTTGTTTTTGCACTCGAGATGAACTCTTTCACGAGGAGTTCAAAGTCATTATTACTCCTTTTTTATGTTACGTACTTCTTGCAGAATGCTTTCCAATGCCAGATGGAGAAGATGCTCTTGATGCACAGATGCAGCTTCTGTGGCTTGTTGCATGAATAAAGAAAGACTTAGTAATGTGCAACACTTGCATTTTGATGAAGTGTGCATAAAAGTGCATGGGCATTTAGCACCACATAGGCTCTGTCTTTAAAATGTATGAATTCCTCAGAGGTTTCTATGTTGTGTTCACTTCTGCATCTTCTTTATGCAGACAGTATGTTCATAATGTGGTGGAGATGCAGCTAAATTCTTAATGATTTCTGATTCAGACAGTTAAAGTGCATAATCTTACACATTTGACTTTTTATTTCCATGATATATGTTCGTAAAGATTTCTCATGCTCACACACACAAACATGCACTCTTGCCAAAACACACACATATTCACAGAGATATAATGCCAAGGCTGTCATGCGCCTCATGCTCACATCTCTCCCTCGGGACACATCAATCTCTCGCTGCAGATCTGGACTCCAGCCGCAGCCCGTCGTGTCTGACAGCACCAGTGCAACAGAGAAACGCTGCTGAAGTCACTGTCTCTTCAGCTACACTGCAGCACTGAAGGCTTTTTAAGAGGAATAGACCGGTGTTAAGCAGATTTCCTCATGAAGTAAAGCAAACTTGTTGTTCATTAGCGTCCTCTCTAACTGAATCAGAACCAGCTAAAATCTCTTCTTCTATTTCAGTTCAACAAACAGTTTCAATTAGTCCAAGTTTCCCTGAAACAGCTGGTGGAGTGCTATTTGACTCTAAATATTTATGATCCCTTTTAAACAGAAACTCTGCGTGTTTTGACACGGATTTACAACAGCCGGTAGCACAGAATATTAAAACATTTCGACCCAGACATGGTGATAATAACTCAGAACTTCAGAGTAGCTGGTACCAGGCTCTGTGTCCTGACGGGGTGGGGCATAAAACCAGGAAGTGTTTCATTGAGTAGCAAGAGGTTGCTAAATGCAAAGTTAATATAAAAGTCTTTTAGCTAATTGGATCGTTAACCGCAGAGTGAAATTCTATTATCATGATTAGAGTTGTTTCTGTATAAGAAGAGCTTGGCAAACTTGCTCTACAGTTATTAGGTTTTTATAATCACTATAAGCTGCTGTATTCTTTGCAGCCAAATCCGACTATATAGTACTAACTGTTAAACTGTGTCCTCGTTTTACAGATAAACCAGGTACAGTGAGCATTACACCAACACCTGTTAGACAGCGCTAACATGTTGATTATAATATCAGAATTTTGTTGACAGAGACAGCTGGAGCACAGACTCCTATAATGGTCTGTAATGGTGCAACTATTCACACAGCAGGCACTAATGTTGGCCTCATTTCAGCCTGACATCGCTGGACCACTTCACCTCAGTGTACGGGTCAGAAATCGTTCAATTTATTCACATTTTCCAGGAGGTGTTAGTGAAGGGTTGCATACAATGTCTCTCCAAAAGTAGACCTACAACCAGTTGGGAAAGCTCAGCATGTGACGCAGGGAATAGCAGCAAAGATATGAACAGACAGAAGTATGCAGAGGTAAGATGCACGCCTTTCTTACCAATGAGGGCTGTATGTGCAGTTTTGTTTTGATACAATGATATCTTCCAGTTAGGGCTGGGCGATAAAACGATAACGATATATATCGAAAATTAATTTCCCTCGATATCAATATAAAACATGGTAAATATCCTTTTCGATAGTCGGCATTCTGCCATGTTTTGGTAGACTATACCAATAGCCAATAAAAAGGGGAGTTGCTCTGGGTTCGCTTTGCGCTAAACTAATTGTGCTGAATTAGAACCAAGTGGCAAACAATTGCGTAGTAACAGGCTGCAGCTACCGGATTATAAAGCACATTAAACCGAACAAAACAGTCAGATAAGTCAAACTTTATTTAACTCATTCAATAACTCCACGAGCCTACAGTAGCTGCAGTGCTCCGACAAGCCAAAAGAATTTTAAGTGCGCCTTATAGTGCGAAAAATACGGTATGTCGAGTACATGTTCTCACAAAGTCGAGGAATACCTAAAATCTTTTTCACCACCTGAAGCAGCGCCACACGGCAGAGCATGCGCAATGCAGAAGTTTACAAAGCCTGAGCAGAGCAAGGAGCCCATGGCGCCTGTGCTGCCGAAACAGCCGACCATTCAGTCTGCTTTCTAGCCCAACATCTTACAACAAAACGTTGAAGAGACACAAAGACCTCACAGATGCAGAAGGTTATTGTATTGCCAGAGACATGCTACCAATAAGCACTGTGAAAATTTTAGTTTTTTTTATCGTGATGTACATCGATATTGACTGATATGAAAAAAGTATATTCTGATAAACTTTTCCCATATCGCCCATCCCTACTTCCAGTTTGATTAAAGCGACCTTCCAGAGGTTAGGACTGTGATTGGGTTGGTATCTCCTTAAAACAGTCATTAAGAACCATCCTGACATATTGCATTGGTGCAGCTCTGGCATTAGCAAACTCAACTTAGCTTGTTCTTGTCTTTACATGCATATTGCAGCTCTAGTTGCCCATTTCAGACCAGAATCCTCTTTGCAACAGGTTGTAAACGCGGTCATCTGTGCTGTAGAGTTCAGTATTTTTCCACTTCACTTTTGGCTCTCGTGCATCAGCTACATGTGTCAGCCCTGCTGGTTGTCTGCTGATTTTGACCTGTAATGGAGTCTGAAAGTCAGAGTCTCATAAGTCCTCCAAATTTAAAAAAAAACCTACAATACCTGTTTTGTAAATCCAGGTTGAACATCTGTACCCTGACCTCTGCTAAAAAACACTAAAACCAAAAATAAAACTGTCATCCTTGAATTCTGACAAAAGAAAAATCTCAAATCCAAAGCAAAGAGAAAATGAGCGTCCCCTCAGTGAATGTCCTGGCATCATTTTCAAATACCAAAGAGACGATTTTGATTGCTGGATGAGTCAGATGTTTTTGTACCTGATGTGAAAAAAAGGACACTTTATGGGTCAAGAGTTTTTTCTGCTGTGCTGACCCGCTGCTGTTTCATGATTATAGTCACTATTGAAAATGTTTTTTTATCGCATCCTTACTTTTGAACCGCAGATGAGGGATCACAGGTCAGGTATGAATGAGGAAACTGTACAATTTCCTCTCTTTTCATGAACAACCGAACGCACTTAAAATGCCTGACAGATCACATTAGCAGCGGGCGGCTTTTCTTCGCTCTTGAAAAGCCTCTATTTGAGAAACACTGGATTTTATCTGAACTCTTTTGTGCGCTCGTACTGCCTGGCCTGCGTCACAACGACCAAATTAAACTTTAGCTTAGGGGCGAAACCTTTCATGGAAAAAAATGGAGGGGAAAAGTTAGAGCAGGGTGGGTTATAGTGCTTCGAGTTGAAGTGTCTCACATCAGTACCTCATGGCTTTTTTTAGCTTTATATCAGCTTTATATCAGCTGTGATGTTGCTAATTTCCTTTATTTGGGAGTTAAAAAGCAAAATAACTGATGCAGCCTTTTGAAAACAGATGATAAGAAGCTTTTTGTTCCTAATGAGTTATATAAAAGCGCCTCATACAGTATCTGTTGTGTCCCCTTGTATCTCCGGCCTCTTCAAGGACAGTACAGCCTTTGTGACACCTAACCCTGAGTGATTTAATTTGTAATGCATACGTCCTTTCATTCGTTTACAGGCGCTTTCTAAGCCTGTTTAGTCATAACGTGATTTTGCACATCTTGAATCCCGAGCTCCTTTATGAACTTTGGTGGCGCTGGAGCAAAAATAGGATTTCGGGGGGCTAAATAAATCCATCTGTCTTGGACCAATAGTTTCTGAATTGTGGCGCCGCGGCTGTGTCAGCTGCTGGGGAAGGTTTCTGAGAGGTTTGCTAGGATGAGGAATTGTTTATTTTCAGTTTTTCTCGTCTCAATCCTCAATACTTTTCTGATTGATGTGTCACTTTCTCCACCAGACAGTCAAATTAGACAGAGCACCACATCGACACACACTCACACACACAGACAAATGCTCAGGCCTTCCTCTGTGATATCTCTCTATCATAACAACATGACTTTAAAGAAACAGTGGTGCATTTATGGAAATATGCTCATTTGATTTGTAGAGTTTGCTACCACTCAAAAGTGACCAACTTAACCAGAGGTAGCATCTCACTGACATCCATCTGTTTGAGTTAACCAGACACAGCTAACACAACATTTTTCTGTGGTTGCTGATAGTTTTAGCATTATGGCTTTCACTATTAACAGCAGTTACAGCCATAGCTAGTACACAATATATAACTGGCATTTAGACAGAGCAAGCCGACAGTGTTTAATTGTTTAGTCGACTGAATGAGCACATCCCAAGTCCAGCCTTGCAGCTAGGGCTGGGCAATAAACCGAAAATTTACTGATACAGAAATTTACAGCAATAACCAATGTCATTTTGCCCATATCGGTATATTTGGAGTCAAAAAAATAAATAAAAGTTGGTTTTTGATGTGTGTAGGTAGGCTATTGTCTCATGTCCCTTTAAGACGCTGTCCTACGTCAGAGACGTGACTCCACCCCATCCAGTCCATAACAAAGAGGGAAAGACAGGTGAGGAGATGGAGGACGGTTCAAAAGTTGTAGCAGCTGAAGTAGACAAAGTTAATGTGGGAGGGGGTGAGCAGCTTGTGGAGTAGTTATCATCCATTTATCTTTATCGAGGTGAACTGTTCACTATATCGTGATATTGATTTGAGGCCATATCGCCCAGCCCTACTTGCAGCCCATCAAAAAATACAAATTCTCATCTTAAAATTATTTTAAAAAATTATTTAAATTATTTAATTATTAAAACTTGATTTTATCTTAAAAACTGTTTTTAGAGTACAGACACAAATGCATTAAAAACCATTTAATTTTTTTGTAAAGATAAAAGCAGAAATCATAAAATTGTTTAATTGTTTCTTTAAAGCTCAACAGAAGGGCTGATGTGGGTCTCAGCAAATACATACAAACTAGTAAAGAACCAATGCTTTACAGTCGGTTACACAGTAGGGCTGGGTGATATGGCCTCAAATCAATATCACGATATGTTGAGCAGTTCACTTCAATAATGTTAAATAGATGATATCTACTCCATGAGCTACTCACCCCCTCCCACATTAACTTTGTCTACTTCAGCCGCCACAACTTTTGAACCGTCCTCCATCTCCTCACCTGTCTTTCCCTCTTTGTTACAGACTGGATGGGGTGGAGTCACGTCTCAGACATAGGACAGTGTCTTAAAGGGACATGAGACCATAGCCTACCTACACACATCCAAAACCAACTTTTGTTTATGTATTTTTTTTAAACCAAATATGCTGATATGGGCAAAATGACGTCGGTTATTGTCATAAATTTCGGTGTCAGTAAATTTTTAGTTTATTGCCCAGCCCTATGATACAGTATTGCTGTATTGATCCTTTTGGTGTTGGATTTTTACATGGTGGTCTAATCCGGATTAGCTGGTTCTCATTTTTCATTTAATCTGGAATCTTCTCTGAGGAGTGGACACAAACAGCTGCAGTTGTGCCGCAACCGTCCTGTGTAAACACATAACATTTTCATAACAAACTCGAATTTTACCATCCTTATTTTGACGGCCATGGTTCCTGGCTGTATTGCAGCAGCTCTTCTTTAACTGACAGAATAAACACACACCTGCAGAGACAAGCTGAAAATAATCGTCCACAGTCAACCTTTCTTATTGCTTTTATAGAGTGTGTGTTCGGTACAGTCTGACACCTAAATGATAAAAACTCTGCAGACTCGAACGCTTTGAAGAAAAGTTTTTCTTCGGCTGTCACTTTTGAGTTATACGCTGCAGCTCCTTTGACTGCACCACAGTGAGGGTGATGAAAAAACTCTCAGGTGAGCCTCAGGTGTCTGCGTTGTTGATTTTCATCGCTTGCAGAAATAAATGAAAACCAGCTGAAACCTTTAAAGGCACAAAATCAATCCCGAAAGTCGCGTCGCTCTCTTAGAAAACAGTCACCTGAAAGACGCGTCCTTATGTGGACTCTTCAGAAACCCAATGCAGCATAGCGGGCCTCGGTATATGACTGCAGCACCTCTTGGACGGCTGCCGGAGTCTGCTCTCCTCACACTGTGCGCTCAGAGACAGATTGGCATCGCACACGCTGTTGCTGCCTCGTATCTCCCTCGGTCTTTTCAAGTTAAAGAGGACTAATAAAACATCTCAGCAGAGAGTAAGAGCAGGAAGCCTCCGAAAAACTCCAACTATCTTTTTGCAAATTATGATAATTACAGGTTTCTTAATGATCTAATCAAGGCTGTGAAGTGACTGATGCATCAGCACTGTGCAGATGCATCAGCTATCTGCAGAGGCAGCTGGATGTGAGCAGCTCCAGCGAGGAAATTAACAATCATTAAACAACAACACACACTCGAGCTTTCCTAAAAAGTCACATAAGGCCAAGTACTTTAAAAAGCAATTAAAAGCATTTTCTAAATCAGGAGAGTTTCACCAAGAGGCGAAGGAAATCGCTAAAAAAGAAAGAATTTTAGGGAACTTTTTAGAAGATTTTGAACAGGATGTTTATTCATTCAGTCTGTGTTGTAGGATTAAAGGGTGCAAAGTTCCTCTAAAAATGAACAGACAACAAATAAACTAATCTAGGACACACATCTGCTCAAAGGAAGATAAAAAGTTGCACGTCTCATAAACTGACCCAAATATTCAAGTCGAGCTAATCGGACATGACTCATTTCAAGCGTGGAAACCTTTTTTCAGGGCCTCACATGACATCTCCTGAGTTATTTTTAGAGGGAGCTTTGTTTTGCAAATCAAAATCTCTCTTTTTAAAACTCTCTGACTTTAATCGGAACAGGTACATATTTTAAAAAAGCATGTTTTTCTGGTTCTATGTGTATATTCAAAGTGTCTTTCTTTTTTTTAAACAGGCAAAATGGGGAAACAGAACAGCAAGCTGACCCCTGAAGTGATGGAGGATCTGGTGAAGAACACAGAGTTTAACGAACACGAGCTCAAGCAGTGGTACAAGGGTTTCCTGAAGGACTGTCCCACCGGCCGCCTCAACCTGGAGGAGTTCCAGCAGCTCTATGTCAAGGTGAGACTCCACTAACTCACTTTCACTCCAACACACATATGAACTCAGACAGCCGCTGTTACTGCCCGTGTGCACCTAAACCTGTACTCCACTGTTGACTTACACTAAAGGCTTTAATTTTACTGCTACAAAAATCCAATCTCATTTAAAATCATCAGCAAATGGATGCTGGCAATCATTAAATTTGTGCTTGTGTGTGCAGATTTCATCATTCTGGTTCTGACTGCACATCCATCAGCGCAGTGAGCACTCGGCATCTGCAGCATTCACTTCAAAGTTGATCTCACTGCAGTAGAAATGAGCTTTTCAGGCAGTTAGACTAATTGATAAAACACATAACTGCATCTGAATCCAAGAATTGTGGCACATTATAAGATTGTTGCATGAACTTTGACATCATTTTATGATATGATTGCAGTCCATAGTTATCTGTCAACCATTAAACTATCAGAAAAAATTAAAGTAGTCGTTTGAGATTGAAATAAGTTAATCTGAATCCAAGAATTATGGCAAATATATATATTTTAAAATTGTTGCATGAACTCTTTGATTGTTTTTTTTAGCAATTGACAGCAGCAGACTTTATTTGGTATCATTCAAAGAAACAAAGAAAGGTAGAGATGAGTCGCACATAATGCAGTAACCCCTTAAAAATGCAGTTTGTAGACAATGACATGACAAACTTTTGACATTGTTTTATGATATGACTATGGTCTACAGTTCTCTGTCAACCATTATACTATCAGAAAACTCAAAGTAGTTGTGTGAGATTGAAATAAGTTTATATGAATCCAGATAAGCATCTAAAACAGGTCTGAATATACGATAAAAAGTCGTGTCTTTTGTAATAACAGTGTTACATAACTGGTAATCATATAAGGTATGATTGAAAGAGCATATATTTATCATTTTTCATGTTTTATATGCTCGCTATTCTTTATGTTTCCCACAAAATATGCAAGTTTCTTGAGTCCAGAATCAACCGAAAAAGGTATTTAGTAGATTTACCATCACTTAATCTGAGTCAGAAATGTGAAAAGATGGCAAGGCTCAAATTCAACATGTCAACTGTAATCATGTGATAAATTCATCCTGATGAATTCAGACTTTTGCTGGGTATCTGCACTTTTAAGATCAAAACAAAGTAATGCTCATGAGTGTTTGTCAGACTGAACTAGAACTTAACAAGTGAGCTGCACATAATAAGACATAACTATGCGATCTCTTCTGTCTATAAATGTTTTATTCTCGTAGGTTTGAATTTGGGTTTATGTCAACTTTTATGTTTATAGAGAGGAAACATCTTACTTGCTCATATCTGTGTACAATCTTACTAGATAATCCTACAACTCAAAGTTAATCTGACATTTAAACATAAGAAAAATAGCAGTAGAAACCTTCATATTCAGTTGTAATGGCAGTGTTTTATTGTACTGCAGAGTGATCACTGTCGACTATAAGCCGTTTGTTCATGATTAAAAAAAAAAACACCAAAAGGCTTCCTCTGTGGGTTTCCCCTCAGCTGATAGAAACAGGGACAGTTTGGGTGACATGAACACATTCAGAGCAGCCACTGAGGGAGATTTTGCTCCTGTTATAAACCCTGCTTGATTTCAGCAGGCATCCTGCCATGCTGCCTCCTCTCCTGTATCTGGGCAGAAAACCAACGGAGAGGCAGATATCAGAGGCGCTCAGATGATTATCTTCTTTTGCTAATATGTAGCCTAGCATATCTTATTACCTCTGACAGAGCCGTGTGAATTTAATCCATGATTTATTCATGGAGTTTTATTAAACAGGAAGGAGCACTTTGGTAGAGGCAGTAATGATCTTATAATGAAAGTGGAATTGGGATTAGTTAGCAGTTTTAGGTGGAGACTTCGACAGCAAATATCATGCCGAGGTGATCTTAACCTCCTCTGTGACCTCCTGAACCCTTTTATTAATGTCTATACAAAAAACGGTTCTATCCATGTGATCGGTGCTGCACACTGCAATTATCAGTGCTTAAATACACACTAAAAGTACTGCAAATAGTATTTTAAAATATAAAAGAGTGCAGACAAACATATGCAGATGAGGAGCCTGAGAGGAGGAGAATGAAGGGGGTCTGTGTGTTAGTAAAGCAGAGGGACAGAGGGAGCACGGTGACTGGATTATGGACCAGCCAATTCCTGTATGTTAGGTTTAATCCATTAATGCATCATATTCAAGTTCGGATAATGAGGGATAGCTTCAATACTTTACGATAGAGTTGTTCCGATTCCGAAACCAGTATCGGGAATTGCTCCGATATTGACTATTCCGCTCTCACTATATGTTGGCTCCATGGAGCTTGACAGATACTTAACAATAAATAATGAAGAGAACTCCGAAGTCTTGTTAAGGGATGTTTGTTCTTTTCAAGATTTCTTCCTGTTAGTCTTTTTATAAGAATGAAATGATCAACAAAATTATACCTTACAAAATGTAACGTCTGCTTTTCCGTGACTACAACAAGTATAAAGTAACGCACATTCATATAAATCAACAGATGTAAATAAATCTGTCTGAGGTGAAGCGCCACAGCCCTCTGCTGGGCAAATTAAATATTACGTCGGCAGAACGAAACGTAATTACCGTGAGTTTAACTCATAAAAATAGATAATCAGAAACGTCATAACCTGTATAACATAAAGTAAACAGATACGCTGCAAAATGACAATAATGTTGACGTGTTATAACTTATAAATATTTTACCCGGCGCTGTATATACGGGTTTCTTGTGGACAAACAATATTACGTATCCATGAATTTCACTCAATTTACCAGGTTGTGACGTTGTTTTTGATGTTTCTAATATCAGGAGCAGGGTCGTAATGTTTGCCGATTGTTTGTTTTGCCAATTCTTGCAGTTTACAGCGCAACAGCTCCTTGTCATTTTCTTTCCCTGTTGACTGCGCTAGTAAACAAATAAGAAATGTCCCGCTTTCTGCCCCGAGGCTGCTCGCATACCTGCGATGACGTTGCACAGAAATCCGTTTATCGAAGCAGACTTGCGTTGCGTGTGATTTCCGTGTTTTAACTGCTAGAGTCGGTCCGTCCCTCAAAACAGTCCGTTAAGGAACTAACTCAAAAACGCAGAAAGGTGGAACACTGACGAAAATGCTGGCATTGTTAAGAGTGAGTCCAGGCACTGATCGGATACCACGTGATCTATGAAATTAGTCATTTATTTACTGGTTAGCTCCGGGTTTAACCTGAGCCAGACCATAATCATAACACAGTCATGCAGGCCTGGTATGATATATCTTTTTAAAACGTACTGGTATCGGATCGGAATCAGTATCGGGAGGGAAAAATTGGTATCCGAACAGCTCTACTTTTTCTATCCCAGTCAATAAGTGAGATTCAGGATGTTTAATTTTGAACTAAATTTACACAAAAAGGTCCCCAGGATCAATAATTAATCAGGATGTATTCTGATCCCAAAATAATCATGACTGTAGTTTCAGACAGAGTGCTTTCAGTCCGTTTAATATGACTCATGATTTATGATGGAACAAGATGTCCCTATTTTTCCACAGCACCAGGCTAATCTCGGCGTCTTGTGTCCTCTTGTGCCGTTTCCTTCAACACCTCGGGAGTTCTCATAGGAGTAAGAGCTCTGACTAGTGCAAGAATAGGCATCATCTTTTATCACTGGTGCCAGGAAATGCCTCATAACCAGGGGCTGCGCTTACATAAGACGTGCCTGGGCTCTAAGGTCATGGGTGCACTTCCTCTAAATGCCATCGGAGCTCAGGCATCAGCTGAGACCAGAGGAGAAAAGTGTCTCGGGAAACGTCAGGAATAAGTGAAGGTACGACTCCCAAGGTTTGAAGATAAATCAAAAAGAAAGGGCACCTGTCAACGCCGGGAATGACATTTTCAATTTGGACCAATTTGTTCCATTAAAACCTGCTGAAAATCATTCCAAATTCAATCGCAAAGATAACCTGGCCTCATGGGAAATAAGAGAAAGTTGGCAGCTCTAGTAGAGGGATACAAACACAGAGAGATATCCCCAGAAATCTCTTTACAGCTCGTCACCAGTGGCAGGAAAATCTGCAGCCGCACAAAGGGGGCAACACAGCTCAGATCTAAAGGGGTCTTGTCGGCTTCTGGGTAAATCCTATTATTGATGCATCCTATTGTGTTTCTAGGCAACAGTGTATCAGTGATAGGGCTTTATTTAAATCCAGAGAGCTGATAAGTGGAAAAACGGTCTGCTGCGACCTCACATTAACAGGACAGATTGTTCCTGTGAAGGGTATCCTTGTACGTGTGCGCGTCTGTAAATGTGTGTTTGTGCTGCGGCGGCGGCGGAGGGGGGGTCATATGTTTAGTGGGAGGGAGAGGGAGACGGAACAGTTTGTTGCGTCGGTTGAAAGCGAGAAACAGAGATGGGCAGGGTTGAGAAGAGTAAGCAAGTGGAAGAAAGTGCGCATACATTATTTATTAGTCATTAGCTGCAACGGAGAGTCATGAAACAGGGACGTAAGACATGACAGGAAGACGTGTGTGAGTGTGTGACCTTGGTGTGCATGCATACATCTTAGATTTTCTGCACCCGGTCTCTTTAGATCGCCGGTTTTTGCAGAAACCTGCACCGGGAGCTGGTCTCTAACACCCCCTGCCACGCTACTAAACGCAGTGTTACCTTCGCCTGGCTGCCCGCCTGGACTTCATGTACTTTTTTGGTTTCGAAGAAGACGTGCTGTTCTCTTAAATCCCTTCTCTCACATTTAACTCCATCTGCCTTTGTGCAGGTAATCATCTTTTCTTTTTGGCTGCGAAAAATAAAAGAGAGGAAGGAAAGGAAGAGATGAGAGAGTGAAGGAGGAGAGAAAGCAGGTGAAGCATGTCGGCTGGAAGTAATAGGTGTGCATATCTTAGGGCGGTCTGTAATATTCGCAGTTAATGCAGTGATGCAGGAGTTTTCCCTGTATATTATTAGCAGCTTAATACCTCATGAAGTTTCTTTGATTTGGACTGGGGTATCATGAATTTCTTGGTTAATAACTGATTAAAAAGTAATGATTTTCAATATTCCACGACAGTCCGATTGCTTTCAGAGTTTCAAAAGTATTTCTGGTCATTTTTCTGCATAATAGAGACAGAAATAAGATTTTAGGATAAGAGGTTGAAATGGTTTCCAGAGGATAATAGTACAATTTCAGCGCCCATTAGTAATGTCAGTTTTAATATCATCGCTTATTTAAATGCGTGTCTTTCAGTGAAGTAGTCTCCCTCTGTGATGGAGAGGGAGACTAAATGGAGGGAAAGAGAAACTCAAGGCTCGAAACTGGACTTTAAAATCATGTTATCAAACTTCTCACGGTCAGACTAACCCGGGATTTCCACCGCATCCGGAACGTCTCAGATCCGGAACAGCGGCGACTTTTGCCATACGCCAACTCCTACCGGATCTCTGGCAGATTACAGACAGTAGGAATCACGACAACTCACAAAAACCCACAAATTCATGTGCAATCATACGATAACAAGTTGTCTTTAGCCACATAGGAAATACGATCCGCCTCAAAAAGGTGGTGTTTTATTTTGAAAAGAAGCCGGATGTTTTATTTTGTGTCTGTGCCCAACTTCCTTTCCAGCACGGGTTAATATGTGCTGAATTTATGCGGCATGCTCTGGCATCCGGAAAAAATATAACTCTTGCAATCGGCTGTGGAGTCCGGCGATCCACAGCAGAACGGGAAGAAGCCGGTGGAAATTCACACATTAACTTGAATGGTTACGGTCAGCTCCGATCGGAGGATACGGCCTTTTCGTAGCCGTTCCGGATGCAGTGGAAATTGGGGCTAACATACCTGGATGATGTAATTGAGACCGATCTTCACCCTAAACGTTCTGCACATGCTCCAGTGTTTATACCCCAAAATGATCCTTATTATTTTAAGGTTTAGAGTAGGGCTGGGCGATATGGACTCAAATCAATATCACGATATATTGATCAATTCACCTCCATATGATAAATGGACGATAACTACTTTACAAGCTGCTCACCCCCTCCCACATTAACTTTGTCTACTTCAGCCGCTACAACTTTGTAACCGTCCTCCTCACCTGTCTTTCCCTCTTTGTAAAACCAACTTTTATTTATTTATCTTTTGACACCGAATATACTGATATGGGCAAAATGACGTCGGTTATTGTCATAAATTTCGGTGTCATTAATTTTTAGTTTATCGCCCAGCCCTAGGTAAGAGAATCTCATATATAACATCCCTCTGCTATCAAGTCATGAGAGGAGTAGACGTGTTTTTGAACAGGAAGCATTTAGGAGGTGGGTAAATGGAGGAAAGTGAGCGCTGGTGGGTTGAAAAATCAGAAATTAATGGAGTGGAGTGGGATGACTCTCGATTTCCACCTGCAGTTTCGGTGTGAGGATGCATTGTCTGTCTTTTTATGTCCCAGGTGACTCTCACGTGTCCATAAATCCAGGTTAGACTGCACCGGGTCATTACTCAGACCTCCTGCAGGTTTTGAGTTTCTCAGTAGAGTTCCTCTTTCGGTGGCATTTCCGACGCCAGACAGCGAAGTAAAAATGGACGAGAGGCCTCGGCGACAATTCACACTCCAGTGCTTGCGTGCCACACTGTGTGAAATTTCTCATCCTTGACATGCCGGCCGCTCTGGGAGCCATTTGTAACAGGATAACGACGCTCCCTGAGATGTTAAGGTGATAGATTTTGTCAGAAGAAGTTTTTTGCTGTGCGGAGACAGCATCGAACACACACGTACGTTTAACAGCGATCCGTGCACGCTCTCCAATCTTTGTTTAAAGTGGTACAAGATTGTTATAATTAAAACATCAGCTGCTGGCATCCTGTGAGCCCTGTTTGTTACAAAGCTGTCTTTGTAAGTGTGTTTGCTGACAGTGACATGAAAATGAGCATCAATATTGCTGGTGTCCTGCCAGTCTGTGTTCTGTTTTCCTGATTGTTGATGAGCTTGCATTTTGACGTCAGTATAATGGACTTGATAATGGTCGCTGCCACACACACACGCAGCAACTTTCCGTCCCTGTGTCTTCCTCTCGTGTTTCTTTGTTGATGTTTCTGTGAGGAAAGCATGGACTGGATTACAGAGACCAACAAACAAGAGGCCTGTTTGGTAGGTAAGCTTTTTCTGCTGCATCTCTCAAAGTCTGCAGATGACTCCCAGGAACACATGTTGTCCCGAAACCCTGAAAATCAGCCGAGACTAGATCCCACATGCACACATTTTCAATCCAATCCAACAAGATTTATGAGCGTAAATGTAACAGTGACAGTGTTTATGTGTTAAAATCAACATGTTTTTTTCATACTGCTGTGATTATTACTCGTTCACCTATCACCAATTACAGCATATAGACTTTAGCTTTTAAAATGTATGTTTTGTTTGATTAAATTTATATAACCCTTAATTTCCACCACATCCAGAAGAGCTATGACAAAGGCTGTATCCGCCGATCGTAGCTGACGCCGGAGCATGCCGGATAAATTCAGCACAGATTAACCCGTGCTGGAAAGGAAGTCGGCCACAGACACAAAATAAAACATCCGACTTCTTTTCAAAATAAAACACTCCATGTTTCAGGCAGATAATATTTCACACCATGCAAACGGGCGGTGACCAACAAGTGAAAGGTTTATAGAAGTCATTTCATCCCGATGGCACCATAGATGAGATGATGCTGATTCTAGAAGTCCAAAGACAACTCGTTATCACGCGATTGCACGTGAATTCGCGGGTTCTCGCGATACCTGCTGTCCGTAACCCGCCACGAAATTCGCCTCACAAACGGATCCGGTAGGAACTAACTAACATCAGTTATTGCTTGGAAGCTAAATTTAAAGACCACTGAAAAACTTTGATTAGCTGCTTTATAACATGAATCAGTTTAAGGATTAATAAATCCTTTATTAAGCACTTAGATATTGGAAAAGAAATAGCCTTTCTTATCCAATTCCTATAATGACAAGTTTATTTATCCTTATGAATCTTTATAAAGTCTGATTTATAACAGATATATAAACTGTTGACAAATTATTAGTGTCATATACATAACAATAAATATATTAAAAGCTTTTATAAACACTTATTAATGTTTTTAAATGCCCTAAAAGTGGCTTATTAAAGCTCCTGTGAGGATCTTTTGGTTTGTGTCGATTTTGGCGCCCCCTGTGGACAAAGCAGATTTCACTTATCATATCATCTACAAGCTTTAATAGTAATTTATGACAAAAAAAACTCCTCTGCTGACTTTAAGCAGTCAAATGTTGTATTTATGGTGAGTATTTTAGTGGAAATTGTAAAAACAGGACCAGTTTTTAGCTGATTTTACACCATAAATGTAAAAGTATAAAAAGAGCGATGGTCCTTTTGGGTTTTGTTTATTATTAATAGGCATCTAGTCTACTTTATTAATGTAAAAAATCTCCTAATTAAAGCTTTAACTATTAAATAACACTTGTTACAAAGTGTTACCCTCTATTTTTGTTCTGATTATGAGAAACTCTTTCATTTGGATTTGGTGTTTGTTGTGATTTTTATTCCTAATTCTAGAAACGATGTAAATATGTCCGTTCAATAATGACTATATCCCACTAAAAATAACATCAAACACGAGCTTAACACTGCTGTTTCTTGATGCTGCGTTTGAGGACTCGTACATCAATATCCAAAGCTGTTGTCATGGTTTCACTCCAGGTCTGTGAAAGCAGAAAAGCGTTTTTCTCACTTCTGAAAAGGAAATATGAAAATGTTCAACTCCTCTTTGTTTGCGTCTGATAGGAGTGATATAAAGTGGAGAGAGAGAGAGAGAGAAAAGGCCTCGCTGTTGATTGAGAGAGCATAGTTTCGACACAAGTACACACACACACACACACACACACACAGATGCTGACCTGAATGTAGATGTATGGATGGATGGATTCCACTCTGTTGCATCTCGCTTGCATAGCCTCAAGGCTTTTTCTGTTGACGGGTGTGGACTCTGTGTGTGTGCGTGTGTGTGTGTGTACCATTCAGCAACACTGGCTGTGAGACTCCCCTCCCCATACAGACAGACAGACAGACAGACAGACAGATAGACAGATCACCGGGCAGAACGATAGGACGGTAAATGCAGCGACAGACACACAGTGACTTCATCTGGCTGACCGCCTGTTTCTGCGAGCGAACATATGTCGCCTGAATGCAGGAGACAAAGACAGGAAAGACAGAGATGCAGCAGCGTTAGATTGACGTGGATGATAAGCTGGAAGAAGAAGGAGGAGGAGGAGTAATTTTTGAAAATCCTGGGAAAGATAAAAACCCTCTGTCTGGAGCTCGTGTTTACTCCTGCAGTGTCATATTTACACTTTTTCACAAGTGCTGTTTACATCTAAGAGTTATGGATGGTGTCAGGGTGAAAATGTGAACATATAACCTCATGAATGTTCCCAAACTGATGCCAATAACTCTGTTTATAACCGACGTAAACACCGTCAATACGCAGTGATAAAATCAACATCAGCGATAAACTTTTTGGTCAAAGGAAACTGATTCAAAGATCCACATCATTTTACTTTTAAAAGAGTCAAAAGCTTTTTTGGATACATATTCGCTGCTCTCTGTATATCCCAATTTTGCTGTTTAATCCCTTTTATCTCCTTTTAACTTTACAACTGTCCCCTGATGTAAAAACAAGAGCCAATTAAAGTTTCTACAATATGTTAAAAACAACCCAAACTGACCAAAGCGCCTCACAAACAAAGCCAAAACAACCCTACGTTTTTAAAGAAGACTTTTGAATCTGAACGATGGCAAATGTTAACTTTAGCTCGATCAAACACTGACGCAGGCCTTTCAGAATCAGAATCAGAATCAGAAATACCTTAATATCCCCCAGGGGGGAAATCGCTTTCGTAACAGTACTCCAGTGCAAATACAGTAAAGGTAAAAGAGTAAAAACAGTAAAAGAGAAGATAAACAATAGATAAAATACAAGATAAAATAAGTAAAATAAGTAAAAATATAGAGATAATACACAAGTATTTACACTATAAACAACACAAATAGTGACATCGTATGCTTTTTAACCAGGCTGTAAACAAGTTTGATTTTGATGTGAAAATAGCTTTTTTTGAACAGGTGTGTATGTGGTTTCCTGTGCTGCTGCAGCCAGCCTCTAGTGGACATTTAAGGAACTGCAGTTTGAACTACACCAAGACTGTTTTTTAAAGTCTTCATGAGGGCTGTCAGTGTTTACACTTTAATTAGGATGCAAACAGAAACTGAAATAACTTTTTTTTTCCCCAGTTACACGCTATTTTGTTTGTTATTTCACCACCAGGACAAGAAGACTCATAGAGACAACAAACAGCATGGAGACATCAGAAAAAAACATAGACTAACACCAGATACACAATAAACACAGTAAAGGCCAATGAAACATCAACAATAAAAGATAAGGACATGATTTAATACAACAAAAACCTGATAAAAATTAATAAAATGAATATCTCTACAACTATGCAGCAGTGCCAAGTCAGACCCTAACATACTCTGCTGCTGGAACAAAAGACCTTCTCAGGCATCACAAGTCGCTCACTGAAAGAGCTCTCAAGACCTTTAAAGACATAGTGGAGTGGATGATCTTTGTAGACCAGGATTACTTTTAATTTAGACCTGGTCCTCCTCTCAACAATGACCTCAAAAGACTCTGGGACTAAGCCAATAACTGATCCAGCCCTCTTTATCATCTCGTTGATCCTATTTTTGTCGTCAGATGATATCCTGCCCCCCCAGCTAAGTACAGCATAAAAAAGGACGCTAGCCAGAGTACTTTAGTAAAAGACATCCAGAGTTCGATACACTTTTGTCAAATAAAGCTAAAATATCTTCAATGCTCTCGGAGTTTTAGCTTTTACCTACAAGCTAAAGAGCTGCAGGTAGAGACAGATTAGACTCAGTAAAAATAAATGTAAATAAAACATGTAAATCGAACTTCTCTTAGTTGAACCTCAATAATGCAGTTGAGGTTCGATGTTTCTCTCATGCATAGACTTCCATGGACCGAAGCATTCTGAGCACGCTCCAGACTTTGCAGACGCCAGCATAAAACTGCGCCAGGAAGAAGAGAGGATGTAAAATAGACTAAGACCATATTTGTACGTACAGGAAGTGCATCAAGGCCCAGTAAAAACCTCGAATTTTAAACATGCAATTAAAAGTGTGCATTTGTCGAGGTCTATTTTAATTTACATGAACCGTTGTACGGCGGGCGATAAATGATAATGTCGTCTACAAAGAGCACCTGCTAGCTCTCTGCGCCTCTTTTATTGCACAAACTAAAATAGATGAAGGAAACGATCTGTTGTCTGTTCACACCAGCAGCCTAGCAACCTTTCCCCCTTTTACACAAACACATCTGATCGTGTGTGTCTGTGCGCTCGTATCAAACCTCACATGCTCTCTCTCTCTCTCCTTTAAACCCTCTTTCTCATCCCTCTCTACCTTTATTCTTCTTCATCTCTCGCTTTACCCACTTCCTCTCTCACCTCTCTTCCTCTCAGTCCAAGTGGGGCCTGTGGCTGCTTTCCTCTAAAAATAGCTTTTGTCATCTCAGAAGCTCTTTCATGCCATTCCCCATCCCCGTTACAACACGCGCCACAAAAGAAACTCTGTTGATGTGCTTCAGCGACATGAAACCACAGAAACTTTAAAAGTTCATCTAAGCTCCAGTACAGAAACGACCCTGCTGCTCTCTAACAGCCGAATCGTAATAATTAACTCCGGACATTGTGTCTCCCTCGTTATGACAGCGAGTCGTTTACGATGTTTAGAAAGCAGAGAAGGGCGGGAATCTGACGCTGAATTAACAGACTGTAATTTTCACAAGACAAACAATGGTTTCTCTGCTGTGAGTTTTCGCTCGTCTTTCAGGACGGGAAATTGGTGTTAATTGCCGCGAGTGTCTGTGTCAGCGTGTGCAGATGGGATGCAGCTGAAATGAGCGGTAATGAAGAAAACAGACACACAGAGACGAAGAGGAAGCATGGACGCATCTATAGGAATGAGTTTCTTAAGACCTGCATGTCTCCGGCCTTTTAGGCGAGTCTCATTTCTAACCTTGACGTTGTTGTAATTGAATTATTTACCAATTGAAGCAAGTATAGCCGAGCTGCTGCATTAGAGGAGGTAAAGGGGAGTTGGTGAGTGCTTTAATTTGCAGTAAGTAAGGTAATAGTGCTTCTTCTTATGGGAAATGCACATCCTCTGCAAGACGGAGTCAGTTGGTTATCAAGAGCTCAAGAAGTATCCGTGACAAAGATGCTGAATCTGCTTATCTGTTTGTTATATTTTGCATTATTTGTAACATTATGCCAGATTTAAAGTATGTACTGAACAACACAGGCTACAAAAACCCCTCCTAAGTTACTCAGTGTGCTCTGGAGGTCAGGCCAGGTCTTGTATCCATCAAAGTATCCTTTAAATAAAATTGTCCTTGTTAATAAATGGAGTGGCCTTCCTCTTAGCCCAGCTGCTAGTGCTTTGAAGTAGACCAATATTAGGTTAGGAGCCTGGCTTTCTCTGCCTTTTTTCTCTTCTGCTGTCCTTGACTTGTTTTGCTTTTTAACTCTTAGTGTCTCTCTCTATGAATACATATAAAATAACACAAATCTGTACATCCACATAGGGCTGGGCGATAAAACGATAACAATGTATATTGAAAATTAATTTCCTTTCGATGTCAGTATAAAACATGGTCAACATGCTTTCCAATAGTCGGCACGAAAAGGGTAGTTGTTACGGGTCCGCTTAGCACTGAACCAATCATGTGCTGAGTAGTGAACAACTGCGTAATAGCAGGCTGCAGCTACACACAACCATAGCACTTTAAAATGTGAAGCCGACAGCACTGTTGGTGAAAAATAGAAAATGATATTGAAAATATATTGTGATAAACTTTTTCCACATATTGCCCAGCCCTACATCCACATAACTGTAACTGTGATCTACTTGTGTTTTTCACATGTTTCTGCAAGTCTGATCTAGTTAAAAAGAGAAGTTAAAATTCACAGTGAAAGTATGCCTGGAGGTGCACCTGACTCTTAAAGGGAATGAGAGCAGACACTCTGTTTGGTTAGATTAATGTTTCGCCTAAAAAAAAAAACCCAACACACCTCGAATTACTCAAGGGGGTTTAATCCGATCTCTTTGTGCTCTGTGCTTCACTTCCTATTGACTCACAACGCTTCTTCATTTTTGATTTCAAAACTGCCGTCATGTTTCGTGTTGGTGTTCAACATCTAAACAAAGAACTAAATGGAGAACCAAGGATTTAAACATACACCGACATCGACCTACATGCACACACAATGAACCAACAAAGATAGAGGGGAAGACAGGGACTATGTACACACTGGGAAACGAGCAACAGGTGAGGCAGACGAGACACAGGTGAAACTCGTTAGTGATTAACGAAGGAGGGAAAACTGAGGAAGTAAAACCAGACAAGAAACACAAGGAATCAACTAATACACGCTTTGAGTGTGACAGTCACACAGTTTGACCCATTCTCACACCACATGCCACACTTGACATTTCTCACGCTTATTTTCCCTGTTCAATACTCTATGATAATAAACTTGGCTTGCCGTAGTTGGAGTAACTCTGATTAACTGACTGAGAAAACCAATCCCAGACCAATCCATCAGTCCTTTCTGCCTACTGCTGCGTTCGAGTTACCCCGGAAGTCAGATGTCGGAGCTGAAAATGTCGTCACACCCGAGTTCCCAGCATTTCAGTTAGCAAGTTGGAAAGAGCAAAATCGGAGGCCTGAAACAAGATGGCTACGCCTACGAAAGTTACTTTAGGGCTTGCCTTATTTTCCGACAAAGCAAGCACTACAGTAACTCTCATAGATGTAGCCATCTAGTTTCCGCTTGGCGTCTCGAACTATCTTTCACACACAACAGCGCCAACATTTGAAACCCACTCAACGTAATACAATATTGATGAATAAATCTATTTTGTCGAAATTCTTGTTACAATTTTCATCTCTAGTTTGTGGTTAAGACTAGCATTAGGGAGAGCAGCTGGCATGGAGGCGAGGACATCAGTCTTAATGTATAAATTGACGTTAAAAAAGGCAAAAGCTGTGTCTGAAATGGATCCCTAACCTCTATAGGCGACTATATGGGGGTTAGCGCCATTTTGAGGGGTGTCCGAAACCTGAGTGATCAATTCTAATGCCCCTTATAGGCGATTCAAAATTTCCCATAGAGCATTGCAAAATGTAGCGAACATTTGATGGTCACTCACCGGTGGTGGACATCCCGTCGTGCATTGCGTCTTGCCATGTAGTGTCCGAAACCTCCGGTGATTGAGCTCACTACATAGTCAGCTGTATAGTGAAACCCCATATTAGGTTGGGTGTCGCCGCGCAGCCGAACACTTCATAACGCTGAAGTCTCACTCCTGTCATTTTCTGAAACTTGGCAGCCCTGCTACTACAAAATAAAACCCAAACAAAATACACTCAAATAACTAAACCAGGAGAAAAACTAAATGAACAGGAGAGATCATGACACATCTGACTTTAAAGTAAAAAGAAAAGAAAGTCGGTATTCGGTGAGTAGTCTGAGTTAAACAGACTCGATAGGCCCCTCAGGCGAGATCGCACTGTCACCAGAGAGGAGGGCGAGGTACAAGGTTTACTGTCAGAGTGAGACGTCAGATCCAGAGAGAGGTTAGATCATTTTATATTAATGTGACACATTAAAACAAAACACAGAGAGATGATTATTAACTTCAGCATTCTGCAGGCTAAACTACATTTTTAACCAAGTCTGCAATATACCTTTTCCTACTGTGCACGCTCAGGTAAGGATGGCTATACCGAAGACACACAGACACACAAGCGTTTAGAGACTCAGTCCTGATGGATTAAAGCTCTAGGAACAATGTCAGTGATGAACCGCTCTGCAGACGAGGCGAGAACCACGTAAAGACTTCGTGATGTGCTCCCTGTCTTCACCGTGACTCAGTCTGAAAAGCTCTGAACCGCTGTGGATTTATCTCTCCGAGCGCTTTAGGGACTGGACACATCACTGGCCGGCGAAGATAGAAAAGAGCAAGTCCTACCCTTTCCTCTGGTATTTTGTCTCGCTTTGAGTTGCATCACAAAGAGCAGAGGGTAACCTGAAGTCTACGCCGAAGTTGGCAGTCTGCAGTGAGTCACTCTCTACTTCCTGCCCTGCTTGGCCGCTTTTCTATGTCTGATTTAGATTGGAGCCGGCATCAAAACGGCCATGGCACTGGTCGATAAAAGCAGATTTTTGGCCGAGCTGAACACCAGAATGATCTGGAGCTTTTGATAAGAAGCAGACCTGGTGTTCCTCTCTCTCTCTCTCTCTCTCTTTCTTCCCTTCCTCTTGTTATTCTTGCTAATAGCTATTCTCCCTGCCATCCCCCCTGAGGTATGAATACATTTCGACGCTCAATAGTGCCATCTGCTGTTATTTACACTCCTAATGCAGAGTATATGCTGCCAGATGGGTGTTTTGTAACCACAGATAAACCAGGGTCAGATCCCCGGACTCTTCCAGATTCCAGATTCCTCCTAAATTCCTCCCAAGTCTGAGGATCTGAACCTGATTCCTGGACTTCACGCTGTCCTCTTTCTGGTCTCATATGTTTGCGCTCCCCGCTCCCATCACGGACACATAAGCGGCTCTCATTACTCTGATCAATGATGGTTTATTTTTTAATCAAGCTGCCACTCTTCATGAAAGCCTGTTGTCTCACCGAATCAAAGGTTCATCCCTCAGGAGTAAAGCAATCTCACTGACCTTGAGCGTAAACAGAGGTCACACGCCTATTAACGCAGCTGAGTGTCCAGAGAGGTCGGAGCAGAAAATTTGTCTTATTATATTTAAATCGAGGGAAAATGGTCCCATCCGCTTCGAGATTATCAGGGATTTCTGAAAAGGCAGGTCACAGTAAACAGTTTGAGTCCCAAGAGAAAACAAGTCGTAAATTTAGGAGGGTAAAGTCTAGAATTGCAAATAAAAAATGTAAGAGAGAACGTTTACAGGGACAAAGTCATAAATTAACAAGATTGAAGCTGTAAATTTACAAGAACAAAGTCATAACCTCACAAGCATGAATTATAACGTTATGAGATAGAAGCTGTAACTGAAGGCTTTGATTAAAGCGGCGTGTAAAAGTAACATAAAGCGAATTATCAGAGGGGCCGTCTGCAGTAAATGAAGGAAGGTGAGGACAAGCAGCAGCTGCAGAAGCATGAACAGGGAGTCCACGGGTGCAAGGAGGTCCAAAGTGAGGCGACATGAGACTGAAGGGAAATGCAGTTTGTGATGCAAAGTGTTTTCTTGGTCAAAAGCCTTCAAGATCAAAGTACCTGTAGATGCAACTCTGAGGATTATTTGACTACGACGATGTTAAAAAATTAAAATCATCAAATCGATTTTCCTCTCTATCATGTCCCGCACCTCCAGGCCACCTTGGCTACCCCTTCCCCAGTTCCTACAAACACCAGTGTAAACAAACATGGCGTTTCCAACAGAAGGCGATAATTTCATGGCTAAATAGGACAAGAGCAAGTCAGTCGTGTGGAATTGGTACGGCTTCGCAGTTTTGGACGAAGAGCAGACCACTCCCGGCTGCAAGGTCTGTCTGAAGGCGGTATCAACCCGTCCACATGGAAACAAAATTCAGGAGAAAACGCAAAGGTTTTTTGTTGTATCGGCGTTTCATCCACACGGGAACGGCGTTTCAGGTGACTGTAAACGGTACTTTTTTTTGAAAACAGGTCAGAGAGTGAATAAATCTGTAAACGACTACCATCCCCAAACGATGACGTGACACACAGCGTAACTCTTTTATGGTGCCTGTGCGCGTCCGACCAAAACAACCTTTGTACGCATGCTCAGTACTCTTCATCGGTCTTTTGTGCATTTCCTGGGCGCAATTTTATTTTTATTTTTTTGTAGGATGGTAGGGAAGGTCCCGCCCTCCTTCGCCTCTTACTGGCTAGAAGATTGGTTATTTCTAATGGCTGTGAAACGTCATCGTCTGTCGTGTTTGACTTGAGCGTGTGATGACGTTTCCAGCTTTTCTAGCCAATCAGAGGACAATTACGAGGTGTCGACATATATTATGTCTATGTTTAAAACTGTCTCTGTTCAGGAATGAAGATCTAGGATGTCCAAACGGAAATAAAACAACTGTAAGGTTTTCAAAATAAAAGCAAAACACTTATTTAGCATATTCATGTTCTGATTGGCTCACGAAGGGCCCGGGCAGGGACATCCAAAGGACCGGATGCGGCCCCCCGGATTCGTAAAATGCCCAGGTCTGATTTAGAGGATGCTGTGGCTCGGTGGTACAGCGGGGCTCATCTCAATCATGAAGATGACGGTTCGATCCCAAGCTACTGCGTTACACATGTCGAAGCGATCACAGGCGAAACCTTCATCCCCAAATGACTCTGAAGGAGAGGAGCAGCGGCGTGTAAAGGCTTATAACTGGATTAGTTTCATTCAGAGCGTCCTCAGCCATCAATGTGTGAACACAGTGTGAGAGGGTGAATGTAGCTTACAGTACAAAGTGCTTTGACTGGTGGAAAACTAGAGGGGCGCCATCTAAGTATAGTCCATTAACCAATCCATTTACTCGGTGCGTACAAACTGGTGTATCTGTTCACAGAGCGGATAACCAAATCCCTGTTGTTTAATTAAATAAATGTCAGTCACTATTCTGTCCTTTCCCATCACGCCACGAGCAACTACAGTCAGATGTAAAAACACAAGGCGCTCACATCCGAGTCCTGAAGGTCATTTCCATCCATGACATAATTAGTAAATAAAAGCTCCTGCAGAAACAACGAGCGCCATAAATAGTTTTAAACAAAGAGGTTTGGTTGGAGACAGAAGATAAGAACAAAGATAAGAGCTTAATTTAGACGATTTTTGGGTTTAAAAATAAACCTGAGGATGAAACGCTGCGAGCTTGTTTACCCTCGCTGACACTGATATCACAGCAGACGCCCATCTGAGGGAAACAAGAGGATGATTAAAAATGAAATTTGCAGAGCAGAGGGAATCGAGGGTGAGTGTGTGTGCGTGCATGCATGTGTGCGTGCATGTGTGTGTGTATTCTCTTTTCCGTGTCGACCCCGGAGGCTTGGAAGCAGTAGCGGCTACAGCAGCGTGCTGGCTAAGTTTCTGTTGCTGCCTGGCATGTCACTGAGGGTTTATGTAAGAGCACACGCAGGCTCTGTCTCTCACGCAGGCAAACACACACAGACGCGCACACACACACACACGCACTGTAAATACCCCAGCAATGGATTATGCATGTATTCCCTCTCTCCCGCTCGGTGAAGTAGCTTCTAAGCGACGCTTTGATGAAGCAATGTAAACAGCCATATGCAGAGACAGCCAGCGCTGTCAGGCCAAGGTCCTGCCTGTGTGTTTCTCCAAATGGGCCTGACTGCATCTGACAATGTTAGCGAGGAGATGCACGAAGCATACGGCCTTATTTACACAGCCCTCTGGTGCCAAAGTGGAAACAAACCGGACGGAGCTAAAGCCTCGTTTTTGAAGTGTACGGCGATGAGGGAACGATGCAGACCTTGAGTGCTTTGGAGGGTAAATTACAGCCGCAGACTGACCTCTAAAAGCCGCGCTGGTATACTGGGAGATGAATGGCCAATGACAAACCCCCTATATGTATTGTTGATAACATTAAAAGCAGCGTCTGGAGCCCGAACCCTTGAGCAGGAGGGGGAGACGACCTTGTGAGCCGAGCAGAAATCTTAATAGGCTTAAAAATCTGAAGTATTTGAAGACCTACAGTTCAGATCTTTCACATTAAATTCAGTTTTAGTCTCTGATGATTTGCGGGCAGTTACACCGAGGAATCATGATAACACCGAACCATGAGGATAAATGATATCGCCTCAAATGTGCTCAGAGGATCCCAGAACGGGTCCACATGTGAGCGTGTCTGCAATAGAGAGGGGTGGGTTTGGATTCATACACTATCAGTGGAAAATAGAGTGTATGTGTGGCATCACCATGGCAGCCGTCCAGCGCAGGCATTATGGGACGGCGTGTGCATGAATGATCACCTATCGGGTCATCTTCTGGGAGATAGGATGGATGGAGAGAGCCGTGTTTTGGCAGGCCTGTGACATGTCGGCTCAGCGGTCTGTGATCAGTCGCATTTAAGACACAGTCAGCAGATGAAACTTTGACTGTATAATTTATGTATTTGGAGTTCTGGAAACTTCTTTTAACAGGCAGAAACCTCAAGCAGAACCAGACAAAGACTGAGAGGGGAGAGAGGAAGATTTTAAAAGAGGGAGATTTTCTAGCTAGACTATAAAATCTACAATTTCAAGATGGAGGGTGTGATTAAATATCTACTTAAATGTGGGGTAGGCAGGAATCCATTAATCGTGATTGGTTGTGAGGCACGCTCCACATCCTTGAATAACATTCAGGTGCCCAAACAAAGTTAGCGTGCTACAATATCAGACAGTAGAAACCAACCAGAAAGTACGGAAAATTGTCTGAATCCTCCTTTGGCCACGACTGCCGACACAAGCAAGAAAACAAAGTAAATACCGGAGACTCTGGCGGAATAACGGGTGTTTAAAACGGAGGTAGACCGGACAAGAGTTAAAAAGCCGGGTCAATATCAATGAAGCATAAACGATGGGGAACGCTTTGGGACCCTTCAACAAAGTAAGCCAAGTGTCTGTAACAGAAGTGTTTCTTGTCAAATGGGACCTGCTGTAGCGTGTTGTAGCGCCGCTAAACTGTTGACCTCGGGACCTGGACTATGTCACTTTATCCTAGTTGTAGAGGTCCTAGCCTGTTAGCATCTACAGTAGCACAGATGCTTTTTACTTTCACCTTGACTGGGCCCCATTTGTAATTATCTGAAGTATTTATCTGCATTATATCTGAGCGAGCAGGAGCGTCTGTTTGTGGGCGGGGCTTGCCGAAGCTGAGAGGGAGGGGAGAGGAGGAGCTGAGGGGAAAACTGGTTGAGAGGGGTAGAGTTTACATTCAAGATTTCTCCCAAAAACTGACACTTCCTCAGATCCTGCCTACCCCACCTTGAGGGTGTGCAGAGTCCAGACTGTAAACACAATCAAACTCAGACTAATAATAGATGGAGCTGGAGGACCACATTTGGAGTTACTCTGACATGTTTCACATCTATATAAGTTTGTTTGGCTCCTCTGTAAACAAATAGATCATCTGCTCCTCTTCAGCTGCCTTCTTGGCAGAGTCGAGACCACCCAGAGGTCCAAACCCATAAAAATGGACCAGAGACTGAAGCGATACTAGCAGAATGATGTAACATAATATTGTAAGGTAATATTGTTTGGCTGTGGCTCTTATAAAACCAGTTTTGTTCTCTTCTTTCCTGTTATGTAATCAACATATTGGAGTAAGTATTCATTCTTGGCCTCGGAAAGAGAAGTTTAACAAATTCTTTGATATTCTGAGAGTCTGCTGAAAACAGTTTTAGCCTCGTCTAGCGGTCTCTCGGTTGTCAAGGAAATTACTGTTTCTGTTTGTGTAAGGTTTGGGAACATAGAGGAACCGAAAAAAAAAAGGTTTAAATAATGAATCGCTGAGAAAGCCCAAATTTACTCCTCTACCTTACTCACTGTTTATTATTTAATTTACATATATCAGCGAGCTAGCTATACACTATAAACATGTAAGGAGAAAGAGGCCTCCTATCAGAGCCTTCAAAATAAGAGCAGGCTGGTAAAATTTAGTCGTCCTTTTTGGAGAGGAAAACACAAAATTCATGTTGGTATTTAAAAATGAAGGATAGTTTTTGCACAAATTTCACATTCTTGGTTTGACCTTTTTGTCACTTGAACAGGGACCTGTCGCGTGGCAGAGTTGAATAAAACCATGATTTATTAAAAAGAATGAAATAAACAGCAACAAAAAAATTACTTCCAAAAAACACATGAAGTAAAATCCAAACAAAAGACACTCAGATAAAAACCACCAGGAGACGAAAGCTTCACGGGGAACATGCTGACATGCACACACATCGACAAAGTGAACCAACCAGGACAGAGGAGAAGACAGGGACTAAACGAGCAACAGGTGAGGCAGATGAGACACAGGTGAAACTCGTTAGTGATTAACAAAGGAGGGAAAACTGAGGTAGAAGAAACACAAGGAATCCTTTTCGTAGCCGTTCCAGATTTGGTGGAAATTGGGGGTCGCACACAGTTAATTTTAAGTTTTTCGGGGTTGCATTAAGTGTTTTTTTTTATCTACTTCTAACTCAGTAAGTCTGTGCGACATTTGAAGGATTTCATAAACTCACTAGGACAAAGCCAGACAGCCTCCAAAAAAAGAGGACATGTCAGAGTAAAAGAGGATGTATGGTCATCCTAGTCAAACACAAACCAAAAACTCACAAGACTGGACTACAGGGGAACAGGAACACAAAATACACAAAATGCACTAAAATAAAACCAGGAGAAACTAAATTAACACAACATATCATGACAGGACTGCTCTCTGCATGTTACTACGAAAAGGAGATGAACACGTGGAAACACCAAAGCCTGAGGCAGGGAGAGCAGCAGCCACAGAAACCTGGAACAGATTTGACACCAGCAAAATCAGATTCAGCTTAAATGGGGGAGCTGGGAAGGAGGTGGGTTGCAGAGTTTTTCGGGGAGGATGGGTGTCTCTATCTATCTCTACAAGTATCCGGTGTGGTTGAGGGACTAGTTAGCTGTTTGTTCATGGAGATTGCGTCCAACCACTCCCCCTCTTTCCTGACCATTTCCACTCGCTGTGAATACTCAGAAAACGGTAACTCGGATACACAAACTGCTACAGAATTGTCTATATAGTACATAAATCTTGATTGCACTAAAAGCCCGACCTCTGGAAGCTCATCACCGGAGGCTTTTAAGCTACAAGATGTCCGTCCAGCTTAGCTGTTATCTGGAGAGCTGGCAACAAAAACAGGGCGAGGAAACAAACAGAAAAAAAAAAAAGAAAAACAAAACTGGAATGAAGATTGGTGTTACTTAATTCAGCGGTTATTTTAAAACCGAGTCATTTGTTGCATCTTTTTGATGAGCTTCTCGTTTGCTGTTGACTCCCTCGAGTGTTCGGAGCGGTATTATTCATCTGTTCTCTGATCTCACAGTCAGTCACTGTTCTGTTAGTGTGAAATAGCCTCGATTTAAGTGTGACTAGTGAAGTGTGTCTTTCTATTTCGTGCTATTTCTCTCACTCTTCCTCTTTTTTTTCTTCTCTGTCTGTCTCTCCTCTTTCCCTTTTTCTTCTCTCTGGCTTTCCCCGGCTTTTGGATCAGCACCAGCGCCAGCTTGCCTGCTGATTATGAGGGCTTTAATGTTCCATTTAACAGCAGCATGTTTTGGGTCGTGTGTGTTTGTGTGTGTGTAGAGGTTGGGTATCCGTTTAATAGAATAGGCTTTGTCACACGCTCATTGTCACACACCAACACGGCCACATTAGCCTTTATAAAGCCAGCTGTGCCTGTCCGCCCGCCCGCCTGCCTGCCTGCCTGCCTCCTCCCTGAGTGGACAGAAGCGGCCTGGCGTTCGGCCTGTCCTTTGATGGCTGTATCAAACAGCCGTAACAGGAAATAGAAGCCAAATCAGGAGAGGGATGGGATTTAATGGAAATGTTAACGGCGAGGAAACAGTCACTCCAGGTCCCGACTTGGGCATCTCATCGGTTGTTAAACGGTCATTTTGTGCCACCTAGTGAAGGTTTTGTTTTTCACTCCGTCCTCAGATGGAGGAGTTTCACAGTCTCATCACTCTGCCCCACTTTCTTTCTCCCCCTCTTTTTTTTTTTTTACATAACAAAGTGTTTCATAACTTGCCAGATTGTCGAAAGAGCCGCAGTGCCTTCCTCTTCTCCCCCTCCCTCCCTCCCCGTCATCGACATCTCTGACACCTTTCCTTCACTCCTTCCCTTCCACTCTTCCTCCCCTGAAGCGAGGCCGTACAGGAGCGTGAGGCAGGACCCGTGGGAGGAAAAGCCACGTTCAATTTGTGCAGGACCCATCAGGCGAGGTCCCAGCCTTGCCCCAGCACCCCCATCTCCATCCCGAGGGGGGGCTTTCTTCCACAAATTAGTTTGGCTTCCGCGGAGTGAAGGGGGCAGATAGGAACCTGTATGGTTTAGGGGGGAAGAGCTCCTTCACTGTCACACTCACTTAACTCTCCTCCTTCATCGTTCTTCGTCTTCGGCGTCTCCTCATCTTTCAGCTCATTGACATTCCTCTTCCTCCGCTCGCCCCCCTCCTCCTCTCTTCTGTCTCTTAACTTCTCTCTGCAGTCTGATCGGTTTGCTGCTGCAGCAGAATTTACATGGGTGGGGACCTTGTGGTGCAGATGGGCAGCTTTACGAACCCCAGCTGACTCCCTCTGTCTTATATACTCTATCTTTTTTCTACCCCCTCTCATCCTCATCCTCTGCACTCTCTCCCATTAGGATTCAGGGACTCGTCTCCCCCCCTGTTGTGACTGCAGACAGTTTGTGCGTGCCGGGGCGGCTCTCTTGTTAGAGGCGAGGGCACCGTCCTCGCCTTTTGCTTCGCCCCTGTATAACAAGATTGTTTGCTACGAACACAAGCAAGGACGAAATCGCACGATGGTTTGACACCACCTGAAACAAAACTGAAATCCCAGCTTCCTTTTCGCTGTAATAAATATTTTGATATTAATAATGGATGCTCAGATGAAGGGATCTCTTCTACTTTTTATTACTCTGCAGTTTCTCCCTGCCCTACAGAAGTTTTACCGCCTTACAACTTGGTTTTTGATCTTGCGGCCAACTCGGTGTACAGTGTGCAGCACCGATCTGCACACAGAGACGGCGAACACACAACCGCAGTGGAACATTTAGTATCTAAGGAGCCGGGAGTAGGTGGAGGAGTGGGTGAAGAAGACTATAAACAGAGCTAAAAGAGTTAGAAATGTCTTTCTTGGAAATGGATCAAACTTCATTAAAGATCGCTTTTGATTTATCATACAAATCTGGTGCTCTGCTAACTTTACAGTCATGTGAGGAGTTCTCATTTTTGAGGAAATTGGCCGTGAGATGAGGACTGCGTTTCCCGTGAGCGCCACCACCCGCTCGTAAAGATGTGACTGAGTTTCCAAAGCGTGCATTTGTAGTGGAAGCAAATAAATGGAAAACAGATCTTCATTTTGACACAACTTGTTTTTGTTTGGACAACTTTCTGCAGGAATGATGAGCTCATGTACTGATTTAAAGCTCCGTAAAATGACTGTGAGGAGTTTTTGGACATTGATAACAGATTCAAATCTAATTCCAAAAGCAAACAAGAACAACAAAGACAGATTTGTTTTTACAGGTTACTCTGTCAGACAGCTGCAGGATTTGATTTGTCCACAGGGGGCGCCAAAGTGGCTTTGATAATTGGGGTGGGAGAAAAATCGATACAGCGTAGTAGGACTGGGCGATGATGTGATCGTGATCGATGATCATGATGAATTTCAGTTTGATCACGGTGATCAGCTGTGAGCATATTTACTCGATCAAACACGGCGGAAATGTGCGTCACAACAGCCAATGAGAGTCGAGCAGAGTCTGCACAGCCTGTAACTGCTGACGGCACGAGTAGCATTAGCAGTTTAGCCACAACTAGCGAGCAGCTAACAGACGCAAGCAATCAATTATATCATCTACATTTAATTCATCTAATGTTTACATTTTAAGGCGTCTTCATTATCTCTGAAGGGGGGATTTGTTTATTTTGGGTCTTGCATACCTGCAAAAACACTCAGGACTGTAAACTAATTCACTGTATTATTAAATATTTATCTACATTTGTTGTATTGTTTAGTTAAAATGTTTTTTTATATATTTTTCTAAGTTTATCTTGTTTAATTTGCTTTGTTATTTACTTTGTGTGTTAATAAAATGTTGAAGTAATCTTTAGTTTCTTTAGTTTTAGTACAGACGCTTTAAAACTGGCAGTTAAAAAAATGGGGATAATAATCGAGATCGGACAATATGACAAAATATATCGAGATCATTTTTTTGCTAAGATGTGCGACATGAAAATAAAATACAGTGTCAATAAGACAAACATAAAGGAAAGCCAAATGCTAAATTAGCTAAACAGTTGAAAAAAATTGTATAAATCGCAATATACTGTTGTTAAAAATTGCAATAATATTATATTGTGGCCCAAGTATCGTTATAATATTGTATCGTATCGTAGGGCTACGAGTGAGTCCCACTCCCACTGGTTATAAAGTTTCCCTACCTTAAAAGATATTTAAACATAAAATTTAAGTCTTTTTTCCAACCCTGCTTTGGTTTTAGCCATGAGTACAAAATATTATTCCAAGGTAACGTATCAAATAATGAAAAATATAAAGTTTTAAGAGGTTAAAAATATCTGAATATGATTTAAGCCTCAGCACGCCATGTTTGAATTTTCCAACAATGTTGTCCAAACAGATGTATACTCTAAATTAAATGTCTTTTCGAGCTCTACCTCAGTGTCTATATGTTTTTTTCCCCCCTCTGTGTTGTTCCCACTGTTTGATATGAGAAGCGTGTCTTCATCAGCACACCTAGAAATCAGTGTGTTTCATCCTCCCTGGCTCGCAGATTGTGGGGCTGGCAGTGATTGAAAAACAATCTCCGTCTGTTTGGATGGAGTGGCTGGTGTGAGCTGCACCTGGGGTCACCGGCGTTTACATGGCTGGGATCTCTGCAAGAGAAGCTTAGAATCTGACAGCTTGAAAATATGTGGCATCGTCATATTTACACAACTATATGAAGTTATTCTTGTATGAATATGACTTTATTTTGATTAAATTGTTGTGTTTTATGCTATTTTTTCAACATAGAGTCCCAAAAATGTCTGTAAAAGTGAAATAAGAGGATATTTAGTGGTGAATTGAGACAATAATGAGAAAAAACTCGCTCTTACTAAAACATCTCCTCGATGAAGGCTGCTCTCTGTTGTTTACATGCAATCTTAGAGAGCAGCCTCGCTCGGCTTAGATTACCCATCAGCTCTCAGAGTTTTTACCCAAGAGGTCAAGTGGAAGGTTGCAACTAATGAATCGCTCAGCTTCTCGCAGCTGCCCACAGGGTTCACGGTCTACGGAAGATGACGAGCAGAGCGGGGGCTCAGCGGTCACGCATTGCGTTTCTGCATTAACCTCTGAGCTGGTGGACATACCGGGAGGCGATCCGGTGATGACATGGAGCGCTGAGAGGCAGAGGGGCTTTAAGATTTACGAATACTGAGCTCACAGAGGATCCGTGTTATTTACTCCAACATGTACAGTAGAGTCACAGGGCCGCAGTGACAACAGTAGATTACGGTGAACTACAGTCCATTCAGACCAAAACTGTTATTGATCTGACTTCAAAGTAAATCCCTCATGTTTTGACACCAACAAGCCCACAGGGTAAATCATAAACCCTCCACTTTGGTTGCCCTTCTCAGCTCTGGTATCGGTGTGGGAGTTTCTATAAAGCAGAGTCGTGTTTTGTCATCATATATCTTGGAAAAATCGAACTCAACGCCTCTCACAAAAAACATCTCGCTAGTATCTCAAATTGATTGTCTTAATTGTAACTTTCATTATTTTATTCATCATTTAAATTTTTTTATGTAGTTTTCACTGTGGGGGTGAAGTTCTGTGAACCGACAGATTCATTTACAAGTCAAAAGTATCAGGATGCATCGAAGCATCAGAGCGTCACTGACTGAATGAAGAGCTTTGCAGCGTTTTGTTCCGCGCACCACTGACCGTGACTCTCCAGAAACAGCGCCGCTAAAAAGACCCATATCGCCCCCTAGTTTCAAGGAGGAGGACACGTTCAATAATCAGATTCTCTCAGCTGCATGTATAATAACCAATATATAATGAATTATGAGCTTAGTCCGATTAATCTGTGCACGCAAACGCACTACAGGAAAGAATCATTAATTTAATTTCTAGATTTCAAAGGAAAGGAAATCTTCATTTAATCTCCAAAGTCACGCCTGAAGGCTCAGACAGAAAAGATCAAAATACAGAGAAAAACTGAGATCTTTACGTCTTCTCTTTGTTCTTTTTTTATACGTTTCAGTTCTTTCCTTACGGCGACGCCTCCAAGTTTGCTCAGCACGCCTTCAGGACCTTCGACAAGAACAGCGACGGCACCATCGACTTCAGAGAGTTCATCTGCGCACTGTCCATCACATCACGAGGAAGCTTCGAGCAGAAACTCAACTGGGCCTTCAACATGTACGACCTGGATGGAGACGGCAAGATCACACGGGTGGAGATGCTGGAGATCATCGAGGTACCAACGATTAATCTCGTTATTTTATTTCTAAAGGGGCTAAAAATGGTTTCCAGGAGGGAGCAAAATCATGACAACCTGAAGAGTAAACCTGTTGCTCTCTTGTCTCTGAAGGGTTTTTACAAAGCTCTGCTGAAAGCTGCAAAAATCCACCTACCTGCACAATTAGCATTATCAATCTCAGCATCTCACTCTCAGCAAGAAAATGAAGAGTGCATTTCCCAAACCACTGCGGCAAACCAATAACTCGTCTGACTGTTAGAGCAGAGAGCTGAAAAATACTGATGAGTATAAAACAAGCAACAAGTCATGGAGGTGAATTTAGAGAGATAACTCAGAGTGATTTGACTGATTTTTAAGAGCGATATTGTTGTTGTAAAGAGGGAAACACAATAAATTGACTATTTTCTACAAATTATAAGTCATTTACATTCAAGAAAATACTGTATATAAATGGAAAAATAGATTATTAGTAGGTCTGACTTTACATATCTGTATATGATGATGGAATAATATCAAATGATGTGAATTTTCTTTCTCATCCTGCTCAGACGGGAGAAAAAACACACACAGATAAAAGCTAATGGCATATGCTGTGCTGTCTTTGCACCCTTATGAGGCGGCACATCACATCATTTTTGCAATTACCCACTCCAAGGCATCAAAAGATGCAGCAGTGCACCATCTGTGCCGCTGTCACATTCAGACAGGACACCTCGTTTTAACACTTAACCGTGTTTTTCCTTAAGTCCTCCCTCCTTACCTCCTCTGCTTACATAACTCAGCGAGGAAGTTTCAGAGCCTCTCTGAACATTCCCGCCGCTCTCTTCCTCCCCCTGCAGGCGATCTACAAGATGGTCGGCACGGTGATCATGATGAAAATGAACGAGGACGGCCTGACGCCCGAGCAGAGGGTGGACAAGATCTTCTCCAAGATGGATAAGAACAACGACGACCAGATCTCTCTGGAGGAGTTCAAAGAGGCGGCCAAGAGCGACCCGTCCATCGTATTACTGCTGCAGTGTGACCTCCAGAAATAGGCCGGAGGGCGAGCGGAGAGCGCCCCACCAGCCGCCACGGACTGCACAGAAAGAATTTCATGTTCCATTCAGTTCGCAGCTATTTCCACTGAAAAAAAAATATATGCTTGGACTACCTTTCAATGGATCTGCTTCTTGTGTTTGAAACACTCGTGTGCATGAGAATGTTATTTGCTATAAAAAGATCTACACACAACATACAAGGAGTGTGCGGGTGCAAGAGCACGGGTGCACACTCACTCCACACACACACACACACACACACACACACACACACACACACACACACACTACATATAAACACTTGCACAAATAATATATATATAGATACAGTATATAAATATGAATATATATTTAAATTATTCAAAGATCAACTGCCAAAATGTGAAGTGTGCAAAGTATTTTCCATAAAGTTTCATTCTACTGGAGCTTGCGCATCAGTGATGTGCTACGTTGAATTTGCCGCTACTCTATTTATTGTTCCGAGTTTACTGATGCTAGCTGTATGTGTTTCATAATACCGAGTAACGTCAACTGAACCAAATTCCTATGATAATGTATCTGCCTCCGAGAAGACACTCTTATCCATCGTCTTGACTATTAGCTAGAAGAGATGGATTAGCATTCGTCCAACTTTTCCTTCCAAAAACATGCTTGTACTGTCAGTATCGACAATGTAAACGTAGTTAATTTGCATGCCTTTAGGTTCTGCCTTAAAAATCTCCTCATTTTGCATCCTGTGATCGCAGACAGAAAGCCTTATTGAAGCAGCGCGGCGACGCTCAAAAAGCCGCCGCGAGTAAAAAAAGATTTTTAAACAAAAAATAGGTCCTTTTACAAGTATCGTCATTTGGGATGTAATTTTGTGATCTGTCCAAAAAAATGTTTAATTTTTATTTTGACTGCTTTTACTGTGGGAGCATGTTTCCTCGTAGATTAGCTGTAGTATATGTTGCTAAGAACTTAAACCCCGCCCCCTTCGCATTTACACACACCATCTCATGACGCCGAAGAAGCAGATTGTGGAGGGAATCCATCATCACCAAACACTATCAGAAATAAAAACGCGGTAAATCGGTCAGAAAGTGAGATCAAGCATTTAAACGTGACTCTCAGGAGCGTGAACAAACCGTCCCTTAGCTGGAGATAAAATAGATCTAGAGGAGAAAGTATTCGTTCACTGATAGTTGTAGAGCATTGTTATCAAATTAAGTTATAACCCTTGTTGTACTTCACACACATCCTCTTTTTTTCCCCCCCGATTAGTACGCAGATTGCATATCAACCGGATAAAAATCAAAGCAAGTGTTTCAGAGGAGAACAAATAAGGCCCGCGCAGCATTTCAACTTTCTTGTTCGTCTTTTTCAGTGGAAGTAAATGAGTGCTAAAAGTTGCGAGAGGAGCGGTGAATGGCGTTTCATTAAACACTGTAACTAGTAGAGGACAGCCCGTAAATGTAAAGCCATGTGTTTTAGTAGGTTAAACAATTCGCCCTTAACAACGACAACAACCCCCCGGAAGTGTTTCTCTTTTACCAATCAGCCAATCTTTTTGTACTTTTTTACTCCCCTCTCTCACACATTGTACACGTTCTGATGCATTCGGAGATGTAGAGAAGTTCAGTGAAGTGAGGCGCCGAATAGCCCCTCTGAGTCACCCGGGACTGCAGACCCTAAACAACAACCTGCGTCACTGCTTCTTGTGTTCTTAAAGGCTAAAGGAGGCCAGAGGAGATATAAAACACGTTAAAGTACTGCAATAAAGATCGAGCATGCTACTCCATTGTCATCTCTCTGCAGTGTGGCTTGTCCTCCCGTCACTTTGTAATCTGAACTTCTTTACATGAACATCTTTGGCCAGACAATGTTTCTAACTCCAACTCTGTTATTACTATTATTGCTATCAAGATACCAAATGTAAGCAAAGGCAACCGTGTACAAGGATTCTTTTGTAGCATGTATTGTGTCCCTGACGACATGGCTGCACTACTCCCTGTGTTGTGATTTAATCTAATAAAAGGAACTCTATGGGCTCCTGTCCTGTCATTGACTCTGAATTCATGTCAGACAGAGATCCACTTTAAAAACTTTGTTTGTAGTGAGCCCTAATTCACCACCATCATGTACTAAAAGTGCTTTATTGATTCAGTTTAGGGTAGATCTTAAGTAACTTGCCTCTAAAGTGATAATGTTTTCTTTTTGTACTGCTGTATTTAAGCAGTTTGAGTCCCTTCTTTGAGTGACTTTATCCTTAATTTTGGCTTTTCACTTTAAACTATTTATTGATCGTCTCAATAATTTTCAAATTTTTCCATTTCTTAGATATTTAACTTTTAAAGTTTGTGGTTATTTTAGCTATTGAGGCCATTTTTTCCAGTGAGATTTATGCTTATTTCAATCCCTGGACAAACAACCTTCAAGTATAACAACACCTGTCAACTGTTAAAACTATCCAACATATTATGAATCAAGTAACTCCCTATATTATTTCCAATTTTATACCACCAGGCCACTTACAATAAGTTTAAGATCTAAAAGTAAATTTTAATAGCCTTGTCTAAAAAGGACTTTAACCTGTTGCTCATTTTTTAAAAACGTATTGTCTTAAAACATCTTAAAAGTCGCTTTTAATTTTAAAACATGTTCTTCAACTTTGCATAAAAACTACATAAAATACATAAAACATAAAACAGGACCCCGATAGGAGAGGCCTGGAGTTATGGAGAAAGGTGCAGGAAAGCTTTGTAAAAACACAGCATACTCCACCGTGAGTAAAACAGCAAATGGGAGAACTGGTAAAGAAAGTCTCATCTTCTAAAATATACAATACCGCATTTTCTGGACCATAAGTCGCTCCTCCCAAAAAATGCATAATAAAGAAGAAAAACCATATACCGGTATACGTCGCATTTTTGGGGGAAATTTATTTGACTAAATTCAAGATGAAATTATATATGAAATTATATATTTTAATATATATATAAGTCGCACCGCAGTATAAGTCACAAATCCAGCCAAAAACCAAAAGTGCGACTTATAGTCCAGAAAATACAGTTCTTTAGATTCCAACTCCTCTAACAATGCGCAGACTTCTCATAACAAAAATCAGGTTTAATATTGCAAAGTTTAAGTACAATTTTAGCAAAGGACATGTCTGATACAGTCTTAACACACACTACACAACTATTGCACATTATGTTTCTGAGTTGGTGTCTATGGTAAAGGGTATTTTCATTGACCAATGGGGGTCCCTGCAGAAAAAGTTTGGGAGTCATTGATTTATATAAGGCTTGGAGTCCATTTTCCCATGTCATATCTCTGTGATACCACCAGATGTCACTGTCAAAACAAAACTCTTGATAAGTGAACAGGCATTAAAGACAATGTTTTTCTTATTATTAATTCCTTTAAAAACATCGTCTTTAATGTCTGTTTCCTGTGGGATAGAGAAGCATCAAGTAGAAATACAGCATCTAGTCCTTACACATTAAAATTTTCATGAAGTTTTTTAGTGGATTAACCACAAACACACCAGGTTCACTCAGACACTGGTGTCCTTTTACAGGTTTACAGTCATCAGTAGATTACAGCCCCAGGGACACCAACATCACGAGTTGTTCACCGCTTCAGGAAAATCAAAGACTGGACGACCCCTAACCTTTGTGCACATGCAGAATATACAGTCTATTGATCTGTACCGGTTCACAAAGAGGACAGCTCTTTCATTATGTGAAATCTATAGTATGTAAAAAGAGAGCAGACTAGAGATTTTAGAAAAAAGGACATTTATTTTACAGACTATTTTACATAGTCAGTATTCGTAATCATGATTTCATATCACACACAGCGTGACCATCTTCAGATTTAAATTAGAAGTTTGTGGAAGTATGAAAAAAGCGACAACAAAAGGACTTAAAACTATTTGCAAAAGCAGATTTTAACACCTTTTACAATCTGAATACTTCCACAGATCACAGGCTGATGCCTGTAATCTGTTTCCAGCTGAAGAGAATCGACTTTCCCCAGTCTAGATGTTCATCCTCACACAGTCTAACCAAGATGAGTGTTTACAAAATCATGAGAAAAACAACCATATCAGCGAACCCAATAAAATCATCTCCGGTAAAATAAAGGACATGCGACGACTGTACAGAAGAAAAAGAGAGAAAAAAAAGGAAAAGGGGTGGTGGAAAGGGTTTCTGGAGGCTACTTTGGAGGGTCTGTGTTGATGCCGTATTTCTCTTTTAGGAGCTTCAGCTGTTCCTCTTTCTTCTTGGTGTCCATCTTCTGGAAAGCCTGCAAACAGAGTCAATAAAACAGAGGTGAATAATCTAATCTGACATTTATTCTTTTTAAACAATCACAAAAAAAGATCTTTAGTTTGAATCACTTATTTCTAATCTCTATTAACCATACGTACTCTGTTTGCGTTGTAGTAGAGGACCACCAGGTAACGGTTGCAGACGTTGAAACCTGACAGGTGGTCACAGGCATTCTTGGCGTCAAAGATGTCTTCATAAACTACGTATGCCGTTCCTCTTGTTTCTGGTGTGTTCCCTCTGAAAAAATGACAACAGGACGTGTTTAAAAGAGACGGTCTAATCTTCAGGGTCTGACTTGTGTTTTAGAGGAGAAGAAAGAGCAGAGGCAGCAAAAAAAATCACATCTAACAGAGTCAAGGAAGTTACAGTGAACATTATCGTTACAGAACTGGTGATTCAGATCTTTAACTCACCTCGTCAATCAAAGCAGCAGAGGTTAGCGGAAAAAGATCCAAATTTGATCCACTGGAAAGTTTTTGTCTTTGCTCATCGTAAGATTAAGTTTCACACAGAAAAGAATCATTTTCCATGTGTCAGAGCAATGCATTCATTCATCATTTTTACAGTTTTAAGATAGTAGATGGATGCCACCATCAACAACTGATGATTGTTGTTTTAACAATCTCTAAAATATCCATAGTAAGTTTTTTTTTTTTCTCAAACAGCACCGTCCCTTTGATTGTTCCTCAAATCAGAACTGAACTAGGCATGAAAGCGTTCAGTTTTGCTTCCACTTCAGCTTGGAATTCTCTCCAGACTGACCTGAAGTTTTCGTTCAATTTTACATGACAGACTTCAAGAGACCATGGAACAGTGCCTGTGTTTTTAATTATGTTTCTGGAGGTCATTTTCTTCGTCTTTATTATTATTATTTATTATTGTTTTGTGTGCTGCCGACCTCTTGGCCAGGTCACCCTTGTAAATGAGATCTGGATCTCAACAGGTTCTTACCTGGTTAAATAAATAAATAGTAAGTATGTCACTAGTTCTCCACATGTGGAAAACTTACTAAATCCAATGTGTTCAAAATTCTATGTGGGGATTCAAGGTCCTCACATAGACAAGAAATCATAAAGGACCACCCACACACCTGTTTTGTGAACTACATAAACATTCATAGTAGAAGAGATTCTTTCAACAGTCACCTCAAAACACTTTCACATGTGATCACTTAAAAGTTTAGTGCAGAGTTTAAGGTGTTTACCATACCGATAATGTAGACAGCAATATTTCCTAGAGCAGGGTAGCTGATGCCCAGTATAGTTAACAGACACAGGAGCATATGTGTGTCAGCTTGACTGCAAATGCAGACAGCAGACTCAGAGAACAAGGCTGCCACTGCACAAAACGCAGCAAAGTTGTGTAAATGATGAGACCACTTTAGCGTCTCTACACTAAAATGGTTTCATCATCAGTGGACACTGTAGAGGAGTACAAGTACCTAGGGGTGTACTTAAACAATAAACTGGACTGGACTAGGAGTCATATTAGTTGTGGTTGTGTACTACCTTACCAGGTAAATACTTACGTTCTGATCTGTCGTATCGGTCCGTATTTCCCAAAGATGTCGTACATTTCCTCAGCTGTGATCTTGTAGGGAAGGTTCCTGACGTACAGGATTCGGTTCACCTCAGGAGGTAATCGAATCTGGAACACAAAAACCACATCAGAAAGTGGACTTTAGAAAGATCCACAATAAACAGAGAAGTCCACGTGAAACCGCCAAGACTATTACGAAACATTTAACACAAAAGATGATCCCGTTGACTTATTAAGTAACAAAAGCGTCTATGTTTTACTGTATTTACTTCCAAATTAGGCTGTTGTCACTAAAAACACGAAGTGAACAGTATAAAGCAACTGTTGTGTTTGTTAGCATGCTAACAGCGAGCTAACTATCTGTATCAGCGACATTAATGACAAAGTTAAAACTCCAGCTTATCTAAAGAAGATAATAAACCAAATACTCAATCTGAACTTACATTAGCGCGTTTCGCCGCTTGCATAGCCATGATGAGATGGTTTTAAATATCGATAACGCCGATGAATATCACACACGATGGTCACTGGCTCCTCTCGCTCCTCGTAAAATGGCAGCAGTGACGCTCACTGTCGACGAACTTCCGCTTCCAGTGCTGCCCCCTGCAGGACGACTGACCGCCACTACAGCACCACACACCAACAAAGATACGACCGGAGGATGGAGCTGCAGGCTGCAGTTTTAAGGCCATAATTCTGGGACTGGCACGGGGGCACCAGATATTTCCACAGTTATTTGTTTATATCCACTCACCTGTGATTCTCCAGGATCCAAATGAAATGCAGTCGAGGGGGAAAACTGCTCACATAGCTTTTTTATGCACTTGCATAGTTTTGGGTAATATGAACCAAAATAATCAATTACCCCACCGATTCTGGCTTTCTATCAACTACATGACAGCAGGAAAATATGATGTCTACTCAACAAAAACTCTCATTTACCCAGCAAATTTGTCTCATTTTTTGTCAAAACATCCCCTTATATATTTTCTAAGCTGCACTAACGTGATATAATATTTATCCAAGTATAAATCTTATTTTGAGACATCGAATGTCCAAATTATCAATTGAAGTTTCTCGGAGTAGCCAAGTATTACAGCTTGTTTTTATTAGATTTGTAGGAATATTAGGCTTGACTCATGTAGTCTATGGTTCAGACACAGTGGAGTTTTCTATGTCACAAGTCAAATGGCCTATTGCTTTGCATTGCCACAATAGTATGTATGTATTATTATAAACTTAAAATTAAAGTTTTTATTTCATTATGTTTTAGAGTAACAAAAAAGGTCTAACATAAAAGATCATTTTAGAGTAAAAAAAAAGGACCAACATAAAAGATTATTTTACTAAAAGTTCAATCCTTCAAATTTGTTTGGGTGCCACTTTCTACTACAGAAGTGCAATTTCCCCCCTTTTTTTTAAGACCCAAAAAGAAATTCAAGCAATCCCTGCTTCTTCATTTGTGCTTCTTATATATAGTTCTCCATTAGATATAATCATCTTCAACTGTACAATCTGATTGTAAACTGGTCAACCTTAATAATCTAATAGTGCAATACAGATAACACATTGTTGATTAAGCTACACTGTGCAATATGGTATTTTACCATACAAGTGTTTTATCTATTATTCAGTGCAATATCCTACAGTTCAATACAGCAAACTGGTTTTGTATATATGAAAACCTACTTTCTGTGCTTGCACATAACTTATTTGATTTGTAAAAAGCTTTATTTGTAATATTCAGCACTTTATGCCAACTATCTTCTCATTTAGTCTAATTTCTGTTGTACATCTATTTTTCCTTCTATTAAACTTTCCATTTCCAAGAGCAAGTGTAATGACCTTTGGCTCACCTCATATGTGCTGAGCAGCTTGAAAACATCTGAAGGACTCTTCAGATTTCGATGGAGAAGTGGTTGTAGGAGGAGTGCTTGTGAGTCATCCCATGTCATTTTCACACACTCAGTATGGACCTGTCTTTTTGGGAGACAGATAAGCTCATAGATAAGTGGAGGATGTCAAAGCATTCATCCATGTAATGCAGAGGAAAACTTCTGTTTTCTGTGTGTAACGCAAGTTTGTTATGATCCAAAGCATTAAAAAAAGATGTATCATAGACAGCTGCTGAGTCAGTGTCACATTTGGATGGCAGACAAAGTTAAGCACAATTTTCCGAGGTAAAACCAAATGATGCTGCTGCCCTTGCCAGTAAATTTAAGCTCAAAAGAAGATCTCAAAGCCTAAAGTGATTGTTTGTATTCAGGCATCCACAGTGAACATGTTTTCTTTGCTTTTTCTGTGTGGGGAAGCTGTGGGTGAAATAAGTCTTGTGCAACAATTTCTTTTCAGTTGCAGTCATAAGCATTAACTTTGTTCGTCTTACGATACAAATACATTTTTCAATTTTTCATTTTATGAAACAAAAATAACTTTCTATTTATTGTGTACAGTGAGTTACTTTCTTTGATGCACATTTATCCTTTCTCTTTAATTTTATATTTCTGCTCTATACCGTTTAAATTGTCCTCTGGAGAAAAATAAAGTTTATTTAAAGTCATTTTTAATGTTGAACATGTTAGCAGGTAGCTATTATCGGACCTTATAGACGTATTTTTGTGTAAATTTAGACTTTTACTTGACTAACTGGTGACACTTGACACTTCCGGGGCGGGACTGGGAAAAATCTGGAAAAAAAAAAGACGTCTGTGGCGCGCGTGCTTGTACGTCGTGCTAGTGAACGTTAGCCGCGAACTAACCGTTACTAACCTCAGTTTCGTGTGTTTTCTGGTTAAATATTCAACCGTTATCTTTGTACTCACATATCATTGTGGGCAGTTCGACGGATCATCTGTCACAGCGGTGAACCTCAGAGTCAGTTGACGGTGTCGGAAAGTTTGGGCGGTTGGAGTTCGGTTAGCGCCGCCTCGGCTGTCTGTTGATTCGTGTGTTAATGTCGTTTCAGTCGAACTTGTACATCACCGTCGAAAGGTGGGAGTGAGCAGCTCTTTGGCATTAAACAGGTGGGTTTTTTTTTTGTTGTGCTTAACACTTATAATACCTCAGCTTGATTCAGTAACTGGTGAACGTAGATGTTAGATATTATTTTAACCTAGCTAGCTGCATTGTTCGGCGGGACCTTCCCCTACCATCCTCCAAAAAAACTCCCGAGTCGGGGTAGTTCACAGCGAACTTTGGCGCTATTTCAGAAATGCTAGCTTAACGCTTAAGCTTGGTGGCTACTGTCGAAAAGATATTCAATCAATTTTCTTCCTTGTTAAGTTTAACGACCCCTCCATATTCAACTTTATTTTGTCTGAGACTTTACATTGAAGTTATCTAATATTTCAAACTTTTCAATGCAATGTAAGCTGTCTGTGTGTGATAATTCATGTATAATTTATGTTCTGCACATTTTCCATATTTTAAGAGGTATGGGAATTAACAGGAATTATTATATGACAGCAAAATGCTCTGAAAAGTAGCAGTTTTAAGGTCTGTTAAAACTTAATAGAAGATATTTTTCACATTATGGTGTCCTGGAAAGTTAATTTTGTTCACTGAAGTAATCTAATGTTCCAAGCTTTGCCATGCAATTTAAGCTGTATGTGTGTGATACTCATTGGTCTCACCTGTTTAATCCATGTTATGCACATTTTCCATATTTCAAGAGATATGGTTATTAACATCCATCATTATATGACAGTGAAATGCTCTGAAAAGCAGCAGTTTTAAGTCCGTTAAAACCTGATCAATGCAGATATTTTTCACATTATGGTGTCCTGGAAAGTTTATTTTGTTCACTGAACACAAGATAAAGCTGAAGGACATTTATTTATTATGTATTTATCTTCTGAATTTAGATGGTTGTGACATGTGCTTGGGTCCTGTTATTTCAGATTATCCCACGCAGCTGCTCTGAAGAAGATTTCTGCAAACAGCATTGTCACTGTGAACCTTAAAAAATCGAAGCAGACATGAGTGTTTTAGTTTGTAGCAGCGATTTCCAACCTCATCTGACAACATTTCCTGGGGAAGATGTTTAAAGAAGTTTGCACGCATATGTGTTGCTCTATTGTCTCCATGTTGGTTGTGAGATTGTACCATGATTCCTTACCTGTGGGTAAGACATTTTAGTGGTATTTGAATGTGTGAAGCTTTCTGGTGGTGTTGAATAGTAGGACCTCAAGTAAGGGAGATGCAAAGAAACAAGCTTTGCCCAAAACTGCCTCTGGCTCAGTCTAAAAAAAAACTCTTAAGCTCTACTGGAACATAAGTAATACTCTTTGAATTAAAGATTAAAAATCTCTCCCTAGCCGAGGTAGCAGCCATACAAAGACAAAAGTTATTTTATGTCACCTTACTCTCTCCCTTGGGTTCCCCCCTCTTCCTCTAATATTGTTGTAGTATTGACTTACTCATACACTGCTATTATGGCCTGTAAATGTGCGCAAATATAACCTTTATGTTTATATGGATCGGTTCATACAATGTAATTTACATTTGAAACATCTGACTAAAAAGATCATAATTCTAAAGGCACAGTGGCTTTTATTTTGGCGTGGCGGTGCACCAGGATCATTTACATGCATAGGAAACACCGTGTTTTACTCATCGTTGAAGGGTGACTTACATCATAAGTTGCAGTTGTAATGTGCAACATGGAATACATCGCCAAACAGTAAATGAAACCATCTTCTAATTGGATTATTTATAATACCGGCATTAAATTATCTTCTTTGCAAAGATGAAATTGACAAATTATTTTCATTAAACAGTAGATGGAATAACAGCCTATGGTAAATGTAATAACCGTAAAAAAATTAAAATGTGACATGTAAGCTAATAAATGACAAAACATTGATTTAATGATGATCCAAAAAGGCCAGATCCTTTAAAAATAAGTTAATGGTGTATCTTACTTTGTTGGGCATTTTTGAAATTTGCTCAACTTCCTCTGTATTGAAGACTTTTGTTTCAGTTAATCAACAAATGATGAGAAAATGCCTTAATGAGTTTATTGCACTTCGCCCCCTGAATGAACCAAATGTAAAACCTCTTGTTTGTATTTTGATCCTAATATAAGTTTCTTTGTTTGCTTGCATGTTTTCCAGATAATATTGAGTGCTTCCAAATCTTTGTGGTTGAGAGCCGTCAAAGAATGGGCAGCTTGAGTTCTTGAAACCTCCAAGATGACATCAGTCGTAGGACTACCTACAAAAGGGTCAGATGTAACAGTTCTTATCACCAAGGTCCACTTGCATCCCCTTTGTGTGCTTGTTGAGTTCTGGGCAAAGTTTAACCAGGAGAAAACAGCAGACTATGAGAGCCTGGCCAAAGACATTCAATCCCCTGGTGGCATATTTCAGGAGTTTGAAGGAAATGCTGGTGACCAGTGCTTGGTTCAGTTTGATGGCATATGGTACAGGTCCCGCATAGTCTCAAGACATGGCTCCAAATACTGTGTATTCCTTATTGACAAAGGAACTACATTGAACACCTCCTCTAGTAAGCTTGCATGGGGTAAGAAACAGCATTTCAGTCTGCCCCCTGAGGTGGAACTTTGTGTGCTAGCTAATGTGTTGCCAGTGTCCTCTGAGAACAGATGGTCTTCAGTGGCTTTTGAGTTCCTGAGATCACTTCCTGGGAAGTCTGTGAAAGCACATGTGCAAGATGTTTTGTTGCCCCACAGAACACTTCTACTGCACATCCCTTGCATATCCAAGCAAATGTATGAGATGGGAATCGCCAAGAAGCTGTCTCCAGGTGCATTCCTGGACTTTGTCCTGAAGTCACTGCAGTCACACAGTGAAGCTGAAATGCCTCCAGGGAATGGGCTCACTTCAAAGGGGGAAAGCGAGAGACTGCACAACAACGAGCACTTCATGTACCCAGAGCTACAAGCAGGAACTGTGGAGACTGTTACAGTCACGGATGTCACAAATCCTCAAAGGATCTTTTGCCAGTTAAAGGTGTTCTCCCAAGAGTTTAGGAAACTGTCAGAGCAGATCACTCAGAGCTGTGAGGGGAGAATGTCGAAGTGCCTTGTAGGTCCAGAAATGGTTGGGTTTCCATGTGCTGCAAGAGGAAGTGATGGCAGGTGGTATCGCTCTGTGCTGCAACAGGTACTCCAGGCCAACCAAGTGGTAGAGGTGTTGAATGTTGACTATGGAAAAAAACAGTTTGTCCACCTGGAAAATGTCAGACCACTGGCCACTGAGTTCTTCAGAATGCCTGTTGTAACTTATAACTGCTCCCTCCATGGAATCATTGACAAAGGGGTTGGTTGGTCAGCCAACCAAATTGACTATCTCAAGTCCCTTCTTCTTAACAAGTCAGTTATTGCGAAATTTGAGTATCAAAGCGTCTCTGAAGGGGTTTACTATGTCACATTCTATGGGCACGAAAACGCTAACTTGAACAAGTTGTTTGCTGCAAGCATCAACAGCCCATTGGAGATGGAAAAAGCGCTTGGAGATTATGCCACCGGTGACACTGTCTACAGACCCCAGTATCCACCTCAGCCGGATAGATTTAAAATAAAAATGTCAAGAAAACAGGAAGGGCAACAAATAGTGGAGAGGTTGTCAGCTGAAGACCTCTATCTTGACTCCTCACATGAGGCAGTTGTCCAGCATGTATCTGACCCATCAGAGTTCTGGATCCAAACTCTGAACTTTGCAAATGAGCTGGAAGTACTGATGGATCGCATCTATCACCTGTACAAAGATTCAGTGGGAACAGATGTAAAAAATCCAGCAGTTGGACTGTACTGTGCTGCCAAGGCAGAAGATGGCGACTACTACAGAGCAGTTGTGACTGAAGTTGGTGAGACCAAAATCAAGATGTTCTTTCTTGACTATGGAAACACTGAATATGTTGACAGGAGTAACATCAGGGTGCTTCCTGACATGTTCAAAGAGCTGCCACGTCTTGCATTGAAATGCTCACTGGCCAGCATCAGGCCAAATGGACAAAAATGGAGTCCAAGTTCAAGTGAGTTTTTCATCAAAGCAACTGCAGGCAAAGTACTGAAAGTACATGTTACAGCAAAATATGAAGGCTGCTATGTTGTCCAACTTGCAGATCCTGAGGCACAGGGAGAGAGAGATCTTGCCTCACTGATGTGTAGTTCTGGTCATGCTGAAAAGGTTGAGACACAAAAACAACCCAAAGAGAAATTTTACACGCAAACTGCTTGTCTGCCAACTGCACAGCTTCTAGGTGCCAGACTCTTAGGTCCACACATCAACCATGGACCTTCTTCGCAGCTCCATAGTGCAGGAGATCTTGATGCCAATCAAAGGAGAACTCCTACCTTCAAAGAGTACATGTTTTCCACTGGCAGTGTCCTTGATGTAGCTGTGTCCTTCATGGAAAGCCCAAACGACTTCTGGTGCCAGCTAGTACAGGATTCAGGACTCCTGAAATTGCTTATGCATGACATTCAGGCTTACTACAAAGACAGTGAATTCCAGCTTCCTATAGAAACTGCTTGTGTCGCTCGCCACCCTGACAACAGAATGTGGTACAGGGCGCTTGTGATTCGCAAACAGGAATCTCAAGTCACAGTCTTGTTTGTTGACTATGGCCAAACAGAAACTGTCTCCCTCTATGATCTGAGGACGATTTGCCCGCAGTTCCTCCCTCTGCACGGTCAAGCTTTTCGATGCAGCCTGTTGAACCCCGTTGACCCCACATCTGCCACAACTGAGTGGAACAAAGAAGCAACAGCAAAGTTCTACAACTTTGTGGAAACTGCTGCATCCAACTTTGTGATTTTGAGGTGCACCATTTATGCTGTCATGTACAATGAGCAGAAGATTGTTTTCAACATTGTGGACCTTGAAACTCCATTTGAGAGTGTCGCCACCAGTATGGCCAGTCTACACAAAAGCGCAGTTCCCAAGAAAACAGCAGGGCCATCTTACCGTCTGGACACATACTACTACTCGACACACGACGTTAAAACTGGAGCAGAAGAACAGGTCACTGTCACATGTGTGAATAATGTCAGCCAGTTCTATTGCCAGCTTGAGAGGAACGCAGATGTGATCAGTGATCTCATGGTCAAAGTTAATGATCTCTGTCACCAGCTTGGAAAAGTCAAGCTCCCAGCAGTCTGTGGAAATTTGTGCTTTGCGAAGTACACTGATGGACTGTGGTACAGAGGACAGATCAAGAGCATAAAGCCAGCAATCCTTGTCCATTTTGTGGATTATGGTGACACCATTGAAGTGGAAAAATCAGACTTGCTTCCAGTTCCTAGAGAGGCCAGCGACATCACGTCTGTCCCTGTGCAGGCACTTGTGTGCAGTCTCTCTGATGTCCCCGCCGATGTTCCCAGTGAGATGAACACCTGGTTTGAGACAAGTGTTACAGAGTGTAAGTTTCAGGCACTAGTTGTAGCCAGAGAACCTGATGGTAAACTGCAAGTTGAGCTGTATCATGGGAAAACTCAGGTAAACTCAAAAATCAAGAAGATGTTTAAGATTGAGAAGCAACCCGAATCAATGGTTGTCCACCAGAGTTTGAGAGCACCTGGCCTGACACCAAGGAGTCTGAAAGCTGCTCCAAAACAAGCAGAGGAAATGGAGACACAAACCATCAGAAACAACAACTCGACCTCAAAAGCAGCACGCGACCTGAAAGATGTTGACAAAAATCTACATTCTAAACCGAAGACATCTCAATACCTCGATGAAAACGGTCAGAAAGGTAAAGCTGCTCCGTTAAAACTGTATCAACCCCCACACCAAAGAGAAGCACGTGGAATGACACAGAGTAATACAGGAAACAACTCGGCATCAGCAGCTGCTCAGGCCGAACAAAAACAATCTTGTTCTCCTTGTCCCAAGCAGCCTGTCAAGTCCACAGCACTTGCCACCAAGTCCCAGAAAGAAAGAGCTGTTGAGAGACTCCCCAAGCTTGCAGACCTGCCATCAAAATCAATCACATCAGGAATGGAAGCAGAAGTCTATGTCTCTCAGTGCAACAACCTGTTGAGTTTCTATGTGCAACTTGTAAAAGAGGAGGATGACATCTACTCATTAGTGGAAAAGCTCAATAATCCCAAATCTGTCCCCCAGACTGACAACATCGGTGATCTTCATCCAGGTGACCTTGTTCAAGCTGAGTTTGCTGAGGATTCATCATGGTACCGAGCAGTTGTGAGGGAAATTCAAAGTGATGCGACAGTTCTTGTCGAGTTTGTCGACTTTGGAAACAAAGCAGCTATACCAGTTTCCAAAATAGGCAGACTCCAGAAGTCTTTCTTGGAGCTTCCTGCGTATGGCACACACTGTATGCTGAGCAATGCGGCGACTCTTGGAGAAGAGGAAATACTTGGTACAGAATTGGGGTCGGCTTTCAAAGAAGGCATTGGTGAAAATGGAGAAAAGGTTCTCAAATGCAGGTTCATCAGGCAGTCAGGATCTGTGTGGGAAGTCAGCCTCAAAGATGGTGATGAGGATCTCTTGTGTAGAATAACCTCTCGACTCTCAACTGATGATTCTGAGTTAACCTCTGGCAGACTCAAACAAGCGGAGGAAAAACCTGCCCAGGACTCTGACATTATGCAAGAGGCAGATAACACACACAAAGTGCTCAAGTCTCGCTCCTTGTGTTACCCCCGACAAGAGTTTTCAGTGGGGCAAAAGTTAGAGGTCTACATTTCATCTACAAACGATGATCAGACATTCTGGTGTCAGCCTGCAGACTCCGAAGAACTCGATAAAATAACACAGAGTGTTGCAGAAGTTGGGGATTCAGCCAATCGCGAAGGTTTTGATCCAGCCTCTCTTTCCACTGGCACTCCATGTATCGCTCTCTTTTCAGATGATAATCTTTGGTACCGGGCAGAAGTCATCAGCAAAGACGGAAACCAGCCGTTGGTTTCCTTTGTGGATTATGGAAATGGGTCTAGAGTCAGTGTCTCAGACGTGAGGGAAATATCCCAGGACTTGACTGAAAGTCCTCCGCAGGCATTTTTGTGTGAGCTTGAAGGCTTGGATGCTTCAAATGGATCCTGGGACAGCGGTGCAGTAGACAAGCTGTCAGCGCTCTCAGAGGACAAAGCCTTTCAGCTGACTGTCACACGGGTAACCAGAGATGAGGGTAAAATCAAACACTCGGTGCAGATAGAATGTGAGGGACAGGTGATGAACGAGGTGCTGAAAACCTGGTGGAGACCCTCCATGGCAGAAAACGAACCAGCTGAAGTTGAAGTGACGGATTCGTTTAAAAGATCAGCACTATGCCAACCCACAGTGGAAGAGATCGCACCATCAGGGAATCAACCAGAGTACCAAAACCAAGAAGTGGAAGCTCCACAAGCTGACTGTGATGAGCACAGTGCTGAAGATTATGTCCAGTCTGAGTCTCTTCAGTTTTCCACAGAGGAAAACAACAGTATGGCTTCAGAACCCCACACACTAAGAACGACAGAGAGCTTGAGAAAAACTCCCTCTCAGGAAGAGTTGACAATGGTCTCTCCTACTGTGGTGTCTGAAGACGAACTCGTGGACATTTTGACTTGCGATGGCGGTGAAGATGAGACCCTGTTTCCTCCTGAAGCTGAGAAAGACACTGAGGAGGAGGTTGCTTCAATCACAGGCGCTTTTGGAATTGATGACATCTGTCCTCCATTGTATGAGAACCTAACAGAGCCCACAAATGAGCCAGGGATCAGACCTGCTAATTTGGAGTCTCTGCCAGGAGAGGTTGATACCTACAGTGTTGAGGGCAGCTCAGAAGGAGCAGTATTACCCCCTGAAACCATTAAATGCACCGAAGAGAGGTTTGCTTCAATGATGCGCTGTTTTGGACCTGATGACATGGACCTATTAGAGGCTACAGATGAATCTGGGACCACAAAAACTGTTTTGCCTGAGGAGGTCCATACCCATAGCATAGAAAGCATCTCGGACACCCTGATGTTGTTTGGTAAGCAGTGATTCAAGAATCCTTCTACTAATTCAGCAATCCATCAAAGCTGCTAAAAAAACATGAACATATCATATGATTTTCTTCTTCTTTGCATTTCCAGCTCCAGTAGAAGAAAAAGGGGACAGAGAGGTCTCTGATTCTCTTACCAGTACAACTACTGTGAAGATGGTAAACTGTGAAACATGACATCTACAGAGACACACTTAAATTAGCTTGAGTTTACGGATGGATGGACTTTTTGAAATCTGATTAGGTGTTGTATCCTTCTACAGGTCCCCCGTGAAGCTGTTTGGCCGAGTGAGAGTTCAGACCTGTGTGAGGACACTGACGTCACTCATGAGGACTCGATGCAGGCACGTCAGGTTGTTTTCATCACTAGATGAACTATTGATCAACAAAAGGGTTATCATTAAGGACAGCTGTGGCTCAGCAGTGGAGGCGGTTGTCTCGCAGTGAGAAGGTTTGGTGTTTGATTTCAGGCTCTGATGTTTGACTACCTCTGCAGGCAGAGCCCAGAAAATGTGACTGAGATGAGTTAATACTGATGCCTGCTCTACATCGCAGCTTCTACTATCAGTGTATGAGTATGTTGTGAATGCTAAAATGTGTGAAAACGCTCTTAAAGTAACCTGAGGACTAGAAAAAGGGCTATAAAAAAGGGCGACATGGTGCTGTTGTTTGTAAAAGCACATCATATTATGAATTTAAATGTTGGAAATTGTTTCTCTTTGTGTTAAATATCGCATTTTCTTCAAACTTAGGTCCAAAGTGAATCGTTGATTTCTTTTGAAGAGATTCCTTGTGAACAATTAGCTGGTGAGTAACCTCTAACACCACCTAAGAAATACTCATTAGATGGGCATAAGATACTGGGTACATCACAGAGGCTTGTTTCACAAATGTTGCTCTCCAAAATTGCAGAAATTTTCTTGCAGTACAAAGTTGTTCTCTTATTTTGTAATATGTTCTCGTGTTCTCACGTTACATACTGCGTAAAGATGATATGGTAAATTGTAAAGTGTTACCAAAATGTCCCCCACAGAAGCTCCCACAGAGCCTGAAACACAAGTTGGAGATATCTCCTGTCAGGATGAGGCCTTGTGTATCGAGGTAAATTGGACTAAGCTTCTGTCAAATAGGAATAAATACAAACATATTTCTAAACTAGTCTTAAATGTCTGAAGAATTTGATTTTTTTGTAATTTAAGATTTGTTTTCATGAAGTTGTTCTGCACCCGAAATATTCTCTGTTTCAGAAAAAAATCAGTGCCTGAAGATGAGACGGTGGCTCTGGAGGACGACAACCTTTCTGGTTTGTTTATCTTGATAAATTAGATCTGAGAACTTTTGTCACTTTCCTTTTGCCTTTCTTAAATATTTAACCGTCAATATAATCAATGAAGAGGTTCAAATGTAATGTGATATTTCTCAATAAACAGAGGATCACTTTTTAACTACAGCATTTAATCCCCACATTGGTCGTGTCTCAACATCTTTTTCTCTGTCTCTACAGTCCCTCTAGTGGACATCGATGAAGCTGCCAGTGAGACACACTCCTGCACCGCTTCCTCTCTAGATGTGGTAATGATTTGAACCCTCTCAGTTTTAAAGTGTCCTTTCAACTGCACTTTTTTCAATCTGATGAGTGATTTTTTTCTACATTGCTGCTCAGGATGACAAAGTGTTGGAATTGACCCTCTCTGTTGAAGAGGAGTGTTTGACAGATGTCTACACAGGTATTACAACGCAAAGTTTAACTTACTATTGCTTTTTTAATAGTAGTTGGCTTTGCAGTGTCAAATGTTTATTTTTTCCTGTGCACCATAGATCATATTGAGCCAACAGGCATACAGATCCCCAGTGCAATAGATGATCATCTCAGCTGTGTGACCGCGGAGGAAACGGTAACTTTCATCACACTGAGTTTCCTCACATACAACAGTGTTTTCAAACAGAGGTTCAGGCTCTGTGGAGTTGTCACAGCTCAGGTTAGCTGAAAACTATTAAGCGCTAGAGGCTTTAAAAGCATGATGAAGATATATTCTTGAATAACTGGGCCCCTCACAAACATCTTGACCCATAATTAAGAATTCCACGGGACACAGATCAGGGAAAATGCTTCAATACTAATACTATTTCAAACAATCGTGGTTTAAAAGCACATCATATTATAAACTTGATTGTTGGAAATTGTTTCTCTTTGCAGTAAATCTCACATTTTCTTCAAACTTAGGTCCAAAGTGAATTACTGATTTCTTTCGAAGAGATTCCTTGTGAACGATCAGCTGGTAAGTAACAATCTAATACTCATTAGATGGGCATAAGATACTGAGTACACCACAGATGCTTGTTTCACAGTTTATGACCTCCAAGGCAGTAGATCAGGTAAGGCTAGTAGATGTGATAAGGCAGTAGATGTGAAGTGCTACCGAACTGTCCTCCACAGAAGCTCCCACAGAGCCTGAAACACAAGTTGGAGACATCTCCTGTCAGGAAGAGGCCTTGTGTATCGAGGTAGATTGGACCCAGCTTCTGTCAAATAGGAATAAATACAACCATCATTTCATTCTTTAAATTTAAAGATTTGTTTTCATGAAGTTGTTCTGCACTGGAAATGTTCGCTGTTTCAGAACAAATCGGTGACTGAAGATGAGACGGTGGCTCTGCAGGACGACAACCCTTCTGGTTTGTTCACTTTCCGGGTGATAAATTAGACCTGATAACTTTTGTCTCTTTTCTTTTGACTTTTCTTAAAGTTTCGCCCACAGTGGATTGAAAACATTGCTACATACAGTTTTTGTACGGTCTGCCTTTTGTGTTCACAGCTTCACCATCAGACTCTGAACCTCGAGTTCGTGCAGATCCCTTTCCAGATCTGGTAACAGCGATCAGTCAACACAATCATAACACTTCTACTAAATGTTCAGCACTGACTCATGAAATATATATACTTTTTTTTTTTTTCTTAGAGTAGTCTAGTGGAAGAGGTGACCTGTCTTGTTGGGGAGATCTGTTTGACAGACGTCTGTAAAGGTATTGGCTTAGATAATGAACTAAACATGAACTTAAACATTGGAGAGGAGCCGATAAAAGCCTGGTGATCATGAGTCTCTTGTTCCTCAGATCCACAAGAAGAAACAGAAACCGAAGACTGTGAGCAGCTGATGTCTGCGCTGGCTGAACAGGTGGTTCAGGCAGAGATGAGCTTAATGCTTCTGACCCAGCTCTAAAATACAAAATAATATTCTTCAGTTATCAAACTCTCAGGATAATTCAGTTTTTATTGTAAAGGAGCTGTTAATGCTGGTATCTGAGCACGCTTGGGATGCTTTAAGAGGCCCTAAGGTTCTGTTATTGTTCCACCATCTCACCATTTCTGCCCCACATGATATTTAGTTTTAAGCTTTTCAATTATCTCTTTGCGCCCGTCTCACTTTCCAACCATTAACCTCTCTACCGTAATCGTGTTCAGAAATCTAGATAAGTCTTTTCCAGTCAAAGTGTAGAAATGCAAATATTTAGCAACATTCGGGGTCAGATTTTAGATTTTAGATTGAAAAGCCTCCGTGTTCGCTTCTGCTGTTGATGAAGTGACAGTGGCTTTTGAATTCAAAAAGGTCCTGTGATGCCTGGTAAATATGATCCTCCATTTGCCAGTATTTTAACCACTAACGAGGTGTTTAATTAAAGCTTATTTTGCACAGGCCCTCTCACTAAATTGAAAAAGCGTATTTCACTCGTTTCTTTTCTGTGCAAAGAAAGAAACAAAGGCAGTGCACGAGGACCTGCAGCTTATGTAGATATAAGAGGCTCCTTAAAAACAAAACAGTTTTAATATTTAGATGATTACGCAGTCATGTAAACACAGTCCGTTCTGTTAAATGCCGCTAAATACTAAAAACTGCTCCTTGAAACTTGAGTCCAATAAATTCAAATATTGAAGTTTTAAATTTCTTGCTGATTATTTCCAGGATTTCAGCCAAGTTGCGGAGGAAGACATGACACTCTCTGATGACAGTTTCGGTAAGTGTTTATACATATATTTAAGTTCAGTTATTGGTTCATAAGCTTTAACTCACACCTCTGTTCGGCTGGGTTTCTTTGCAGGAGTTGATGTAACATGTCAGTGTTTTACCTGTGGTTAACTGTGACAAAAAACAAAACAATAACTTCCTTCTTTCTTAGAGGAGCAGCTGTCCAAGATTACTCATCTGTCTCTGAAGATCAACGATCGCTCTGCTGATATTCTCCCTGTTGAGCGGCGCCTAGAGGAGTAACAACCTTCAGTTCCCCTGTCAGACCCCTCACACAGAAAAGTTAGGAACCGTTTTTTCTCTCTTAAGTTTTCAAAAACAGGTTTAAGTGTGTTGTTGTTGTTGTGTTTTGTTTCTCTTGATTTTATGGTTTTTTTTAAGTGTGAGGTTATATTTATCCTTTGGCCCGTTGGCTTGTTTCATTGTTGACATTTAAGAGGAGAAGAAAAAACACAGGTATTAGCACCTCTGTGCAGTGACAGCTGTCTTTACCTCTAGGTTTGTTTTTGGCATCCATGTACCTGCTCGGTCTGATGTTGAGCGCTGTTAACGGATGATCTGTTCGGATAAAAACTGCCACAAAATTGTTCATAAAAAATGACCAAATCTTTGTTTGAATTTGAAAAGTGCCGCGGTTTTCAAGGAAGTTTTCTGTGTTATGAGTGGAAACAGTGTACGGTTTGAAACTGGATTTATGTTGGCACAATAAATATACTTACCGATCTGTTAAGACGAGTCTGTTTTTTTTATGTTTCTGAAGGGTTTCTCAGAATAAGATGAAAATATTTTAGTTGGGGAATAAAAGCTTCGAAAACGAGTTCCTACACAAACCAGATTTATTGAATGTGTTGTATAAATGGCACATATGTACAGTTAAAATATATAAAAGTAAAGGCTGTTATGATTTCACAGAATGAGTCGTACTGTGATTTATGGCGTATGTTACCTTTAGTGTCGTCTAAAGTCATCAGGATGGATGTGTTTCTGTCTTGTGGAGCTGTTTTAATATTAAACCTTTCATAATACCTAACACAGGCCTCATTACATAACCACTCAGCACTCCTAGTGAACTTTGCCTCTGCTGGAAACTCCGTGTCAATCTCATCCTGCTTCATAATCACTCAAAATGAGAAGGTTAAAATAATTGCATTAAGGTCGTAGTGAAGTTTTCACTAACAGTTAAAAAAAAGTGGTGTTCAGCTGCTTATACTCAACATTCAGGCGTCATGAGACAAACACTTATTCACTGAGTGTTTCATCTGTTCAGAAAAAATAAAACACCTTTCCTGCTGGTGAGGTAGAGATTATCTTTCCTTCTGTGATCGCTCCAAAATGTTATCCTGAGTCCTTTTTTCCGGGGCCAAGAACGCCTGGTCCGACATTTGAGACTGGTCCACTGCGTCCACTAGTATCCTACAGGCAGTTCAGATGGCAGACTGAAGCACAGTTATATTCGTTCCTTGAATGAGGTTATCGTCCAGCCCGTCAATCAAAGGATCCCACTGGTTGAAACTCTTCTCAAGACCTAAAACACACAAACAGTTTTTAAAAAATGTGCATTTCTACTTTTGAATGATATCGAGTGATGTAGCATTTCTAAGATAGCAGATATGTTGGTGCTTTTTGCGTCCATACCGAGGTGGCGTTGCAGGAAGGCGAGTGTTGCTTTGTTGCTGAGATCTATGGCGAGCTCTGGGTCGATCTCTCCCTTCAGCTTCATCAACTTCCCGATCCAGTTGCCCGTCATGAAGGTGAAGTCTGGGAAGCTCTGGTGGACTGTTCCCCTGCAGGACAGAATCACAACAGAGTCAGCAATAATCACAGAATTTCCATAAAGAGTCAAATCACTTTCCTCGTACCTGATGGTGATCATTTTCCTCTGGATGACGGCTGAGTCCAGCTTCTTCATGCGGCTGATGTTCCCCGCCCACTGGAACTTCTCGGAGTTGATGAAGAAGATCGGCTGCTTCACTCGGGCGAAAATTTCATCATCCAAGGGGAACATCCAAGCATCCAGAGCTACGCCACACCTAAGCAAAATACAGTTTGATGTTTAGTAGTTTTTATAAGAAATATATTTAAACGTCTTTTCTATATTGTTTGATATTTCTGCTTTGCTTATCAATGAATAAAGATTGATGATGGATGGATGTCGCTGATCTACATACTTGAATTTAACCTCTTTGCACAGAGCTTCAATCACCGTCGCTCCACCGAATGAGTGTCCCACCACAGCTATCCTGCACAGATCCATGGAGTTCTGGGAAGGAAAGGAAACATGCCGAGTCAAAAGATCATAAAGAAAATATCCAATTATGATGCTGGAGTTGAAAAGATTGTTGATTTTATAAAGGGACAAGACCAAAAACCACAAGTGGATGACTGATCTTTAAGGCAGCACTCCACTTAATACAGACATGTCTCAGCATGAGCTTAACGCATTTCCAAAACCCATTATGTGTGAACAACGTTCATCGCTTCATCTAAAAATTCAAGTTCAAACCACATCCAAACAGGATCCAGAAATGCTGCTGCCTTCTCCAGTCCCCAGTCCATCTAAAGTCCTGAACATTAACTTTTATTTTTGGAAATCCTGCATCAACCAGCATCTGTTTCCTTTAATAAAAAAGTCTAATATCTGACCCTGGACTCAAACCTTAAAGGTGAGCTTACCTCCAATGTTGTCCAGTCAAACTGTGTCTGCAAAACATTTTGCCCTGGTCTCCCCGAGTTTATTTCAGTGAGTCTGTCCAGAGCCAGGATGCACTCATCTGCTCTTTGTTTCACCTACAAAAAAACACAACAAACAAGTTAGGGTTTCAGAAATCGAAACCTGTGAAATACTGAGTAGGAGGGAGAGACAAAGATCAGCTAACAGACTGAATAAACAAGGATGTGGTTTGGGTTGTAATCGGCATCATGCAGCATGCTGGTTATTGAGTCTAAGTTCAGATGTGTTGCAATGCAGCTGCTGTCAGTCAACAACAGCATTGTTTCAGAGAAGAGTCTCCACCTCTACCTTTCATGCACGACTGGACTGAAATCTGAACCTCTCCCTGTGATTCTCACCTGTTTATTTCGAAGGGGAAACTCGCTCTCTCCGTGCTTCAGAGTTCTGTAGTACATCCACTCTTTGACCAGGTTGTCTTGAGCTGAATCTGATGTTTTAGGCACACTTTGATTAGCCTTTTCAGACTCTGTCTTCTCACGGTAATAAAAGGTAGCCGACGCTGACTGATCCCTGTACGTGAGTGAAACACAGAAACACACGAGGAACAACAATTAGTTTCTTCATAAAGCATGAGGCCTTTAATGTTGTTTCAATGGGTTTGATTGTTCCCTTTTAAAACGAAAAAACACAAGAATCTAGAGTAAAAATGTTGTGAATGCCGAACTGAAAACAGGTACAGAAAGTGTGGTTTGGTTGACAACTCCAGCTTCAGTCTATTTGGTGGAGTCAAAGTTTGAACCTGTATGACTTAAAGGGATATTCCAGCGTAATTCATCGAGAGATGGATGTTGCTGACCGCTTGCCTCTTGGGTTATACCCACTTTAGTAACAATAACAATACAGAGAGCCACACCCTCAACCAAAAAGCCACTCTATAGCCACAAATAATGCTCAGAACAGCACCTAACTTCATCAACAGGACATATTGGGTCCCAGCCATAGTACTAGCCACCAAACAGATTTTTAGCTTTGACTAATATCTTTAGCAAAGAGACTAAACACAACTCACCAACTCTCTTCCAGCAGCCGTTTGTTTGTAGTGAGACCTCAGGCCAGTCCATTACTGCAGCGGAGTTTCGCAGCTCAAGGAAGAACATTTATGATCATTTCTTTATCACTTCCTTGAAGTAATAATCATCATATTAATCATTTTGCACTGCAGACGTTGTCGATCTTCTGCCTTAGCGTCTCGGTCTGATTGCATTTCCATGAAGAAAGGATCATAAATGTTCTTCCTTGAGCTGCGAAACTCCACTGCAGTAATGGACTCGCCCAGAGGTCTCTGTGCAAACAAGCAGCTGCTGGAAGAGAGTAGGTGAGTTGTGTTTAGTCTCTTTGCTGAAGAAATTTGGCAAATTTAGAAAGATGTTTGGTGGCTAGTGCTGTGGCTAGGACCCTATATGTACTGTTGATGAGTTAGGTGCTATTCTGAGCATTATTTGTTTTGGTTGAGGTTTGTTTATGGCTCCTGACCGCTGTGTATTGTTATCCTGCTGTCGTTATTAAAGTTGGTATAACTAGGGAAGCAACATTCATCTCTCTCGGGGGTGTCTAACTTGGTGTTACAGTGTGTTTGACTTTAAATTTATTTTACGCCGGAATATCCCTTTAATATGTGCAAAAACTCACAGAATTCGTACACCAATCAAGCATGTGTGAAATTTAGATGTTTGAAGAGAATTCAGGATATCAAAAGTTGTGCATTAGACATTCAACTTGCCGCATCACATCATGCACCAAACTCCAATGTTTGCAGAGGTGTGATGGACTGTTCATCGCCGCTTGCAGCTTTAATTGCTGTTTTGTTGGAGACTGAGCAAACTCACTTGGCACTGTGACAAAAGCACACCCAGCAGACCCGGTGTACTGACCTCTGACCAGCGCTGCGGCATGTGACACAAAGTCTACCCTATGTCACAGCTTTCAAACACGTCACTCCACACTAATGTGCTGTTTTGGCTTTAAAGGGCTGCTAAAATTCAGTGGAATAGCACTTCAGTCCACATTAGTGACAGACTAAATGTAGCCATTATGCTCATCTCCATATGGTCCCCTCGTCTCTATACTGAAAAGAAATGTGATGACCTGGTTTGTGCCATTGTCCAAACACCCTTTCCACTCCTACTCCACAGATAAACAGACAGCAGGAGGGACTGCCCTCCTGTATTGTTTGTTTGGCAAACATTCAACTAGAACTTCCTCCAACCAGCACGTGGCATTAGTTTCTAATTTTTAAAATGAACATACAGTTGGACTCGTGTTTAATTTGAAATTTAAAGGTCTATTTTAAACGATACCACCCAGCTGATCCTAGTTTATGTACAATACGAAGCATCTCTGGTTTTAAATTATGTGAAAAACTGCAAAAAATAACAAACATACCAGATAGAAATAAGTGAAACCCTCATACCTGTGTTCCACAGATGCCACAATGAAGCCCTGAGAGGCCAGCTCTGCACATATAGCTGAATACAAAGTCCTGGGAAAACATCAGGGAGATGTCAATGATACCTTTCACTGACAAGTTTTCACAGAGGGTAAATGTTCGAAGGAGGAGAGTGGAAATTTGAGTGTGAATACCTAAACGCTCCAAGGCCGTGGGAGAAGATAATCACAGGACATTTCCCATTTGACTTGAATGAAGCATCCATGTAGGCTGGGATCTTGAAGGACCCTAAAAAATACACAAATTATGAATAGAGCCTGTTTTTTAGTCATTGTCAGTGCAGTAAATTTCTGCTACAACACTGGCTTTCAGGAATTAAACTGATAAGAGTTTGTGATTTCAGATGGATGTAGGCATAATTTTAATTTATTGATACCAAGGTGATGCTAATGTGAAATTATCCACTTTGGTAACAGTGATAGAGTCAATCAACATCATTATATTTGGACTATTTTAGAAATCAGTTAAGACAAAACTGTGCTGTGGTACAGAAAGTCTTTGTAAATAGCATAAAACTTTTACAAAAGAAACTTTGATGTTGTGTAAAAAGCTGAAGGATGGAGGTTCAGTTACCAAAGAGGTGGTTGAAAATCCTTTCACTGAGAGACCTGTTGATTTTCATAAAGTCAGCCAGACCATTAAAATACTCTCTGCATGGCACCCAGTCTGGTTTTTCTGCTGTTTCACTCTCTTGGCAAGGATAGTAGAGCCGGAAGAAGCTGCCCTGTGAACAAGACGGATTGGAAATCACACAAACTATCTCTATTGGTGTCCAATTACCTGTATGTCCCACATATCTCAGCTACAAACAGTGCATGATTGAGTATTCGTTTACGGACTCTGCATAACGCTTGTGTTGAACTTTGAAACTCTTGTCCTTGTTGAACTGCAGAATAATTGACCGAAGAGTGGGAGCAGATTGGTTATCAACTTCTATCACAGATAAATATGTGTAGAAATAACCCACTGAGGGATAAACAGCTATTAGACGTCTAGTTTGTTTTTAGACCTAATTCCAACCGTCTAGATTCTGTATATTTTTAGACGGATTTTAGACATTGCACTTTAACCTATTATTCGGTAACTATTTATTTCAAAAAGTGACTGTGATCTGCAAGTACTTAACCAAAATAATTATGAATATAAAGTGTAGTATAGATTAGGCCCAGATTTAGACTTGGTCTAAACTTGAACTAAATTTAGACGTCTAAAAACTTCAATATTTAGACCTGTGGTAGCCTGATTTTCGACCAGTCGTCTAGGCTTTATTTAGATGTCTATTAGACCTCTTTTGGACCAAAAAATGCTCAGTGGGAATGTAGTTGATGATGATTTTTCCGCTTTATAGCTCATCCCTGGTTTTACTTGGTTGCTAGAATCATTGTTAAAACCAAGTGTTTATCTAGTTTAGGTATAATCCTGGTGCTTTTTTTACTTAAAGACAGATTTGGTAAGTTTTTCATCTTCATAAACTTATAAAGTTACAAATTAAACTGAACATATCCAGATTAAATGTGTGGTTTACCTGTCCAGTGTGGTCCATCATGAAATCAGTGCATCCCACAGCACTGGGACCCTTGGCTGGAGGGATCCCGAGGTGATTACTGCAGGCGTTCCCCATGGCGAAGAAACCGAGGGTGTATCTCCTCTGTTCTGTGGATTACAAAGACACCTTTGCTCTATAATGCATCGTCAGTTTAGCCCACAGCAATGACTAAGATCCTGCAGGGATGACAGTCATAAGAGAGACAGCAATAATGCATGACTTAAAAAAACCGCTGGTACAAGGTTGAACTGCTGATGCTTGGTCTGGGTGGTAAAAATTAAAATGTCAGCAGATTATTTTGCTCACTCAAAATATAAAAAACATTACTGAAAAAAGTGCCTGCTTTTTGCGTCATCTCAAATGGCACATATTCTTTATTTTTTACTCTTTTTTGGGGATGTTTTTTGCGGTTGCTCATCTTTAGTATTTGTTTTAAAATTATTTGTTTGGGGGTTTTAATGTATGAAATATTTTTTTAGTGTCAGGGACCTCATATTGAAAAAAAAAATACAGAAAATAAAAGCTAAACTAAAGGTAAAACCAACCAAAAATAAACAAATTAATTTTAAAAATTGAAAAAAAAAATAATAAATTGCATAATACATGTTCTGTGACTTTAGTTTTTAGAAATTTTTAAGTTTTTATTAATTTTATGAGCTTTGTTTGTGTCAACAGGAGCAGCTAAAACAGTTTCTATCCTGTTTTGTTGGACAATAAAACTCTGTAACACTCAGACTCTTCATGGAAATATCCAAACAAGGATTACTATATTAACCTTTTACCTAGTTTCCCTGTACAAGCAATAACAGTACATAACTTGACCATTTTTTAGACAAAGTTAGCTCCCATTGAATCGTCAGAATAACTCAAATGTGTTTAATTATGTCCGTAAAAATCCCTACCTGTCCTTCCCCACTCGTAAACCCGCTTCAATAATAACTGAACGAGTCCTCCATGAGAAAACATCGACCGTAATAGTTATGAAAGCAAACTAACCTTTGTGTCTTCTGGTTAGCTTTTAGCCACAAAAACATACATATATTTTAAAAAAATGTTAGTGTTATATATAAGAGGAGCCAAAGTTACGACATTAGTTTCGCAACATGGTCACAGCGTGATTTCGCTTTCTGTGGTAAATGTTACAGCAGGAGTCAGTGAGCAGCAGCATTAGTATCGGTATGACAGCTCTGAGATAAGGACGCTGCTAACAGAGGTTAGCATGGGCGGGGCTAAAGCAGGGCGGTGAACGGTGATTGGGTATTTTAATATCTTGCGTCACGTGTCCCGCCTCCAACTGGTTTGGGACTTCCTCAGCTGAAAACTATTACAAAAACTAAAAAAAAAACATTTTTTAAAAATATAACAAACAAACAAAAAAACTAAAAAAAAAAATTGTAAAACAAAAACTTAAAAAAAACTAAAAAAAAAAACAATTTCAAAAACTACAAAAAATAAAACTAAAAGTGTATAACAAAAAACTTAAAAAATAAACTATTACAAAAAATAAAAAATAAAAAAAGTGTTACAAAAACAAAAAAACTATTACAAAAACAAAAAAAACCTAAAATAAATCTATTACAAAAAAAACTGTTACAAAAACTCAGAAAATCTCTTACAAAAACAAAAAACACTATTTAAAAAACTAAAAAAATACGAAATTACAAAAAAACTATTACAAAACTAAAAAATAAAATAAAAAAAACAATTACAACAAACTTAAAAAAAACATTTCAAAGATTCATAATTTATTTTGCAACATTTATAATATCATTAAAACAGAAATAGATTCTATTAATTCTTTTTTGTCTTGTTTTTGTTTGTTTTTTTCTTGTCTTGTGTAAATCCAGAGTAGCAATAATGCAGCTTTCACATCCTCCTGAGAAACATTCAAAGATTGTAAAAGTAAAATTTCCATCTGCAGCAGCACCTCTCCTGTGGAAATAACAATACAGAAGTGGCCTGTAGGAGGCAGCAACGCGTCACAGGGCAAACAGACCGACAGAAATCTAAACGCAGAAGTAGAAAAATAAAACACAGGGGGAGAATGCACTGTTAGCAAGCCGACCTGCTACAACTAATTGATGAGCTGAAACTCGTCTTAAAAATGAAACTGGTGAGTAAATAATCTGTTAGCAGCTACAGACGGAAAATCAACCTAAACCGAGAGAATAAACCCCCTAAAAGTCGTTAAATTTAGTTGCTGTATTAGCTTAGCAACTTGTAGCCTCCACCACAGAGGGTACAAACAAGACAGATGAATGTGCATGAAGGGTGATAATGAGGAATAAGGTCTATTTTGAGTTGTATAACAAAGCATACAGTACCAATATAGTTTAGTGAAGAGCTGTTGTTACCATGGTTACCCTTTGTGACTCTCCTCCTCACATGTGTTTTCTCCAGTATTGTCTTTCTGGTCATCCCACTTTACCTTGTAATGTCCTCAAGTTCAAATCCACCACAATCATGCTGGACTGTGGTCTGGACACCACATCTGTCCTCAACTTTCTCCCCCTTCCTCTGGTTCACAGGTGAGTCACTTATCACCTTAAAATCTCTTATTTACACACTGATTGTACATCTGTTCTCCTGGATTGTTTCTACTCAAGAAGACAGTAAAATGGATTTTATAGTTTTGTTTGTTTGTTTTTTTCAGCCCCAGACTCTCCAAACTGCCGGGTTGGGTTTCTAAGGATGGAACAGTAAACTTAGAAAAAGTAAATAACAAAACTTCACCTTGTTTTTAATCCCACTTTACTTTCTGGACCAAAACATGTAAAGATTTGACACTTGATAGTACTAAAAGAGGCATTTCTATCCATGTTTTTCAGGAGCTGAAGGAGTGTGCAGGACGAGTGTTTGTGGACTCACAGCCAGAATTTTGTCTCCCTGAGGTACTAAAACTAATCACCACACAAACATTTCAGTTATCCAGTAAATTCAGTTCATTTTACCTCTTCCGCTAGATGCAAATGCTAATCTGGCCTTAATCTGGTTTCTCGTATCTGTTTCAGAGAGAGCTCCTGGATCTGTCGACTATTGATGTCATCCTGATTTCTAACTACCACTGCATGATGGCCTTGCCTTACATTACTGAACACACAGGCTTCACAGGGACTGTATACGCCACAGAACCCACTTTGCAGATTGGCAGGTATGAGATTTGAGGGAAAACTGGTCAAAATACAACAAGTTTGGCCCAAATTAAAGGGAATAATTGCTTGATAAAGTCATCATTTCCTGAATTTGAGTAAAGGTTTTAGAGTGGTTTTACACACTTCAGGAGAAATTGTGTTGTTTTCTTCAGACTGTTGATGGAGGAACTGGTGAACTTCATGGAAAGAGTTCCCAAGGCTCAGTCTGCCACCTCCTGGAAGAGTAAGGAAATACAAAGGTAAATTATCAGCTTAGAAAAACTGACACCAGAGGAAGAATAGGGATGATTTGGAAAATTTAAATTCCACTTTGTTGGACGATATTATATTTAAAAGTAGAAAAAAAAGTAGTATTTTTTATGTGCCTTATAGAAAAACATGTGGTACATAAAAATAAAAAGTGCTGATATTCCAGGATGCTGCCTGGTCCTCTCAAAGACGCAGTAGATGTGTGGACGTGGAAGCGATCCTACAGCATGCAGGAGGTCAATTCTGCTCTCAGCAAAGTGCAGCTCGTGGGTTATTCCCAGAAAGTGGTAAGAACTTCCTTCTGCTTTGTCATCTCCACTTAAAGCATATTTACCTGCAGTGAACCTATGATTGATACTTCTGAAGTGTCTGCCTTTTTGTTGATTTTTGTAAATATTCTTCTTTCTCCAGGAGCTGTTTGGAGCCGTACAGATCTCCCCCTTGAGCTCTGGTTACTCATTGGGTAGCTCCAACTGGATCATCCAGTCTCATCATGAGAAGGTTTCCTATGTGTCAGGTTCATCCCTCCTCACCACACATCCACAGGTACGTCGACAGACCTGATGCTGATGAAATCAAACATGGAGACCAAAGAAACCAACAGTGAAAAAACGTGATGCAATTCTTATCCTGTTGCTCGTCTTTTCTTCTTCCAGCCGATGGACCAGAGCTCCCTGAAGAACAGCGATGTTCTGATCCTGACAGGCCTCACACAGATGCCCACAGCCAACCCAGACGGCATGCTGGGAGAGTTCTGCAGCAACCTTGGTAGGTTCAAATGGACTGGATTTATCACAAAAAAGTACAATTCAATTTTGCCACTGAAAGGAACACAATACTCAAAGAAAAGAAAAGTGCATGAAGGATTAAACTTCCTTAAAAGCTCTCAAATTTATAAGTGTCTGAACATGATGCATCACTTCTTTAACCCAACAGCGATGACAATTCGAGCGGGGGGTAATGTGCTCGTGCCCTGCTACTCCTCAGGGGTGATATACGACCTGCTGGAGTGTCTGTACCAGTTCATCGAGAGCGCCAATCTTGGCACCACGCCCTTCTACTTCATCTCACCCGTCGCCAACAGCTCACTGGAGTTCTCTCAGATCTTTGCGGAGTGGTGAGGAGATGCTTATCAGAATTTATATACTGAAACGGACTGTTTGGAAAAACGTTCTAAGTTTGGTTGAAGTGTGAGAAGTTACTATGCTGATTTAAAGGCATGAAACAGTAACTCCAAAGATGTTTGTAAGAGTGTTGCTGATTGTCTAAAGTCACCTGATACCCTTACTTTCGTATTTTCTTTGACTCTCATGTTCTGATCATGTTTATATTTCTTATTCTAGGCTTTGTCACAACAAGCAGTCAAAGGTTTATCTTCCAGAGCCTCCGTTCCCTCATGCCGAGGTGAGTCCAGCTGTTGTGTTTCCTGACAGATCACAGTATTGTTGTAGTCCTCACACCTTCCACTTTGGTCAGAAAAGTTGTTCATGTAGGATTAACTCTTACGACACCTTTGTCTTTGGTTCAGTTAATCCAAACCAACAAGTTGAAGCACTACCCCAGCATTCATGGAGACTTCAGCAGTGAGTTCAGACAGCCCTGCGTGGTTTTCACCGGCCACCCCTCTCTACGCTTCGGCGACGTGGTTCACTTCATGGAGCTGTGGGGCAAATCCGGCCTCAACACCATCATTTTTACAGGTAACTCTATCACTGTCACTCATGTTAGATATGAACAAAAAAGACTGAAGCTGTGTTTGTAGAATAAACTCTGAATCCTTCATCTCCAGAGCCAGATTTTTCCTACCTGGATGCTTTGGCTCCCTACCAGCCACTGGCTATGAAGTGTGTCTACTGTCCCATCGATACACGGCTCAACTTCCACCAAGTGTCAAAGCTGCTCAAGGAAGTCCAGGTACTTCCCAGAGAGATTTACAAATACACTCTTTTCATTTTGACTGACTGGTCGCACTTTTTCCTCACACAACTGCACCAACGTGAAATGATTTAGAAGAGGGAGTCGAGGGGATTACGAGGAAATGAGAAATGTGAAATAGAGTGGGAAAATGTCGGGCTCAGAAACAGCTGCCTCCTTTGGCCTGTTTTGTTTACAGCCAATACTGCCAGAGCGAAACTGTGGGACAAGAAAATCATTGTTTAGTCAGCAACGGTCCTGTGGGTACGACCGGAGAGTGGGAAAATTTTACGAGCTGAAAGGCACAAATGAGGTAAAGACAAAGCTCTGATCAGCACTCAGATAACAGAGCATTATAGTGAGGGTTATTTCTCTGTGCCCCCCTGCAGGTATCCCTCTCTTCATTAAAAACAGGATCAATCTGGAACAGACAGGTCTTTCAAAGCTGCTCTATATCAAAAATATCAAAGTTGGACTCAGTCGGTTTCTGTCTGCTGTCTTTCCCACCTGCAGCCCCTCCATGTGGTGTGTCCAGAGCAGTACACGCAGCCCCCAGTGACCCAGTCCCACCGCTCAGATCTGATGCTGGAGCTGCAGCCTCCTCCTATGCCCTACAGACGCTGCTCTGTGCTCAACCTGCCGTTCAGACGAAGATATGAACGTGTCTACATCCTGCCTGAGGTGAGAAAAAGTCGGTGTGTTGAGTAAAGCAGCTGTAGCTTTAATTCATAAATCTATTCTTTATTATCTTGTCTAGTTATGAAGAACCAACAGACAAAAGCTGCTAGGATTTAAAAGAACCGTCTGTTCCTTCTCTTTACAGCTGGCCAACTCTCTAGTGCTCTCTGAGGTCAAACCCGGCATCTCCCTGGCAAATGTGTCCGCTGTGCTGCACTCCAAAGACAACAAACACACTCTCCAGGTGAGTGTGTGTCCATCCCATGTGTTTGTGAACATGCAGCTCAGAAATGAATCAGCTGAAAGGGATATTCTGGCATAAAATTAATTTATGGTCAAACAAACCGCAACACCGAGTTAAGACACCCCCTCGAGAGACGAATGTTGCCGACCGCTTGCTTCTGAAGTCATACCAACCTTCTTCATGGAAATGCAATCAGACCGAGACGCTAAGGCAGAAGAACTACCGCGTCTGCAGTGCAAAATGATTAATATGTTGATTATTACTTCAAGGAAATGATAAAGAAATGATCATAAATGTTCTTCCTTAAGCTGCGGCACCCCGCTGTAGTCCATAATTGACTGGACCAAGGTCTCACTACAAACAAGCGGCTGCTGGAAGAGACTCAATTCAACTCAACACAACACAACTTTATCTATATAGCACTTTACACACAACAGAGTTGATCCAAAGTGCTTCACAACAAAACAAAAGAAGAGAACAAACAGACGACGAAGAAGAAGAGCGGACTGAGTGACAGTAATAATAATAACGATAGCAATAAAAATATTGTTTTCAATACCACCACTATCATCATCATTCATAATAGTAATAATAATAACAATGATAATGACAACATAGATCTACCGACCTACAGAACTCACAGAGCCTACATGGGAAATGGCTGAGCTATAAAAGTTAGGGACAGTTAAAAGTTAGGGAGTTAAAGTGGGTTTTAAGATGAGTCTTAAAAATCTCAGTGGTAGGGGAGAATCTGATGGTGGGGGGAAGAGAATTCCACAGTTTTGGGGCAGCGATAGAGAAAGCCCTGTCCCCGTAATACTTAATCCTGGATCGTGGGACTGACAGAAGTCTTTGGTCAGACGATCTTAGTTCTCTCATTGTGTGATATGGGGACAAGAGTTCTGTGACGTAAAAGGAGGCAAGACCGTTCAAAACTTTGTCAACAAACATCAGGGTTTTAAACTCGATCCTGTAGCTAACAGGCAGCCAGTGAAGGGAGGCAAGAGTGGGAGTAATGTGCTCCCTCTTCTTAGTTCTGGTTAAAACTCTGGCCGCTGCATTTTGAACTAGAAGAGACTGAGTGATACCAAAATAAAATGCGTTACAATAGTCGAGGCGGGAGGATATGAAGGCATGAATGACTTTCTCCAGGTCAGAAGTAGTGAGAAATGATCTTACTAAGACAGTGGGGGAGTTGTGTTTAGTCTCTCTGCTAAAGAAACCAGTCCAAGTTAAAAAGATGTTTGATGGCTGGGACCCTATTTGTCCTGTTGATGAAGTTAGGTGCTGTTCTGAGCATTATTTGTGGCTATAGAGTGGCGTTTTGGTTGAGCGCGTGGCTCTCTGTGTTGCTATCCTGCAGTCGTTACTAAAGTTGGTATAACTAGAGAAGCAAGCGGTCGGCAACATTCATCCTAATTTGACCCTAAATTAATTTTACACCGGAGTATCCCTTTAACTCGCCAAAGTTTTCCCTCGTTTCTGTCGCCAGTCGGTGCCCAAACCTCCTCCTGTGGCGCCCAGCAAGAAGAGGAAGCGGGTCATAGAGGAGCCTCCAGTGATGCTTGCCCCCAAACCCCTGCTGAGCGGAGCTGTCCCGCTGGAATCCTTCCTCGCCACGTTGCAAAAGGTATAATTTCGGCAAATATCAGGTCAGCTCAAGGCCGGCTTTCATAACCGAACCAATCATCTCAGCCTCTCAGGCATAATATTGATTGGATTAGTAGATTTTGCAGCAAAGACGAGAAGATTTAGAAAATTAGAAGAGACAAAACCGATTGAGCCGACAGCTGGGAAAATAAGAATCCCACAAATATTAAATGATCACAGACCTTTGGCACTGTCGTATTTACAGAAACAACAGATCTCTAAATCATCTCCTTCTCCCTGCAGCATGGCATCACAGAAATCAAAGTGGAGGAGACGGCAGACGGACACATCCTCCACTTACAGGAGGAGGACACGCTGATTCAGCTGGAGGAGGACGGCACGCACATCGTCTGCGACAACAACGAGCCTCTGCGCACCACGCTGCGAGACCTGGTGCTCCGCTTCCTGCAAAAACTCTGACCTGAATCTGCCGAACGCTTCATCTGTGTGAGTTTTCGAAGAGTGAGCTGGGAGTCAAAGATGACAATGATGAAGGCGGAGGACGTGAAACACATCATATAGACTATTCACAAACAATTCACAGTAGCTAAGTGATGTTTTGTAAAATAGTATTTTGTATTAAAAAAAATTTTGACCACTGAAGCTACATTGTCCCGTTGATGGTCAGAGAAATAAATCCACTGCGCTCCTTAGTTGTGTCACAAAATATTTAATTGGTGCGGGGTTTACAAGCAGCTAAAATACATTTAATAATATGCTTTCAATGTACAATATTTTACAGTGTACTACATGACCATTGCTTTGATAATACAACTGTGCAGCAGGAGAAACATCCAGGACTGATACGGTTTTCTAAGGCTCAATGAGGAAACTCAAATACAAAGAAAAAAACAAAACAAAAACACTCCCCACCTCGTCTTTTCATTTAGTGACGAATCAACAAATACCACAGACTTGGACCGACACGACAGTTTCAAATAAATACGCTTCTGTTCGTCCAATTATGCTGCGAATCAGTCAAGAGAAAGAGACAGGTATAAAGGTGTGGTTGTTGCGTTTCAGCGGGTGTACACGTTAAAAACATGAGGACACATTATGGGTGTGGAAGAACGAACAAGAAGACACTGGTGCTGCTGCTGGTGTGAAATACAGTCAGCAGGATTTTCTTTAATGTCACCTTGAGGCTCATTTGTTCCTCAGGTAGATTATGAGGTGGACAGGTGATGCAGGACTTCTCAGAGAGGAAGGTGATGGAGGCGGCGAGAACTCCTGTGAGGGAGCTCTACCGTCTCCCTCTGGCAGTGGTGGTTCAACATGGGCGTAAATAAGTTCTGCAGCAGAAATCTCATGTGGTGCTACGTAAGAATTCTCATTGGCGCTGCTTCTGTAAAATGGGTCTGCTAGGATAGATTTTTATAAACGTCAGTGTTTAGAAACTGGTTTTAAGGTAAGAGTTCGACGTTGAAATCGTCTTAATACCTGCAAAATATTGGAGGAAAGTGGCAGAGATAAGACATTTTGGTTTTCTGCTCCACAACTTAACTGTTCTGGCTCTAAAGGGAAGTAAAACAGGGGTCATAAACCAAGTGTTGACTCCCTGTAAAGCACCAAATGGAAGACAGCAACACTCTAATTCTTTATGGGTGGAAGAGTTGAATAGTAGTAAGACATTTCCATGTTTAAATCTGTATCTGCTGCCCCCTAATGGACAGAATAATGTTGAGCACGTCAGTAAAATGCCTAATCGGCTCTTGGGTAGAAACCTTGATGGCTTAGATAAGTACAATACAGCACTCCGATCTGATGATAACGGTGGATGTCTAGATATGAAGCTGCCCCTGGTCTTTATCATCTGCACTCTTGCGCCCAAATTTGCCTGAGGGGTAAGTCAGTTGATTTATCTGTGATTTAACCTGATAAATGTGTCCTCTGTCTTGTCAGTGAGTAAAAACCGATCCTCTTCTTCTTCTTCTACTTGGATTCTTTCTCGGCGCTCAGAAGTGCAGAGCTGATGCCCAGCTTCTTCAGCTCCTCCACCAGATCGCCGTTCTGGTGCATCTGCAGCAGGATGTCGCAGCCTCCCACGAACTCACCGTTGAAGTACACCTGAGGGATTGTGGGCCAGTTGGAGAAGTCCTTGACTCCTGTGGAAGGCAGACGGCATTTATGTCAGCGTCAGAAATAAACCGAAACACCGCTGTATCAGGTGTCAGGGTGTGAGGATCAAGAGGGGAGTGTAAACAAGCAGCAACAGCGAGAGATTTTCAGCGAACATTATAATCCTCGTCAGTTAGATCAGAGTTTACTGCTGATCAGATTTGTGAGAACTGTTACAACGGCAGATAAGGGGCTAGAAATACTTTAAGGCCATGCAAACTCCTCCTAGTTTTATGTTCAAGCACATAAGTTAGTCAATACTAGGCAAAGAGAAATGATGACGGCTGTTAATTTCTTTTTTACTAAATGAAAATATGACTTTTTAAAAATCCACCTATATCCAGCCTCGTTTTAAAGGCTCCCTTACTGATACTGAAATGATAAAGAAATGATCATAAATGTTCTTCCTTGAGCTGCATCACCCCGCTGCAGTCCGTAATGGATTGGCCCGAGGTCTCGCTACAAATAAGCAGCTGCTGGAAGAGAATAGGTGAGTTGAGTTTAGTCTCTTTGTTAAAGAAATTAGGCAAAGCTAATTAGGCAAGGCAAATTGGTGGTGTTCTGAGCATTATTTGTGACTATAGAGTGGCGTTTTGGTTGACATTTGTTTATGGCTCCTAAGACCGCTGTGTATTGCTATTATGCGGTCGTTACTAAAGTTGGTATACCTAGAGTAGCAAGCGGTCGGCAACAATCTCTTCAGTGGTGCATTTTGGGAAACTTAAGTGTTACGGTTTATTCCTGCTTAATAAATTCTCGATATTTATCGTTATCGTTTTATCGCCCAGCCCGAATCGAGGGTGAATTAAACTGCCCCTTCAAACATGCTGTCTAACAATGACTAAGCATTACACAACTGTTGCGTCAACTGTAAAACTCTGGTTAAATCACATTAGTGACGTTTTTTGGGACAACTTCCTCGTTTTCTTTCCTTGTTTGCTGCCATTATTTACCACACAAAAAAGACCCAGAGAAAGCTGTTAAACACGGACATGGTCACACTGATGGAATCATGGTCGAGTTAAAGTACCACACCCTTTGGTTCTTCTGCAGAGTAAAGATAAAACATGTTCTTGGAGGTCTCTGCAGCCGTTGGATAAACTCTGATATGACACATGGTTACAAAAAAAGTCGTTTTCATCGCAAAGACAGCCAGAAAGAAGACCAAACATGAGTCACAGGCTGTTTGATTAATGACACATTAACAGCCAATGTTGAACAGATTCGGATTAAACTTAAACCGGCAGGTCAGGAGGACTTTGTGGACTCACCTTGTCTGAGGTCCTGGTCCTCCAGCACGTTGTACGCAGCATACTCGTCCACCCCGTGCATCCGGAGGATCTGAACTACCGCGTTACTGAAGCCACACATGGGCTGAGCCGGTGTCCCCTTCATAAACACCACCACTTTGTCCTTCTTCACCATCTCCCCAAGGTGTTTCTGGACGTCCGCAGACGCGCAGAAGAACCGGGCCGAGCTCGACCAAACCTGCCCGTCGGCTTGTCTCGGCAGAAGGATCGCCGGTCCGGACCGCAGACATCTCACAGTGGATCTGAGTAAAGTGTTCATAGTCTTTGGTGAGCGTTATTCTTCGACCAAAGAGGAAATATATGACATAAAGTGACCGAGCAGCGCTCTTACACTCCGCATAAAACCACCCCGACAACACACTCCACACTGGCAGGGAGGGGCGGGATCTGGACGTTGATTGGACAGCTGTGCCCTGCGAGAACTTAACCTCATTTCCTATTGGTTCATGTTCACGTCAATCAGAGCGGTTACACAAGGAAAGTGACAACAAGATTTAAACATGGCGTTTGGAATACGAAGAGAAATGTTTGTTTGTGTCATTTTTTGTTTAATGTTTGATAAAAGTGAGCAAATAAAACAATAAAGAAAAGCTTTAAATTACTGTTTCCAGGTTACAGTAGACGTTAACTACTTCCGGGTGCGATTTTTTGTAGGATGACGGCATAGATATACAAATAAGAATGGCTAGATGACGGCGGCCAGCTTACTCCAGGATTCCACTCTGGTACCTGAAGGGAGGTGAATAATCTGCATGATCAAAAATACTCTTAACTCGCTGAAATCTTGACAGATCTATAAATTATTTTGTTTATTACAGACCTTAATAACGTGGCTATGAGTCGGGATGCTCGGACATATTAAATTGGCAGATTTTATTTGAGAAAAAAAAGACTTAATCATGAAGTACAATTGTTTAATAGGTATTTGCGCGCAAGGGCTAACTCTGAGTTGCTTTGTGTGAGTTGTTAAGGCTGAGACCACATTCAAGATTTAATTTCTTATATGACAGCCTATATTTTTGTCTAGGTGACAGTCTTTGTGGATGTGCTTGTGTTTATCAGCTGTCTACCTTGGCTAACAGACTCGCTGTGAGTGAGACCAAGTACATATTACAAAGTTGAACCAGTAATGTTACATCAGTTAAAATGGCAGAAATGCTCTTTCGTTTCAACATAACTTATATTGCACATGATTTCCAAACTGTTTGGTTTATTAAAAACATCTAAAATGGCAACATGAGGCAGATATTTATATTGAAAATAAATATTTATATGTTATTGTTGTGTGTTATTATATTCATCCCTTTAATAAAATATAATATAAATGAAATGATTAAATGTTTTATATATAAATGATTTAATATAACTGCCTCGTGCGTGTAGGCCTATAGCTATTGCTCTACCATTCTGCTTAATGTTTATTGAGGTAAATCCATAGTTAAAATTATTCTTGAGTTTGCAGGAACATAACTAAAACTCTGAGGTTTGTTACAAACCAAACCGTTTAAAAATCGGTTTAAAATTAATCAATATATGGTTATTTAAATGCTCCATGCACCGTAGACTGGAATGTTTTGAGTGGGCGAAAATCCCGTAGTAAAATGGCCGCCATGCGCGGACGTCGGTCTCCATTGGCTTAGCCATCTAGCGTTTTTATAGCACTTCTAGCCAATCAGAGGCAAAGGAGGGTGGGACCTTCCTCTACTATCCTACAAAAAAAGCCTACTTCCGGTGTCGACTTCACCACACCGGAAACAGACAGTGAACCTTTGAAAGATGGCGGCGCCTACACAGAAGAATAATAAACCAGGGAAATCAGGGGGAAAAGAGTCTCAGCCTCTGGTTATCGCCAAAACTCCGGCGGAGGAGCAGCGACTGAAACTAGAGAGGCTGATGCGGAACCCGGATAAACTCGCTCCCATCCCGGACCGACCCAAAGAGTGGAACCCGCGGGCCCCTCCGGAGTTCGTCCGGGACGTGATGGGGTCCAGCGCCGGGGCTGGAAGCGGGGAGTTCCATGTGTACCGTCACCTGCGCCGCAGAGAGTACCAGCGACAGGACTTTCTGGATAAGATGGCAGAACACACCAACAAAGACGAGGAGTACCTGGAGAAGGTGGAGCAGAACCGACAGGAGGCCGAGGAGAGGACCGCCAAGCGTCGGAGGAAGAGGGACAAACTGAAGCAGAAGAAACTGAAGGCCAAGAAGGCGAAAGAGGAGACAAAGACAGAGGATTCTAAAGAGAAGTCAGAAAGCAGTGAGGAAGAGGAGGAGGAGGAGGGAGGAGCTGAGGATGATGCTGAGACCCCCAGCTTCATCATGGGGAGGAAATGAACCTTCAGGTCTTCTTCAGGCTGCTGGACCCCAATCCAAAGACTTGATGGTGGAACTGTGGAGGTAATGGACAACAGAGGGGGGACAGATGTTTGCAGTAAGACAATGTGGTTCATAAAGATCCAACTAGAGCCAAGATCCAAACATCTCAACTCGCTTGTATTAAATGAACTCACTGAAGTGTTTTTTGGTCACATCCATCAGACCAGGCACTGTTGTCCTTCAGGGAACCTTTGATTTTTTAGATTTTTTTTCTACCCTACATTCTTTTGTGAACAACATATCTGCAATTTTTACATTACAATTTGACTTAATCGTGAAACTGTTGGTGACACTCAAAGTTTTACCTGTTAATCCTCATTCTTTTAATAAATCTGTAAGACTGCACATTTGTTTGGTGGTGGGTTTATTTCAGGAGCACACCCTGTTGCATGGAAATGGTTAAAGAAATTGATCCTTTGACCAAATATTTAGGAGATGGGCATCAATTCATGGAGTCTGTGAGGGTTAGAAGCACATGGGTGAAGGGGTTAGATATTTATTTACAAAAAAAACAAACATTTTTCACTCTTGAAGGTGAATTTAGTCTGTCATAAGTTTGATAAGAATTGTGTTCAGACCAAAAAACATCATTTTAAATTTGTTTTATACATCAATTGTGGAACTATGAGCAACAACATCAACATAAAAGTCCACCATTTTAGCTTAGAGGACTTAGAGGATCAGATTTTTCGTTCAGATTATTGAAATGTTTGACTTTTTCTTTTCAAAAATACAGATCTGTGAATGTTCTGAATCACCTAAAGACATTCTTATGTTTAAATGGCTTTTTACAAAACAGCTTTTTCGCCGTTATATGTAATAATAATAAAAAGAATTGTTGTACCAGTTGAACAGGGTATAATAGATAAAAATACACATGAATGTGAGGAAGTGACTGTTATTTATGGAGAGAGAAGGTGAGTTGTACACGGGGTAAGTTGACCATAGGAGACCACTTTTTTTTGCATGCTATATTATCAAGACAGTTCTGTTTACACTCATTCTGTTGGTTTGCAGGGATGAACAACATCCTGAAATATAGATTAGGTCTGGGTGATTTGGCCAAAAAAACGATCACGATATATTTTGTCATATCGTCCGATCTCGATTATTATCACATTTTTTTTTTTAACTGCCTGTTTTAAAGCATCTGTACTAAAAATAAAGAAACTAGAGATTAGTTCAACATTTTATTAACATACAAAGTAAATAACAAAGCAAATTGAATAAGATACACTTAGAAAAATATAAAAAAAAACATTTTAACTCAACAGTACAACAAATATAGATAGACAGTATAAATATGGTCTTTAGGAAATGTGCACTCTTGATAATCTTTTACCCCTTGCGGCCTTGTGAAGCAGCTCCTCGCAGCAGCTCCTGCTTGTGGGCTCAACAAGGACGCAGAAAGTATCTCCCGAGAATGAAAAGGCGTGACTTCTCGAGGTCTCAGGAGTTTCACGTGCGATGTTTCTTGGACACGCTCCTGCTTTCCACGGTGGCGATGGGCTCCTCCTGTAGCCATCGCCGTTCTTGAGGCAGGTATAGTAAAGCTGATCAGCCAGATATTGTTTGAAGCGGGGAAAGCTGTTCCTGTCAGACACTGTCGGCTGTCACATTAACTCTTTATTTATGTGTTTATGTGTGAATACCTCTGAAAACTGAAGCATCTTGTAGTATCTGGGACTCTCAGAAAAGACTGTATTAGTGACTCTAATGAAACATGATGATTTAAAGTAAATGATACAGACAGTAAGAAGATGGAGTCTAAACCTACAGCAGCACAACTAAGCTGGTCCGGGCCGCTGAGGAGGAATGCAGATTATCATCATCATGCCGGTGAGATGCAGCAGACACAAATTTCTATGTTTTTATTTTACTCAAGTTGACTAAGCGTGTAATTTGAAGCCCCCTTTCCCAAATTTATAATCTTATTATACATGTATTTAATCATAAAGAACTGATAAATGATTGTAACATGAATAGAACACTGTATGAATAAACCGAATCACTAAATTCACACAAAAATTAGTAGTTTTGACTGACAAACTCTAAAAATAAGCATAAATACTTTTGATAGTGTGTTATTGTCATGGATTTGTTGTATCTATTTGTCCATCTTGAGACAGAAACACGAATGAATAAAGTCAAATGTAATGTCCACAGCTGTTTATTGTGTGTTTTTAATGTGTTTTCACATGTTTGTGAAATTCAGTATCTGTTGAAGTTTTTCTTTTGTACATATGATCTTGAATTTATTTATACTCTCTCTGACCTTCCAGAGATTCATATCACAAAACTTGGTGGCCAGAGAGATAAAGAAATAATCTTTTTGGACTCCATAGAGACAAAAATTTCATTTTCTAGTAAAAAAAATGAATAAATGAAATTACTCCAAAATTCAGCTGCACAGATGTTAACAAGGACCAGAAAGAGAGATCACATTACACTGATTTTAAGGTCTCTGCATTGGCTACCCGTCTCTTTTAAAATAGATTTAAAGTTTGTTTTATTGTTTTTTAAAGCTCTTCATGGCTTTGGTCCTTCTTATTTATCTGATCTGCTTTTACCTTATGAGGCAGGTAGAGTCCACAGGTCTTCAGGAAGTTCTCTGTTAATAAGTTAAAACCAAGACATACGGTGAGGCATCTTTTTATTACTATGGCCCCCGTATATGAAACAGCTTACCTTAAGACCTGAGGACTGCACCTAATTTTAATGACTTTAAAACCAAACTGAAAACATACCTTTTTAATCTTGCTTTTAACTAAATTTTATATCTTTGACTTTAAATGTTTTAGCATTTATCTCTTCTAGTTTTAATGACAGGATCGTCTTTTATCGAGATATTTTGTTGCTCTAATTTTAGTATCTTTAACTGTTGTTTGTATTTTATTCTATTTATTATTTCTAAAAATTTATCCTATGCGACTTTGTTTTTAGATTTTAAACTAAATCTCCAGTGTTTCCTTATCTTGAGTTTTAAAAGGACGTTTCCTCAGTGCACACATTCCTGTTTCCTCGAAATCAAGCCCTTCTTAAATTTATGCATTTTAATCCTGTTTCTATTGCAGTTGGATCGTGGGGTTGGAATGAGGGGTTGGGCTGGAGTAGATTTGGGTATTCTTTGTTTCTTTTATTCCTTTTTCTGTGTAAAGCACTTTGTGATACATGTTGTGTATGGAACGTGATATATAAATAAAGACTGATTGATTGATTGATTGACATGCAGAGTTTCTTGTATGTGTACTCAGTAATAAACCTGAATATAACAATAACTGCTTATTTTCTTACGACAATGGTTGTTTCCTACAGAGGGGTCTACTCCTGGGGTCTCTTAAAGGCTCAGTAGTCCTTGTCCTCATTTTTTCCCCCGGTTTACAGGACAGAGCAGGTTTTTTAAAGTGCTCATTTCTGTTTAAATGCATCTGCTCATTCCTGCTTTAAAGCGAGACTCCTCACACCCTAAATCAGAGCTGAAGATGTCTCTGTCAGTGCGGCACTCTGCTATGAAAGTCAAGAAGATTTATGACCGGGCTCTGGTGCAAAAACACAAACTGAGACTGATCAAACTGATCCCAGATGATTGTTTTGTTTGAACGGTCCAGCTCTTTGTGAAAAAACGTCATGGACCTCAGCCCTGCCAATAGGATTGAAGCTGAGCTGTCTGAGGGGAGTGGAGTAAAGAGTTGATCAACATCTTGGAAGGAGGTTTCAGCATGTTCAGGCAGGACACGCAGCCTCACTCTGCCTTGACTTCATTCTGTGAGGAAATCTACGAACTCCTCGGATGTCTGCTAGATCCTGACTCTGAGAGGAAGTCTGATTCTGTCGATGGATCACAAGAAGGTGGATTTTAAATGAGAATGCAGGACAAGGTCAACGGGGAAACTCAGGAGAAGTCAGTGGGAGAGGTCAGCGATGAACATCTTCAGCAGCCACCAGGTAAAGACAAGAAATCTGTCAGTGTATTCATAAAACAAGAAGTTATTCCACTCAGAAATCTGCTCTTTTTTGTCTGAACTGAATTTCACCACATTCATATTCCAGGTGTGCATCCTGTTGAATCAGATTGCTTAATAATAAAACAGTTGTGTCACTCGGTGATGAGTCGCTGCAGGAGGAATCCTGTGGGCTGAGTGTGAAACATTTTACCGACAGGGGATTAAAATCGTAGTTTGTTCTTTTTACTCTTCAGTCTTTTGGGGAAAAAAAAAAAATCTGCTATTTTCCAAGAAACTAATGATATTCAGCGCTGACCTTTCTGTGTTTTTTTTTCATTCCAGCTGATGACAGGAAAGCAGTCCGGAGGAGAACCTTCACCAGGTGGATCAATGCTTTACTGAGCAACGTAAGTCACAAATTCACTTGAATCTTACTCCTTTTATATTCAGCAGTAAAAGCAGTCAGCTTAAAGGTTTATCTGTTTTTTTACTTTCAGTGTGATCCTCCAGTGGAAGTTCATGACCTCTTCACAGACATCCAGGACGGCAGGCTGCTGATGGCCCTGCTGGAGGAGCTCACCGGATACAAACTGGTAAGAGTCATCCTCAAAATGGAGAAGAGTGAAAATCATAACTTCCTCTTATTTCAGTTTATTGAGTGAGTGTGTAGAAACCATTTGACTGCTCTACTAGGCAAACAAGAAGGACCCAGACCAATAAGAGGTTTAAAAACTAATAAAAGAACCTTAAAATCTGCTCTAAAAGACACAGGTAGCTGATGCAGAGATTTATAAGCTGAGTCTTGAACTCTCCATTTCATTTTCTCCTCAGCTTTACAGGTTTAGGTCGTCTTCTCACCGAATCTTCAGACTGAACAATATTTCCAAGGCCCTGGCTTTCCTGGACGACAGACATGTGAGTATATATTTGCTTCAGTCCAGTTAAATTATGTAGATGTGCATAAAATTGACATTCAGAACATGAAGACATTTAAAGGAAGAGCATTTTAGATGAGATCTCCTCCCCGTCCTTCAGGTGAAGCTGCTCGGCATAGACGCCTCTGGCATTGCTGACGGCGTTCCCTCTGTTGTTCTCAGCCTCATCTGGAACATCATCCTGCATTTCCAGGCAGGTTTTACCAACATCATTTATCAGTCTAACATTTTCATCTTTTATTTCGCTCGCTTGGATATTTTTCTGAGTCGCTGACCTTGTATAAACTCTGCCGCTGTACTCTAAAAACAGGTGAAGGAGGTTACAGGAGGCCCTCAGAGGCATTTGTCCTCCAGCCTCTCTTCCTTATCGACGAGCAGTCCTTCCTCTGCGGACTTCACACCCAAACTGAGCGGCTTTAGCAGCCAATCGTGTAGCAACCTGCAAAGTAAAGGCAGAAAAGCCACCAAGAAGCCAAAGTATCACGGGAAAGCGATCAAGACTCTCCTGCAGTGGGTGCAAGGATGCACCTTAAAGTCAGTGTGAAAAGATCTAATCCTTTAAAAAGTCAAACAAATACATCAGATGTGTGAAGGTCGGGTTTTAATGTGTGATTTCAGGTTCGGGGTGGAGGTGCATGACTTTGGGAAGAGCTGGAGGAGTGGGCTGGCCTTCCTCGCGATGGTTAAGTCGATAGACCCCGCCTTGGTCGACCTGAAGGAGAGCCTGACGAGAGAGCCGAGAGAAAATATTCACTTGGCGTTCAGTATCGCCCATCACAGTTTGGATATACCGCCTGTGCTGGAGCCTGATGGTAAACACAGACTTGAGAAACAACTAAGTCCTCAAGTAGAAGGACTTCCTCATGTTGTCTCAATCTTCCTTCTACAGACGTGTTGTGTTCCTCACCTGATGAAAAGTCCATCATCACTTATGTCTCCATGTTCCTGGTGCACTGTGCAGGTGAAGAAGAGGTTAGTATGGCTTATACTGTTATTCTAACTTTTCCAGGAACATTGGTCCCACCTCAAAAGTTCTCTTCTCCTCGGGTCAACCAAGAGCCGACTCAGTATGTCTTATCTTGTAACTGCATTTTCCAAATCATATGTTCCAGGCTCGTAAAAGAGATTCTGATGTTCCCGGGATCCCAAATTTCGGATCACTTGAGTCAGTCACGTTTGGAGACATCCACGCCGATGACCCAGAAGCTAAAGCCTTGCTCAGAGGCTTTGAGAGGAGCAGCGAACACCGACTGTGGAGACGCTGGGCGAGTAGAGGAAGTACCCGGTCCACCTCGCTTCAGTTAGGCGGAGCAGTTCCTCCTGAATTCTCCTCCAGCTGTGGGGACATCTTTTCATCCTGTCAGAGCCGAAGCATCTCTGAACAGCAAGCAGGCGGTCCTACGTTCGTCAGAAAGAGAAGCAAATGTCAGAGTGGGTTTAAACCACCCAGTCCTCTGGATGCTGGCATAGCGAGCCCGGAGATCTGCTCATGGATGGAGAGAGCTTCTACAGGTCAGAGTTACAGCAAACCAAGAGTGGATGAAAGTCGCTTTTCTTTGAGCTCAGAGGAAGGGATCTACAGCTTATCAACGCTGGACTCAGATGAAGAAGAGGCCTACAACTACATCCTGGACCTGAATAAAGAGGATTCCCAGAATTATAACCAGCTGAAAAGGAAAGTGCCAAGGGTGGAAGAGGAAACTGCCGAGGAAATCCTGAATGGAGAGACAAATCAAATGGAAGCAAGAAAGATAGGAAATGGATTTAAACACCAGGAAGGTCCTCCGGAACAAAGCGATGAGTTGGAGGTAAGAGCTCAAGCATGTTGTTGTGGTCGAGACAGAAAGGAGAGGAGGTCCACAGAGAAGGTGAACAACAGTGAAGGGTTTGACAAGGAGCCAGAGGACAGAGGGGAACATGAAGAAGACAGAGATATCAGAGGAAAAAGGAATAAAGATGAAGATTATGAGAAAGAGAGCGAGGAGAAGACACTGGAGATGGAAAGAGGACCTTATGAGAAATCTGGACAAGTGGATTCAAAGACAGATGTAGACATGAGAGAAGAAGAAGAAGATGATAATCTGAGGTTATCTGAGGACAGGCAGCACGGGAAGTTGGGGGCAGAGAAGAAGGAAGAGAAGGAACATCAGCCTCATGTTGTGAATGTAGAAAGTTTCAAAGTCGAAGTAAATCTAAAAATCATCGTTGACGAGTCTCTGCGTGAAATTAGAGAAACCGGAGCGGTCACAGTGAACACAGAAGACGAGAAAAGCAGCAGAGAAAATGTCACCGTCATGGGAGATTCAACTTCTAAAGATGAAGATGAAGTCATGACTGTCATGAATGTTGTTGAGGATGTAGCAGCAGATGAGAAGAACGGAGAACTTCGGATTAAGAGACGAACTCTGGGGACAACAACGCTGGACCATCCTGATGGAGCTACCTCCAAAAATAACATCAACAGAGGTGTTCAAGTACCTGGAGATGAATGTTGTTGGACTGCTGCTGGCTGTGCAACTCCTCAGTCATCAAGGTGGGTCACAGTATAGGTCACTATTTAAGAGGTCTACATATACACTCCTGTTTTAGCAGCATTATTATCTGTTAATGGAAACTTTTATCATTTTGCATCATATTTCAATGTATTGCATCAAACCATACTAAATTGCATTATATTATATTACAAGGTGTAGATCACATTGCACCATTTTATATCATAATGCACCATATCATATCAAATGACATCATAATGCTTGATATTAAACTACCACACAATAAAAATGATCATTATTATTTTCATATAATACCAAAATATTGTATTTTTTTTGTCATATTTTATTGCCTTGTATCATACCGTAATGCATGATACATCTTGCATGATTAAAAACGGTCAGTATTTCACTTATAATCTATGCAGCTATGACTCCAGGTATTAGTAATTGCAGTATAAAGTTTTAAAATATTAAATAAAATAAATAAGATAAAATAAAATAAAATAAATATAAATATTTGATAATATAAATAAATATAAAATATAAATATACAAAATATTAAATATTAAAATATAAATATAAAATAAATAAATAAAATATTTCATGATATAAAATAAATATAAAATATAAAATAATAAATATTAAAATAAAAATATAAAATAATATAAATATAAATATTTCATAAAATAAATTAAATATAAATATAAATATGAAATATGAAATATGAAATATAAATATATATTGAATTTCCCTTCAGGGAAAATAATTTTATTCTTACTCTTATTCTTATAAACACAAAGTTTATCTGCAACTCTGTAGGCACATTTATGCAGAGGTGTAGTTTAATCTACATAGTTTAATCTGATTAAAGGTTTTCTTTTGACTTAAATATACACATTTCTAATGAGTTTGACAAATTTAATGTCAAACTAATTCAAGTAATTAAAATTTATTTTCTGTATATGATACTGTATGTCATTTCTGAACCTCAAACATATGTCTTTGCTTAAACCATAATGAGGTTATTGCTGGTGAATCAATGGTTAATTTGTAAAGAGTGTAAAAACCCTTCTTTAAGCCAGCAGGCTCTGACACTCCTCTGTTTTCTTTCCTTCCAAGCAGAGGTGGAGGATTTATTCTCCAATCTTTAGCGGCCCCCGGTGGCGTAACCCCATTAGAACTGGAAATGCTCTTGCTGCTGTGGATCCTGATCTTCTGTGGCTTCATCCTGCAGCAGATCCACCTCTGAGTCCCCTGACAGACACTGCTCTTATTCAGATATGCTTATTGGCCCAGTTTCCACTAATGGACCAAACAGAGACACTTGAGGTGGGATCTTTATCTGTGTCACTTAATTTCCCTCAGGGAAACCTTTAATTATTTTTCTCTTACTGTCAGCAGAAATGACTTGTCATGTGGTCTTCAGCCTCAGACAAACACACTGTCCTCTTAAAACCCATCTTTGCACACTTTTTAAGCTGCTTTTCTTGTAATTCATAAATTATTCCGCATGTGTCGTTGGATGTTTTGCCAAATGTACATCCAAAATTCTCTGATCTGAAATACTCCTTTTTCATCTCAGCCTGTTATAACCACCACATGGTGGCGCTGCAGCATCACAGCAGCAGCCGCCGTCTCACATGGCAGCCTGTTTTTACAACAATGTGTTTTCCTCTGCGAATCCCACATGAGCTGCTGTTTAATTAGACTGTATTGACATGCTGAGATTAATCTCATAGTATTTAATGAGCACTTTGACATTTGGCATTCCCTGGCTGTGTCACTGATGGCTTTGAATGTAAACGCTTTCACAGTTTTTCCTCAGATACTCTACTGTAGTTAAAGCTCATCAGTCTTTGGCTCTTTCTGTGAGACATAAATAATACAGCAGATACAGTGTCATATATGTTTTGATCATTTCCATAATATAGACCCAGAGATATAAATATTGTATTTGTTTTGCTCTCAGCTCAGACTGATGGTTTCTGATGCATGCGGTGAAACTGGTGCAAAAATTAAGTATGCATCAATTGCATAAGCGTTCAAACTCCATGTTGACCTGTGTGTGTATTAAAGGGGGGAATGAGTGTGCTCTGTCCTCTGTGTCCACTACATACACACGCATTGCTGGTGAAATTCTGAGAAAATAAAAATGCTGCCATTATTTGCTTGGAGCTCAACCCAAGGGTCAAAAGCTCAGCCCCGGAGATCGATATACTTTCAACAGCACCGCCACCCCCGCACCGAGTCCGCAGGAACAACACTTCCACGAGCTGGAGTTTGGCTGGTCTCATGAGAAATCAACATGCTACTTTTTTTGAATCGGGCCAAGTCAGAACGTGAAGAGAAGAAGCCATTACGGCTTTTTCTGTAGTTCTACATGTCTATCGTGGCTGGAGTAACCGAGGGGTTTATCAGCCAATGGCTAACTTCTGCAGAAACTCATGAGTAAAGGTAACAAGAGGTCAACAGGCCTTTGAACCGTACCATGACCTGGCCACCAGAAACACTACTGAGCTTGGGATCCAGCAGCACAACTTGTTCTCGCCCCTGGGTCTGGCGCTATAGCTGGCTGCGCTATCCCGAGAGTGATGGTCCAAAAGCTAGAGCCAGGGACCGGAGGCCCTCAGGCTGACAGTCAGCTCGAACAAAGACGAGTGTGGAGGCGACTAAATCTGCCGCATAGCCTCACTTTCCTCGTGGGGAGGGGGTCGAGGTGGGTTCCAAAGGGTGGGGGCTCAGGCTGTAAGCGAGGACACAAACTGGGATTAGGGCCAGAGAGGGGGCAAGTCCGAAAATTCAGTGTGGATGGGAATCTCACCAATAAAACTCTCTCTAGCTTCTTAAATCCAGACCTTCAAACATCAATATCAGCTTTGAGATATTAAAGAACGACCTGCGAGCCTCAGACAAACATGAATTAGTTACTTGTTTTTCAGAGCACTTCTTCCTAAAACAAGATTTAGAAGCGATCGTTAAGACTTTGAACCGTCAGGCAGATATTTCTTCTTATTGCTTTGCAGAAGAGACACATCCACCTTTTAAAACTTGACAAATAACAAGCTGAGATGGAATCAAATTACACATATAGACTAGAGCAATCAAGTCAGTAAACAACCAATATGTGCCCGCTGTGACACTGTGATTCTATCCGAGCACCTGCTTCTTCACAAGTTTATGTTTTATGGAGAACAGATGATCACTCGTGACAGTCGGTGGCTGTAAATTCTGTTTTTATTGCTGTGCAAATTTACTTTTGCCGATTTATTTTTGTATTTCAACGGCGGACTGTTGACTTTAGCAGGAGCAGATAAATCAGGTTGTCAACAAGCATGCAGAGTTATGTGGTAACATGCAGCCTGCAGTTGAACGCTACAGCCTTTTATGCTCAGAGTTGAGAAACTTGATGCTTGGGTACGTCTCAGTACAAACTCAGAGGTTACTATCTGCAGGACAGTTAAAGGAATATTCCAGCGTAAATTAAAGTTAGGGTTAATTACGCCGTAACACCGAGTTAGACACCCCCCCTTGAGAGATAAATCTTGCTGACCGCTTGAATCTCTAGTTATACCAACTTTAGTAATGGCCGCACAATAGCAATACAGAGAGCCACCAAACAGCAACCAAAACGCCACTCTATAGCCACAAATAATGCTCAGAACAGCATCTAACTTCATCAAACCACAACCAACCAAACATCTTTTTAATTTTGCCTGATTTCTTTAGCAAAGAGACTAAACACAACTCACCTACTCTCCTCCAGCAGCCGCTTGTTTGTAGGGGAGTCCTGATGAGTCGATCACTAAGTGCAGCGGAGTTTCGCAGCTCAAGGAAGAACATTTACGATTGTTACTTTATGGAAATTATATATACAAATAAATTTTTTCTTTTTTTAAATCTCTAATTTGCAGGGAAGGGGCAGGACTAGATAAGCTTTTTGCTTCTTTTTGTTCCTTCTCAAACTTTATTTTTGACATACATATGTTGTATTGATTTATCTTTGACATGTACAGTAGTTTGGTGTACTTATGTATTATTTTGTTCAGTGTTTTTGTTTCTAGTTGTTTTTTGTTGTTCTTAAAGTTTGAGATAAATAAAGAAGAAAGAAAGAAATGCAATTAGACCGAGACGCTAAGGCAGAAGAACTACCGCGTCTGCTGTGCAAAATAGTTAATATGGTGATTATTACTTCAGTGAAATGATAACGTAATCATCATAAATGTTCTTCCTTGAGCTGCGTCACTCCACTGCAGTCCATAATGGACTGGCCCGAGGTCTCCCCTACAAACAAGCGGCTGCTGGAAGAGAGTAAGTGAGTTGTGTTTAGTCTCTTTGCTAAAGAAATCAGTCAAAGTTAAAAAGATGTTTGGTGGCTAGTACTATGGCTGGGACCCTATATGTACTGTTGATGAAGTTAGGTGCTGTTCTGAGCATTATTTGTGGCTACAGAGTGGCGTTTTGGTTGAGGTTTGTTCATGGCTCTTCCAAACGCTGTGTATTGCTATCCTGCGGTCGTTACTAAAGTTGGTATAACTAGAGAAGCAAGCGGTCGGCAACATTCATCTCTTGAGGGGGGGTCTAACTCTGTGTTACTGTGTGTTTGACCCTAACTTGATTTTACGCTGGAATATCCCTTAACTTAGAGGAAGACCCGGGTTCAATACCCTCAATACAGTTTTTTTTTTTCAATTAGGCAAGGCTCCTTATTTCACATCTGTCCTTTTATTGTGACTCTCTAATCTGCAGTGGCACAAAACAAGATAAAAAGGATCACCAACCCTACCTCCACCATGCACAGTGAATACTTTCTACAAAGTTGTTTTAATCTCTTGAGCGTACAGTTGACACAAAGCTGCACCTTTCCTCTGCAGTCACTCGATTTCTGTCATTTAAATGATGAACGATGCCGGGTAAATTCTCAGTAAGAAATGATTACTGTGCTCTATATTCAACAACAAGTGAAAGCCTGCAGTACAGGTCCCACAAGTTGTAACAAGACAACTCAGAGCAAATCCAATCAAACATTGATTGTTTTTTTCACAGGCGGGCACAAATCCATTTCCCTAAGTTCCAGCTAAGGAAATCTCTCAGTTTTAGAAAGCTGTCTGAGCAACTCTGGGAGTTCGGCTATTTTTCTGCGACTCAAACAACTTTTCAAGAGAAACTCTCAAACTTGTCAAGGTTTGGAGAGAACTAAACTATCCTGTCCTTCTTTATCGGTCAGGAACATCGGTTTAGGCCTGAGGCAAGGTCACATGAGCAATGTGAAACAGCAACAGCAATAAGGATTATACAGGTTTTTGCAGATGCACCCTTAAAAATGTTTGGGGAATTTTCAGGAGGTCTTTGCGCCTAATGTTCTTAAGGACCGCCTTTAGTTTCCAACTTAAAAACTTTGCCCAACCAGGCAGATTCTTACAACGTAGATGTACAATCCTAAGACCTATGAAGGACACTCTTCTGATTAGCTAATCAACAGTGTGAATAATTGTATTGTAACTCCTTCATATGGCGTCCAGTCGTACCAGTCTGATTGCTATTTCACATACATAATCTAGAGATCTATGAGAATGAGTATAAGATTCATCAAATACAGGTACAGTGCCACCTAGTGGTAGACATAGCACTACTTTCACATACAGTATCCGTACCAAAATTTTGAGTTTGCAGCTTTAATTTTTGGCTCCTATTTTCCCGATGAGACACATTTTAGATTTTTTGGGGGGTAAAATGTCTTCGATTCAGACAAGGAAGATATTTCTAAGTGTTTAGGGTCAGGGTTAGGGGTTAGGATCACTGTCCAGGGTTACGTTAGGGTATGGGGTTTTAACCACAATCACCAACTGGCGATCCTCATGGGAACAAGATAGTGATCTGGGACCAAGACCAAATCCCCTATTTCATGTACCCCAAGTTCACTGGTACTGAAATGAAGTCTCTTCGATGTTGCATTCAAAAGTTATGGGCAATTTAAAAAAAATCCCAATTCAAGTGAATGGGATTGTCTGGGGATGATACCCTCTATAGCAAGATCGGACACAGTTATTGTGTTTAGGGTTAGGTTTAGTGTCAGGGCTAGGGGTTAAGGTTAAAACCACGATCCAGGACCTACATTTTAGCACATTTCAGACCATTTGGAGTCGAAAGATACACAAAAACATTTTGGGAAAAATGTCAGGTTAGGTATAGGGGTTTTAACCACAACTGCCGACTGGCAAACCTTGGCGATCCTCAAGGGAATGAGATAGAGATTTTGGACCAAGATCAAACCACCCTATTTTATGTACCCCAAGTTTACTGGTGCTGAAATGAATTCTCTATGACATTTTGACGGGATTGTCTGGGGCTGCTACCCTCTATGGAAAGGTTGGACACAGTTTTTGTACTGTGCAAGTGTTTAGGGTCAGGGTTACGGGTTAGGGTGAAAACCACTGTCTATGACCCACGTTTCACCACGTTTCGGACCATTTGGAGTCAATAGGTACAAAAAATTTTGGAAAAATGTCAAAACTTTTCTTAGTGTTAGGGTTACATTAGGGTTTAAGGGTTTTCAACCACAATCACCAGCCAATGATCCTCAAGGGAACGAGATAGTCTTGTAATCAAATGTCATTGATTCAGATAAGAAAGATATCATCACCAGAAAAAAAGGAAAAAAAACAAATACTTTCCTAATCTTGATTTTTGTTGCATGATTCTCCTTTTTCAACTTTAAATGATTTTCTTCATCCTCCTCCAGGTTCACACCAGCTTCATGATATAAACAACAACATCCCCCTGACCCACTGCGCCATCATCTGCTCACATACGCTCTTAGACGGACATGAAGCCCAATCCCAAAAATCAGGGCTTTTTTTAGGTATTCACACTGGCCGCACTGGTTCAACTTAAATGAACTTTGACCTGCAAATTTGCAGCGTCAGATGTTTGTTTGGTTGACCCTACATTGCACCACCCTCATTCAGCACAGCAAGTTACAAAATCCTCCCTAACAGTGGAATATAATCATCTGAGATCCTGCAAGTGTGACTATGTCGTAAAACTCTTAAACACACTCAGGAGAAGGACTTCACCTCAGTCTCCCCAGAAACTCTTTCCTCCTTTGTTTCACTCTGTTTTATTTGGCTTTCTCATGAGGAGGTCTTGTTGAGGTTGGCAGGGAGAAAGTTAGAAGAATGAGAAACTTGTCATCACCTTGTAATCCCTCGTCCTTTTTGGAGAACCACCTTTAACAAAGCATACTCATGATATACGACAATCTAATGGGGCTCTTCTCGCTCATAAATAAGGAGTTACTGATCCTAAAGATGCTACTACTGAACATTACTCTGTTTCTTTAGCTGCCTGTGAAATGACATTGCACTCCCAGCCTTAACTGCCTTGGTTCATATTTTTACAAACAGAATGACAAATCATTTCAGAAAGAAAAAGGCCTTTTCCTGCTGTTTCACCGAGGATTCAGCGTTTTGTTTTAGCTCCAATTTTTCAACATTACAGGGAGATTTATAGTTTATTTTCCCATTTTCACAAAATGATGAAAGGGATTTAAATGGAGGCATTTTATCCCTGAAGCAGATTCTCCGCTATTCTTGCAAAACCGTAAAACACCTTTCTGCAATTACAAAAGCATTTTCCTCCATATCATTTTTTTTCACTTCACAACCCATTTCCTTCCCTTACATCTCTTTGTCGCTTTATGCAATTATCAGAGATGGCTTTTGCAAGAACATCGAGGCTTATTTGTCAACACAAAAGAGAAAACTTTAATGCCTCGCATTTTCACTCTGCAGCAGACTTCGTGACATTAGCGCCTTTGTACCTCGGCAGCAGACAGCCTTGAGGAGATGTCCTGATGATATTTCACTCACTAAGGAGATGATGAATAGAGGACAGCTTGATGAATGGGACAACAGATCCATCACAAGTAACAGAAATGTCAGCATATTAATCAAGAAGGGCCTTGAAAACCCAGAGTTTGTAAGCCGAGGGGAAGAGCGGAGGTTCCCCAGAGGTCACGTCTGTCACTTTTCTATCTGGCTGAGAAGACTTCAAACCTTTAAGCAATCAATATGACAAACAGACAGGTCAGATGTAGAGGTGATACATACACATACTGTATTACACTATATGCCATTTACCATCCATGAAGGGTGTTTTATGGAGGAAGAAATAGCTGTAATCTTAAGAACAAAGTGGTGCAAAAATTGGACGCAATGGGACTCAAAGCAAGCCAAAAAGTCAAGTTTATTGATTATTGATAGATGGGTTTTGGGCAGTATATGAGTCAAACCAATCAGTGCATCTGCTCTCATTCCCTTCAAGAAACAGGTACGCTTGCTGGCAGGTGTGTTACTATGTACTCGGGCCCGACTGATTTATTGGCGAGCCGATTAAATCAGCCAGTTTTAACCCGTTTGAGACTAATCGGCAATCGACCAAGGCTCGCCGAGTTTTGCCGATGTTTTCAGAAATAAAATGTGGAGAATAAAGTTCGGTTTCACTTCGAAAATGTTCCACTATTTGAAAAGATCCCTGACTTACCCTGTAGATGGCGCAGTGACCTCATGACAATCTTCATCCACTAACTACCTCACAGCACAGCAGAGTGACGGATCTGAAGTAGTTGGTCCGAGTTTGATCAGTTGGTCTTCCTGTCGACGTGAGGAGTAGTAGCCTATAGCATATCTACAGTATATATATTTTTTATAACTTCCAAAAAATTTTTAAAAATCGGCCGATTAATTGGTAATCAGATATTTTATTTTATATATTTTATTTATAATTGGTATCAGCCCCAAAAAATCTATATCGGTCGGGCGCTACTATGTACACAGCAGATTTCAGGCTTACAACAGGCGCACCCCAGCACCTGGGTGGCACGTGCTAATTTTTGAGAGTTTTTCAGGTCGGGTCGAGTGTTTTTTGCACGCTTCTAACTCAGTTAGTCCACGATATACAAACTCAAAACTTCCGACAGCCCCCAAAAAAGAGGACATGTGGCCATCTTATGTTGATGTTGAATCTACTCAGTTTCTCTGAACAGCAGGAACGAAGGTGACTTTCCACTCTGATACATACAAACATTTGTGCACACAAACTCTTCTGTTTTACCTCTTACACATCAGGAAGACGCTCCACAATGGACCTACAACTTTAGCAAGTTTTTTGTTGGTCTGAGGTTCAGATGCAACTTTGGTCCTGACCACACCTCATTTCAAAACCAACATGCATTTCATATTTACACAATATCAACACTGAGAGTCGAACTACAGAGTCAGTTGGTCGCAAAACAACAATGACACTTGCATAAATGCTTTACACTCGATGTGCAGTAGGCCTCGTGGTATTATATACTAGCTGTTTGGGTTGGCTAATCTGATGATGGGTGGCAAAAACAGGCGCAAGTATGGTGGAGAGATCTTAAAATGTGTTGCAGTAGTTTCAGAAAAAGGAGGGGGAAGAAGAAAGAACACGAGAACTTGACAACTAAATCAGGTGTAGCCAAAAATACGCTCTGAGGCTCTCCAGGTCATAAACCCCACCCATCACCACCAAGAATCCTCTTTGATACCCCTCCTCAACACCTGTGTGAGATTAGAGACGTGATGAAAAAAGCCACATCTGCAGCAGCCAAGACTTAAAGGGATATTTCACTTTTTGAAGAAGGGTCACTGGAGACGCTTGCCAATAGTAAGTGTATTAACCACAGGGGAGGCCAGCCAGCTTGGCCCTTTTGTTAAAAAGCCAGCCAAGGAACTAGAATGGAAGCTATCTTATCAACCACTACAGATGGGGCATGGTCTGTCATGTAGTTTAGCCATTTTTCAGCTCTATTGTTGGTGCATGTGCATGCTTTACTTCAGCACACAGTAGAAACAATCATCCATTTTTAAAGAGCAGCTTGTTATCTCATCAGTGATGTGCTCAGTGAGTTGTGTTACATCAGTAGAGACAGATATCTCAGGACAGAGAGTAGGGGCTGTGCTTGGTTAATTTTTCACCAGACTGTCAGCTGACTGTTTGGGCTCCTGTATATATTGAGAAAACTGCTGGAAAACTGTCTGCAGCAGAGGGGACATTTAAGGTAAGCTTGGCTCTTTATTGAACTTTACAACTTTTGTGAAGTAACGTGTCTGTAGTGAAAATCATATAAAAGTGGAGCTGTTTTGTGATGAAATCTTGATGAAGATATTCTGAACTTTTCAACTTCAGATACTACTGCTCTTCTCTGTGAAGCTAAACTCTGAATTTCTTTGGACAGGCTGTAAAGATGCATGGTATTTTCGGAAGTTGTACAATCGCAGCATTGCTGCTGGCTGCAGCCTGGGCAGACCACGACCACCACCACCACGGCCCCCACGACCACCACCACCACCACCAGGAGGGAGATATGAGCTGCCACAGGATTTCTCCGCCCAATGCTGACTTCGCCTTTGCCCTCTACAAGAATCTGAATGCCAAGGCCAGTGCTGGAAAGAACATCTTCTTTTCACCACTTGGCATCTCCACCGCCCTGGCCATGCTGGCCACGGGAGCCCGAGGTGAAACCCACAGTCAGCTCTTCTCCAGCTTGGGCTACAGCGCTCACAGCCAAGCAGAGATCGATGAGTCGTTCAAGCATCTCATCCACATGCTCGGCCACAGCCAGCAGGAACAGCATCTGGAGGTGGGCAACGCTGCTGCTGTCCGCTCCGGGTTCAACCCTCTGGAGAAGTTCATGAACGACGTCAAACAGACCTACTCTGGTGAGGTCCTCAATGTTGACTTCAATGACCCCGCTCAGGCTGCAGCTGAGATCAACAGACTAATCGCGGAGAAAACCCATGACAAGATTAAAGATATGGTGAAGGACCTGGATCCTGCTACAGCCATGGTGCTGATGAACTACGTCTACTTCAGAGGTAGGACACACACTCGTACAAGAGAGGGCGCCAAACACAACGTATGATAGCTGACAACCACCCATCTTTACACATGAATTGATGAGGAGTAATGTGAGTGTTGTTGTACAGGACAGTGGGAGAAACCATTCGATGGTAACCTGACGCACAAGGCAGAATTCCATGTGGACGATACGACCACAGTTCAGGTGGACATGATGAAGAGGACAGGCCGCTATGACGTGTATCAGGACTCCGAAAACCACACCACTGTCGTCAGGCTGCCCTACAAGGGTAACACCTCCATGATGATCGTCCTGCCTGATCAGGGTATGATGAAGGAGGTGGAGTCCCACATCAGCAAGGAAGCCATCCATCACTGGCACGACTCAGCCTTTAGGATGTAAGAGAGGCATCTAACCTTGCCTTTGTCTATGTTGCAGAACATGTTGTAGAAACAGGTCGCTGACTGATGACGATGACTGATGATGGTAAACTTCTATGTTGTTTAGGTCTGTGGAGCTCTTCATGCCAAAGTTTTCCATCTCCGCTGACGCGTCTCTGGATACCACCTTAAAAGAAATGGGCATTACCAACGCCTTTGCAGACAGCGCTGACTTCTCTGGCATATCTGAGGAGGTCAAACTCAAACTGTCAAAGGTACGATCACCCACTGAGTCTTGATAGTTTCGTTGAAAACTTACTGCGCCCTCGTACTGACATCTTCTTCCTTCTGATTTCTCCACAGGCTTCCCACAAGGCCGTGCTGAGCGTGGATGAAACAGGCACAGAGGCAGCCGCCACCACCACCCTGGAGATCATGCCAATGAGCATGCCCGAAATTGTGACCCTCGACAGACCCTTCTTGGTCTTCATTTTGGAGCACTCGACCAAGAGCATCCTCTTCATGGGAAAGATCAACAACCCCACAGCCTAAAGAGCCAAAGAAATACAGTCCCAGATCTTGATGTCTAAGTCAGTTTTGTAACTTAAGTACACATTTGAAAGCCATGTAGAGATGTTGCAGAGGGATAAGAACATTGGGGAACAATAAATAGAGGAGAGTTTGGTGAGTAGGACAACAGATCCATCACAAATAAATGAAAATGTTGGTCAACTGAACTGTTTACTGTCTTTTAGCATTTATTCGTATCTACTGGACCTGTTGAAGAAACCTCTAAATACATTATTACACACTTTGAACTGTTGACTTTTGCTTATGTCACAGAACAAAATTTAGTGGGATGCCTTGCCAAAAATCTTTAGGTGAAGAGGAGAGAAAGAAGCGACTCTTTGTTAATGTTTAACAAAACTCTCAGCAGTGTCTCTTGGATCAGCTGTTCAGGATCGGGACAATTGCTGAACTGCAATGAAAACATACAGTTTAATTAATTAACAAAATTGAGGTTTCTTAAAAGGTATACTCACCACAACATAGGATTTATGTCATTTGCATAGTATAGTAATGCATTCATTATCAATTCCTCTCCTTGTTGTTTATTATAAATAGTGAGGCTTAATATGGCAATGCATACTGGCGAACAGATTACCCTTAACCCTTGTATGCCTTTTGTATCATATTTGATATATACTTTTACATACTTCTATCAAATCAATATGATCAACAAAGTACTAAAAAGCACCTGAATACAGGCTGATAAATGATAAAAATGTCCTCTTGTAGTTTATCAGTTTCCAAAAACATCTAATGTATCAAATAAGATAAATAAATATATTTGTAAAATTTTAAGGACATTTTGATTTTTTTTGGTTTTCAGTAGTAAGTGAAATATACATTTCAGCTCAAAAAAAAAAAATTTGAATTTCCAGCCATAATTTTTGTTTTCAATTATTAAAGAGCTACAGTAATGGAGATCATAAACAGCACTTTTTGTCCTCCTCTTACACTTAACCCTAAAGTCTCTCGTTAGACTCTGCAAAAGCTGCTGCAGGGCCAAAACAACATCAACACCTAAAACCTCCTGAAATGATGAAATACAAAAACAAATAGATTCCAGCTTGTGCTCTAATTTAAGGCCGACTCAGACCTAGACCCACACCCAGCCATGCCGTTCGGAGAAAAGCAGCAGCTATCGCCACCTAGTGCCGGTGTGTCACATACACTTGAAAGTTTCAGGGGACACTGATTTTATACAACATTTTTGAAACTCCACACCTATAAATAAAAATAAAAAAAAGGTCAGCAGTCAAAATGTAGCTGAAACAAACCTTTGCTAACAAACAAACTCAATAAATACTAAAATTAACAGGATGAATAAATATTTTGTTTTTAATAGTCTCTGATGTTAGACTGTAAGGTGAATATAAGGTTATAAAGCGAATCTGAAAAAATAAAATAAAAAGTTTAATTAAATATATAATCAATGTTTCAGGTCTCTCCTTACTGACTGTTTAAGGTCTGTCGCTTCCATTTTTTTTTTTATCTCTGGTGATGTGAAGGTTTTGTTAAGTGACCAATCAGAGAGTGATACTCGTTAAGGGGGCGTGTCTGTCAGTAAAAAGACCCCAGCGAGAGGGTAGCAAGTCTTGCATCCTGTCTCATCTCTCCTCTGAGTCTTGGAATGGTACTTCTGAAAATACACCACATCTAGCCAAGGATGGAGCGCAGATTATAGCTGACCCCTCCTCTACTGGCTGTAAATTACATCAGGAAGTATGAAACACTCGGGCCTTTTCGGAGTCTTTTCCATCCATTAGTTTGAGCAGTTTTTAAAGCTGTCCAACTTTTCCCCCTTATTTCACAGTCTGTCTTTTTTGTAAACACGTCTCGGCCTCCTCAGTTTTAATGAGGATGTTGCGCTTCATCAGTTTGCTTGCTTCCAGATTTGGCATCGCTTTGTTCCACGAGATGGTAAACAGGTGCATGCGAGGCTGTACTTATGGTCCCCTCCATGCACGAGGATTCCTGATCGTAAACATTGATCGTGTTTGATTTTAACCATTTCAGTTCGAGGCATCTCTGGTTGGAGGGGTGGGAAATCACTCTTAAGACACCTTTACACCAGATAGACCATCTGATAATTAGGCCAGCGCCTTTTGTCTGGAGGGGGGTAATAGGGGTCAAAAGCACAGGGGACTGTACTGGGAGTTAATGTTTTTTTGTCACATTTGTTTGGAAATTAAAGAAACAAGATTTACAAACCAGAGGCCGCACACCATAGCTGTTTGTAAGGAGGCTAAAAGCTCGCCTGTGGTTGGTTGACCAAAAATCAGTCAGCATTACAAATGTGGCAGCCATCACTGATAGGCTTCAAAACACCACTTCACCAGCAAGTGGGCGGTGTTTGGATGGTTGGATGATTATTAATGTTTACCGACAACCTTCAGACCAAAATTATTGAATTCACAGACACTCATGGTGTGTTCAGTGTACTGTGTTTCTAGGTGTTGAAATCCGCCTTGGCTCAGAATCTCCGAGCGTGGGACAGGAACTTTGCTTTTTGTTAATTTTTAATAGATCTGTCCTCTGATTCTCTTCAATCTGCTGGATTTGGAGGTAAATCTTCTGCTTTAAGGCACTTAAGAGGACACCAGTGGAGAGCGTGGATCACTGATGATTGACAGTCTTAAGACCTTCAACCTAACAAGTGAGTCTTGTTTTATTTATTGAAATATTTGTGCAGAAGTAGAGGCGTGTATCTGGGTTATAGGTTTGCTGAAGACTGTTTAACACAGTTGTGTCACTGAGAACTTTCTGTGGTTTTTGTGTCATTTTGACAGGCTGGAAATATGTGTGGTGGTACCTTCAGTAGATGTGCACTCCTAGCACTGCTGGTGGCTGCAGCCTGGGCAGACCACCACCATTCTGAACACAGCCATACAGAAGACCATAAGTTGTCTTCCCCCAATGCCGACTTTGCCTTCGCTCTCTACAAAAGTCTGAATGCCAAGACTGATGCTGGGAAGAACATCTTCTACTCCCCACTGGGCATTTCCACTGTGCTGTCCATGGTGTCTGCAGGGTCTCGAGGGGAAACCCACAGCCAGCTCTTCTCCGGCTTGGGCTACAGCGCCTTAAATCAGTCTCAAGTGGATGAAGCGTACAAGCATCTCTTTGAAATCCATGTAAAGAACGATGAAGATCTACAGCTGGATGTGGGGAACGCTGCTGCTGTCCGCTCCGGCTTCAGTCCTAGGGAAGAGTTCTTGAACGATGTCAGACAGTCCTACTCTGGTGAGATCTTCAGCATCGACTTTAACAATCCTGCTCAGGCTGCAGCTGAGATCAACGGATTTATAGCAAACAAAACCCATGACAAGATCAGAGATATGGTGAAGGACCTGGATCCTCTTACTGCTATGGTGCTGATCAACTACGTCTACTTTAAAGGTAAGGAAGGAAATTCACTCTGATCGACTTTATGATGAATTTTTAACATCCTTGTGTGAGTGCAGCTGACAAAAACAATCAGGGTGAAATAATCAACTTTTTCAAGTAACTTACATTGACAGTTAAATTTTCAAATCAGGTCTCAAGATGGAACCAGTTGACACTGTGCAAACTAGCAACACATAGATCCTCATTTGCATGAACATGTTTTGATTGGTTGAAGGTCTGCATAACAAATCCCCAGTCAAATAGCCATGTGCAAGCAGGACAATAACAGAATTAGATTTCAGTCATTGTTGGACAGAGAAACGAGCCAACTATCATGATTTCATGTTAAAGTAGGAACCCTTTGAGTAGAAATGACAGTGTTTATTTGATGAAAGTGATGAAATGTTGGTTTTCATTTCCAGAGGTGTGTATTTCATATAATCTATTAGTGGTTTCAGGTTTGTGTTTGCATTAAAATAAAGTTGAATGATTAAAAATGAGACTTCTGTCACATTTGTGTCTTGCTCAGGATTGTGGAAGAACCCTTTTAAGAGTAGGATGACACAAAAGATGGACTTCAATGTGGACAAGACCACCAAAGTCAAAGTAGACATGATGCATAGGAAGGGCACCTACAGCACTTACTGGGACAATGGAAACCACACCACTGTCGTCATGCTGCCCTACAAAGGTAACTGCTCCATGATGATCGTCCTGCCTGATGAAGACAAGATGAAGGAGGTGGAGGGATACATCAACAAGGACTACATCAGGCACTGGAGAGACTCAGTATCCATGGAGTAAGTAAGATGTAGAGTCTTGATTGGTTGAGGACGGTCCAGTGACCTTTTACTATTAAAAGAGGGAGGAGAAAGTTACAGAAACAGGTCTTTCTGATCTGAACAAACCTACTCAGTTATTTTTGATTTTGGCCAGATTTCACTCCCCTCTTTGCAATTCCACATCTGCCTCTACTGGCTCTCCTCTCTCCACCTGAAGACTGTCTTTGACATCAGTGATGTCTTGTGTTTCTCAGGTATATAAGGCTGCTCCTGCCAAAGTTTTCCGTCTCTGTCGACGCCCCCTTGGAAAGCACTCTGAAAGAAATGGGCATAACCGACGCTTTTGAGGACAAGGCTGATTTTTCTGGCATTTCTGATATGAAGCTCAAAATCTCAAAGGTAAGAGATTATCCCTTCTCTGTTTCTGCCCTGAACTCTACCACCTGAGATCTCCACAGTCCAAGTGTCCAACTATATTGAACACAGACTGCATGATACCAACAAGACTTCCTTTTCTCTCCTTCACAGGCGTCCCACAAGGCCATGATCAGTGTAACTGAGATGGGAACAGAGGCAGCAGCTGTCAGCATCATGGAAATTAACTTCTTAATTTTGCCTCGATCTGTAAGAATTAACAGACCTTTCTTAGTTTTTATCCTGGAGCACTTCACCGGGAGCATCCTGTTCATGGGCAAGATCAGCGACCCGACAGCCATGTGAGAAGTCTTCGATGATCTTAAGAGTTATCACAAAGATCTCATCATGTTTGAGTTTATGACTTTACACCTTATTATATATACGACTGCTTTTATCAAAAGTTAATGTATAAGAGAAAATGCAATTATCTGTGTACATTTTTGTAAACCCCAACCGTAAGATGATTCCATTTTTTTAAAAGATTTATGTAATGGAAAAAAAAATCATATATTTGGGTCAAAATAATAAAAAAGAAAAAAAAAAAAAGATCTATAATAGATTAGAAAAATCATTTGGAATCAAATAATAAAAAAATTCAACATTGTGTACTTCTGAGTGTACATTTGCAGGTTTTATTTTTACTTTGCATAAGTGTCTTGAATAGACAAATTAAAAAATAAATCTGTTTTAAAGCTCCTGTGATGGATTTTCTATTTGTTTTGATTTTGGCGCCCCCTGTGGACAAAGCCACAACTCTCATCACTTAAATAGAGTTTAAATGTTTTGCCTCCTTTAAATGGTGTATGACTGTGAATGTTGTGAGAAAAATTCAGTTTGAGAGTTGATAGTTATAAACCGTAAATGCTATAAATGAGAGCTATAGCGTAACCCTGACATCAGCCCCACATGTCCCCTCGCCCTTTGACCTGTAACCACACGAGTCCGTTTACACAATCAGTACACATACACTCTGAAGACCAATTATTAATAAAGACCGACAACCTTCAGACCAAAAATCATTAAATTCACAGACACTCATGGTGTGTTCAGTGTACTGTGTTTCTAGGTGTTGAAATCTGCCTTTGCTCAGAATCTCCGAGCGTGGGACAGGAACTTTGCTTCTTGTTAATTTTTAACAGATGTGTCCGCTGATTCTCTTCAATCTGCTGGATTTGGAGGTTAATCCTCTGCTTTAAGGCACTGAAGAGGACACCAGTGTAGAGCATGGTTCACTGATGAATGACAGTCTTAAGACCTTCAATCTAACAAGTGAGTCTTGTTTTATTTATTGAAATATTTGTGCAGAAGTAGAGGCGTGTATCTGGGTTATAGGTTTGCTGAAGACTGTTTTAAATGACCTTGAAATAATTTGTTGTAACTTTTGTTCTTTGTTTAACGATAACTCAGTTGTCAGCTTGGCCACTACTTGGACTAACACAGTTGTGTCGCTGAGAACTTTCTGTGGTTTTTGTGTCATTTTGACAGGCTGGAAATATGTGTGGTGGTACCTTCAGTAGATGTGCACTCCTAGCACTGCTGGTGGCTGCAGCCTGGGCAGACCACCACCATTCTGAACACAGCCATACAGAAGACCATAAGCTGTCCTCCCCCAATGCCGACTTTGCCTTCGCTCTCTACAAAAGTCTGAATGCCAAGACTGATGCTGGGAAGAACATCTTCTACTCCCCACTGGGTATTTCCACTGTGCTGTCCATGGTGTCTGCAGGGGCTCGAGGGGAAACCCACAGCCAGCTCTTCTCCGGCTTGGGCTACAGCGCCTTAAATCAGTCTCAAGTGGATGAAGCGTACAAGCATCTCTTTGAAATCCACGGAAAGAGTGATGAAGATCTACAGCTGGATGTGGGGAACGCTGCTGCTGTCCGCTCTGGCTTCAGTCCCAGGGAGAAGTTCTTGAACGATGTCAGACAGTCCTACTCTGGTGAGATCTTCAGCATCGACTTTAACAATCCTACTCAGGCTGCAGCTGAGATCAATGGATTTATTGCAAACAAAACCCATGACAAGATCAGAGATATGGTGAAGGACCTGGATTCTCTTACTGCTATGGTGCTGATCAACTACGTCTACTTTAAAGGTAAGGAAGGAAATTCACCCTGATCACCTTTATGATGAATTTTAAACATCCTTGTGTGAGTGCAGCTGACAAAAACAATCAGGGTGAAATAATCAACTTTTTCAAGTAACTTACATTGAAAGTTACATTTTGAAACCATAGGCATAGATCTCATTAAAACAGTCGTCACAGCCTCATTTGCATGAACATGTTTTGATTGGTTAAAGGACAAATCCTCAGTCAAATAGCCATGTGCAAGCAGGACAATAACAGATGTAGATTTCAGTCATTGTTGGACAGAAAAACGACCCAACTATCATGATATCATGTTACAGTAGGAACCCTGTGAGTAGAAATGACAGTGTGACAGAAAATGATGAAATGTTGTTTTTCATTTCCAGAGGTGTGTATTTCATATAATCTATTCGTGGTTTCAGGTTTGTGTTTGCATTAAAATAAAGATGAATGATTGTAAATGAGAATTATGTCACATTTGTGTCTTGCTCAGGAATGTGGAAGAACCCTTTTAACAGTATCATGACACGAAAGATGGACTTCAATGTGGACAAGACCACCAAAGTCAAAGTAGACATGATGGATAGGACGGGTACCTACAGCACTTACTGGGACCGTGGAAACCACACAACTGTCGTCATGCTGCCCTACAAGGGTAACTGCTCCATGATGATTGTCCTGCCTGATGAAGACAAGATGAAGGAGGTGGAGGGATACATCAACAAGGACTACATCAGGCACTGGAGAGACTCAGTATCCATGGAGTAAGTAAGATGTAGAGTCTTGATTGGTTAAGGACAGGTCAGGGACTTTTACTGACAAAACAGGAAGGAGAAAGTTACAGAAACGGGTCTTTCTGATCTGAACAAACCTACTAAGTTATTTTTGATTTTGGCCAGATTTCACCCCCCCTTGCAATTCCAGATCTGCCTCTTCTTGCTCTCCACTCTCCACCTGAAGACTGTCTTTGACATCAGTGATGTCTTGTGTTTCTCAGGTATATAATGCTGCACCTGCCAAAGTTTTCCGTCTCTGTCGACGCCCCCTTGGAAAGCACTCTGAAAGAAATGGGCATAACCGACGCTTTTGAGGACAAGGCTGATTTTTCTGGCATTTCTGATATGAAGCTCAAAATCTCTAAGGTAAGAGATTCTCCCTTCTCTGTTTCTGCCCTGAACTCTACCACCTGAGATCTCCACAGTCCAAGTGTCCAACTATATTGAACACAGACTGCATGATACCAACAAGACTTCCTTTTCTCTCCTTCACAGGCGTCCCACAAGGCCATGATCAGTGTAACTGAGATGGGAACAGAGGCAGCAGCTGTCAGCATCATTGAACTTATCCCCTATAGTATGCCTCAATCTGTAATAATTGACAGACCTTTCTTAGTTTTTATCCTGGAGAACTTCACCGGGAGCATCCTGTTCATGGGAAAGATCAGCAACCCGACAGCCATGTGAGAAGTCTTCGATGATCTTAAGAGTTATCACGAAGATCTCATCATTCCAAAGTCCATGACTATACACCTTTCTTATTGATGCGACTGCTTTTATCAAAAGTTAATGTATAAGAGAAGATGCAATTATCTGTGACTCTTTCGATCTTAATGAGAAGTGAATCTTTCATGCAAATTAAGAGCCGAACTCAAATGTTTCCTGAGCAAAACCGGCTGCATGTGTTGAAGGTTTAAAGTTCTTTGTTGTGATTATTTTTCTTGCATTAAAAAACAAAAATTATCTTATTGAATTTTGAACATATGAAACCGGACACTTAGCTCCAGAAACCTACGCATTTTATCATAAGATGATACCACTTTTTAAAAATATTTATGAAAAGGTAAAAATAAATTTTATTTTTGGGTCAAAATGAAAAAAAAAAAAGATAATAATTGGGAACTAATAATTATAAATAAATAAACATTGTGTAGTTCTGAGTGTAAACTTAAAGGTTTTATTTTTACTATGCATGACTGTCTGACAAGACAAATGAAAAATAAATCTGTTTTAAAGCTCCTGTGATGGATTTTCTGTTTGTGTTGAGTTTGGCGCCCCCTGTGGACAGAGCCACACCTCTGTCATCACTTAAATAGAGAATGGTGAGATGTATGCTTTATTGATCTCGAAAGGACTTATGTATGAATTTTATTAATGTAAAAAAACTTTTCATAGGAGCTTTGATAAGTGAAAAATATCACCTCTCTGTTTCACTTTGATTTCGTTAGTATCATTCTCAATATTTAATTCGAAATTACCTGAAATATTGACTGAATTACTAAATCGACATTGACTCTAATCAACTGAGGAAATCCAGTTACACAGCTGATTGTATAAACCGTAAATGCTTTACCTTAGAGCTGAAGCGTAACCCCAACGTCAGCCCCACATGTCCCCTCGCCCTTTGACCCGTAAACAGACGAGTGTGTTTACCCAATCAGTACACATACACTTTGTCTCCTCTGTGGGCACCCGTGCACAGTGACTTCTGGGAAGGACACGAGTAGGTGGCTAAACGACACACTGAAGTGGGCTGCTTATCGGAGGTGTTGAAGTGCTGCTGTACACGAGCAGGTACAGATGAGAACTTAGAGACACTGAATAATGACCAGCGCTGGATTACACAGCCCTTCCTCAATCTCATATGTTGAGATTTTGATGGTTTGATTGAAATGGTGCAAAGACAGCATAGCAGATGTAGGAAAAACAAAACACTACATTACACTGCATCAAATACGGATATGACTCTGAAGTGGCAGTAACCGCATAGGTTAGAGACTCTGAACTTTTAAGTAGCTTAAAATTCTACATCAGGCAAGAACTGGATCACAAAAACTGGTCTGCTGGGTTCCGAAACATCTGACTCCATATGGTGTTTCACTGTGTAGGAACATCTCAAGTTTGACAGTGGTTAAAGTTAGTGCAACTCATCATTCAAAAGCATTTGCATCCATGAGTCAGGTATAAGTTGAAGAACCCTCTGTGGATCCGGAGCCATGTTCCTGTGACAGTGATGATGAGTCAGTCCTGAGTCACCCACTCCAGACGTCACACTTCTGTGTATATTTGCTAACTTTAGGTGAAATACAACATAGTGGTCACATTACATTCATCTACTCATCTGGGTTGTTCTGCAGAGTTTCTTGTTTTTTCAGTGATGGTGGGCCGACACCCGAGTCCAAAAGTCCGCCTCAACCTACAACATACAGCAGGAGGAGTGCAGGCTCTTTCTTGACATGATGTAAAGACACTATAATTTTATACCTGCTTATTTGGGTATGTGCACAAAATCTAGTAAGGCTTTAAGATATTCCCTTTCTATGTTTTTAGCAGCTTTGACCCTAAACTGTCTTCTGATGCAAATTCAAACAGCTCTCATATTAGCATGTCCTTTCAGCCTGTGTTTGATCTGTGGCCAAAACCAAAGGTACAAAAAAAAATCTATAATTTTAGAAAAGCAGCTGCTACACTGTCAGCTGTCTGTGTCTGAACAGAAGATTTGTCTCGAAGGAACAGAGGTGTGCAGTAAAATACAGGGTTTGCAGTTAAGATGGTAACTTCAGGGTTAACTAGTCCTGCCAAGGTGGATCAATTCTTCCATGGTGCATTGCCATGGCAACTTAAACAGCAGGCCTTACCTGCTGTCATTGCTCTCTGTGTGCATGAAAACAAATACGTAGGTTCTCTGAATTTACTTGACTTTTGATGCCAATTAAATGTAAATTAGTATCCTGTTTACTTGCCTGGTGATGCAGTTCATATTCAGAATTATTAAAGCACTAAATCTTCATACCGTTAGGATGTGAAAGACAAGCTTATTCACAGCTTTGACGCTTTGATATGAACTTTTATTAGATTTAAATGGCACTGTTTAATACTGTCAGGGCTGCAGCTGAAATAATTAATCTGTCAAAGATGCCACAGTCTGAGCAACAACTTAATTAAATGGAATAAATAGGAGGAATTATAGTATTATCATGCACTGATAATGGAGAGTAATATTATAAGATTTCTTCTGCTGATTCATTAAGGTCTGGAGGTTTTACAGTTACAGATATTTGACCTGCATTTGGCAGATGTAACTCTGAATGATTCAATTAAGTAGGGCACAAGCCAACACTGCAAGCAGCGTGAGAGAGCCTTATTAAAATTGTAGGAATTATTTATAATTATTATTAACTTAAAGTTTTCCAACTTGAAAACCCCCTAGATGGGCTCAAAAACTCGTGAAATTAGGCAGAGAGGTCAGGCCCAACGAAAATTTGCATATTTTACCAGGACCTGACATGAAGGATAAAAAATGACTCTCTAGCACACTCTACAGATAATGGTGCTCGGGAAGTTTCATGGCTTTTATCATACTATACTATGATATTTTTATCATAGTATAATATGACATTTTTATCAGAGTATACTATGACAATTCATTGTACTATGCTATGATATTTTTGATCATGCTTAACTAGAATTTACTAAACAATGACATTTTTGCGATACTACACTTTGACATATTTTTCTCAAAATGGAAATTTTTGTCATACTATAGTATGATATATTTGTCATACTACACTTCGACATATAATTTAACGTAGTGTAATATGATTTTTTTTTTAAATGTTCCATACTATGACAATGTAATCAAATACTATTATGAAATTTTTGACACTGTGTTTTTCTAGCAAATTTTACCTGACCAGGATTTGATCCCAGGTACTTCTGGTTGTGAGACTGCAGTGCTAACCATTACACTAGTATGCCTGCCGGATTTTATAGGAACCTCTTTCACACTTTACTATGACAAATTCCAACAGTGGCACTATTTCATTTTTCAAACTATAATTTGAATTTTTTATCATAGAAACCAATGACATTCTTATAATACTATACTATATATTTTTTTAACATACTACACTATGATATTTTAATACTAAAGTATGACACTTTCGTCATACTATACTATGACATTTTTTAACATAGTATACTATGACATTTTAATACTAAAGTATGAAATTTTTATCATAAAATACTAGAACACTTATCATACCATACTATGACATTTTTTAACATATTTTACAATGACATTTTTGTCATACTATACAATGACATTTTTAACAGTGTATACTATGTTGTTTGTCATACTAAAAATGGAAATTTTTGTCATACTATAGTATGATATTTTTGTCATACTACACTTTGACATATAATTTAACGCAGTGTAGTATGATATATTTGTAAATGTTCCATACTTTGACAATGTTATCAAATACTATTATGAAATTTGAGACACTGTGATTTTGGCAAACTTCACCTGACCAGGATTTGAACCTAGGACCTCCTGGTTGTGAGACTGCAGTGCTAACCATTGCACTAGCATGCCTGCTGGATCTTATAAAAACCTCTTTCACACTTTACTATGACAAATTCCAACAGTGGCACTATTTCATTTTTCAAACTATAATTTGAATTTTTAAATCATAGAAACCAATGACATTCTTATGATACTATACTATGATATTTTTTAACATACTACACTATGATATTTAAATACTAAGGTATGAAACTTTTGTCATACTACACTATGACATTTTTTAACATAGTATACTTTGACATTTTTTTCATACTCAAATTTGAAATTTTTATCATACCATACTGTTACATTTTTAACATATTTTACTATGACACTTTCGTCATAGTATACTATGACATTTTTTTCATACAATAATTTAAAATTATTATCGTGCTATATTTTGACATTTTTTATCATACTATACTATGGTATTATTTAAATACTAAAATATGACATTTTTGTCATACAATACTAGGACATTTTGTCAAACTATATTATGTATTTTTTATACTAAAATTTGAAATTTTTATCATACTATACTATGAAATTTTTGAACATACTACACTATAATATAAGTGTAATACTAAAATAGACATTTTTGTCATACTATACAATGACATTTTTTAACATACTATACTATGACATTTCTTAACAAAGTATACTAGGACATTTTTGTCATACTATACAATGACATTTTTTAACATAGTATACTATGACATTTTTGTCATACTATACAATGACATTTTTTAACACAGTATACTATGACATTTTTTTCATACTAAAATTAGATTTTCTTTTATCAAACTATACTATGACATTTTTTAACATTGTATACATTACATTTTTGTCATACTGTACCGTGACATTTTTGTCACACTATACTATGACATTTTTTAACATAGTATACAATGACATTTTTTTCACACTAAACTTTAAAATATTTATCAAATTATACTATGACATTTTCATCATGCCATACTTTGATGTTTTTAATATAGTTGAGTATGATTTTTTTCATACTTATATTTGACATTTTAATCATACTAAACAGTGACATTTTTTGACATTCTATACTTGGACATTTTCTTCATACCAAAAGTTGAAATTTTTATCATACTATACTATGACATTTTTGAACATACTATACTATGATATTTTTTTATACTAAAATTAAACATTTCATTTTTCAAACTATACTTACTATGCCATTCTTATCATACTATACTATTATATTTTTAACATAGTAAACTATGACATTTTTATATTTGAATTTTTTTTATAGCAATGATGACATTTTATAACATACTTTACTATGATCTTTTTTCGTACCAAATTTTTTTTATTATACTATACTGACATTTTTCCATACTATTGTATGACATTTTTTAAACCTTTTATACGATGCCATTTGTTTTATTTTAAAAACCATCAAACCATACAATGACATTTTTATCATACTCTGCTACAACACTTTTTTATCATACTATACAGTGACATTTTTTTTTATCATAATATGATATGACAATGTTATCATACTATACAATAACATTTGATCATATTATGCTATAAACATTTTTTTTCATAGTATACTATGACATTTTTATCCCAACATACTATGACATTTTTATCATACTATACGATAATATTTTAAACATATTTTAGTATGATTTTTTATTATGCTATACTATGGCATTTTTAACATACTTTATTAATGATATGTATATTTATTTTATTTTTATATTTACATTTTATATTTCTTATATTTTTGTCATACTTTACAATGATTTTTTTTATCATTCAATACTGTGACATTTTTAACATACTACACTGTGGAATTTCGATCAAATCATAATGTGACATTTCTTTGAATTTATACTATGATATTTTTTATCACAAGATACTTTTATATTTTTTATCAAACTATACTGTGACATTTTTATTATAATTATTTATCTTAAAATTTCTATAACTTAAAAACATAGAAACATTGTGCATATCAACGTGTAAAATGCAATTCATAAAAGCACGTGACTTCATCTTACAGTTTCTCTTTCAGCTCAATTATGAAACCAAAGTAAAGACTCGGCTCTAACTTTGGAGAACATCACAATCTGAAGATGTGTTCATTAGTGTCAAGCTCTACGACTCTTCCTCTACATTGAAAATCTCTCTGATCTCCTGCTTCGGTTATTATTCCTGCCTGAAAAAGATCAAATGTGTGGAATGCATGCAAATCAAGACATGATGTGACACATCGTGAAGCGGGCATCTATAATGCAACGTCTGTCAAGTCGAGGGGGTGTAAGTCTCCTCACAAACCTCTCTCTCTCTCTCCCTCTCGACTCATTTATTCAGATGCGATGGGAGGAGGAATAGTGTTTCGGTGTGGAATCCGTGACTGGCAGACAAGGTCGGGAAAAGACAAAAGATTGAAGCGATGAGATGATCAGGAGTTCATACCGTTGCACAGTCTGATGTATAACACAGAGGTGACACTGAGCAGGTGCTGCAGCAAACTGAAGAGAGACCGCCTCAATGATTCTGTTTGTTCACATACCAGCTGTCTTATGGTGACATTTCACTGGCTTTTTTCCCCTTTTTTATGTAAGTTATAGACTTAAAGATAGTTTTTCTTGTTTTTATCATTTTAGAAAGTTTTAGTATCCGTGTGACACATCCTGAAGCTCGTTCCACAGTTTGAGGGCCACTGTGGAGAAGGTGCCGACAACCCTGAGGAGACCATGAGGAGCAGCTGATCAGCAGACCTCAGAGACCTCGAAGGGGCTGGAGCTGAAATTGTGCAGCGCAGACCAAAGAAAGAAGGGAGCATCATTTTATCATGCAGACAAACATCTCCTCTACATCAGGGGAACTCGGGGTCATAATCACAGAAACTGCAAAAAGAAAAACGTACCTCCAGCTGTTTTGCTTCTCTGAAAGTGGAGTTACTGTACCTTATCTTTGCTTTTCTTCACTTCAAAGTAAAATCACTTCAACAGTGTGCTTTGGCTTTTCTGTGATTCATTTCTCTAACCTACTTTTCAAAGTCACTCTCAGTTTCTTGGTAAATCCTCAGAAATAAAGTTTGAAAATCAGGTATGATCATTGAGGTGTCTGGAAGGAAGATAATAGCGAAGATAAAGCAATCTGAGTCACATTTTCATGAAAAGGTTTGACGTAAGTCGACTTAACCTTTCTGTTTTCATGTTTCTACTTTTGAATTTGAAATTCAAGATTTATTATAAAAGCAAAGGAGCTTCAAAATACTCAGTAACACCTCAAAAACCAGTGGAAAAACTTAACATCACAAGCATACTATAGTGTAGTAATACAGCAGAATAATAGATGTTCTGAATAAAGAGGAGATCAGTAAAATATGAGATTTCTGTGTACACCAGTATCGGCCTGAGGATTTTCTGCTTTTAAACTGAACTTTAGGATAAAATGGAAGTTGCTCTTTCTGCTTCTGGTATGCAAAGCAAGAGTAGAATACAGTTATTTCCAACCATGGGTCAAAGGTCATCTCAGAGGTCAGGTTTGAGATGTAGAAAGATAACCAAATAAAAAGCAGATGCTGGGAACTTTTTTTTTGCTGGTCAAGAATAAAACATTGAATACATTTCTTATTGGTCCTGCACTCCAGCGAGTTACAGCCTGGTTTCTTTGCAGGGTAGGGAAGTTAGAATCAAATTAGCGTGGGTCCATTTATCCGGTGATGGTGAGAGTTATGTGTGTCAAGCAGAGACGGCCAATATTATTGGCAGAAATAGAGGGCTTGGGTCGGCTCTGATGTCAAGTGTGAAGGCAGTGCGGCTTGAGTTGCATGCCTGAACTAGCTCTCAGATGTTGCACCATTCGTATCTGTCCGCCCCGCTGACTCCACAATAGTACCTGCTGATATCAGTGTAATTTCTGATATAATTCATACCTTTGCAGCCGTACAGGTGCGATTTTAAAGCCTGGGCTCCTTCTGCACTAAAACCCAAAATGAGCTTACACAGAGAGGTGGAAAACCTTTTATTACCAGCAGTTAGATCCTTTAAAATAAGATATAAATTCACTTACTCAGGGGATTTAGTGCAGAGAGAGGACTTTCTCTTCGTTTTTTTCTCCAAATCTTCTATAGAGGCACCGTAGCAGACAGATTAATATTCACAGGGGGGGAATTTTATACGTCTTTAACAGGCCTGGAGGGGATCTTACGGCACAAGCACATGACCATTTGCACAAGCATCGGTGCATACAGCAGAAAAAAAAGGTTTATGTTGGATTAAATCAGCAGGACATACTGTACTAAAACCAAACACAGGTGTATCGACCAGTAGGGGGCACTGTTGCGACACAGGAACAGAGAGGAGGTTTTTGCACCTTGTTGTTAGTTTGTGATTCAGACCTAAATTCAAGCACAGCCGCTCCTCCATTCATTGTTCTGCTTTACATTTCAAAGTCACACGAGCTAAATGCTCAGAAGGTCATGGAAAGGTCATCGATTTTATTCATCATTAAACAGGCGCCAAAAAAAAAAAGAGAGGGTGCAAACAGAGACACAGAAACATGAGCTGACACTTTAATCCATCTGCGTGTGGGAGAAAGCTCCCGTTACAGATTAGCACTTGGTTTACTGCAGATTTAACAGTGAGAAAGGGTGTGTTTGTTTACTCCAATCTGGAGTTAAGATCCAGTATCAGAACGAGAAAAGCTTTAAAATTCTGTTTCAGGCTGTACTTCTCATTTTGAAAGGCACCTTAGGTTTAGACACTTAAGTGCAGCTTCACACAAACCACAAGGACGCGTTAAACATATCACACAAGTGTCAATGTGACGAAACCCACGGTGACAAAGACCTCCCAGAGTGAATGTCTGGGCGTAACCTCGTTAAAAGTGCATCAAAGCTAACGAAAAAAGAGGAGACTGGAGACTGGGTTGACAGAAAGAGGCTGCTCCTGCATCAAAGACGAACAATAAAGAAACTGATCATGTTTCTTATTTATGTCGTCTCCGCCAAAGTCGAGATGTATGGTGAGGAATCTGACTCCTTTTATGTAGAGGCCTGCGAGTCAAAGAGGAGATAAACTCACAAGAAAGCGAGCTAAAAATGTTTGTACGCAGAGCACACGCGCCGTCGTGAAGCTCTATTACTGTAACTCGTGCTGACAGTCCAAAGCGAATCACTCACTAACAGCGCTGACCTGTGCATCTGTTCCCACGCACAAAAAAAAACACACACATACACACGGTTTGAGTGTAAAGTTATCCGGTGCTGTCTTGATGTGTTTGAAAGTGTTGTTTGCCAGCGTGACCCTTAAAATCCAAGCGCGTCTTCGCTGTTGACAAATGGGATTAGACGTCGTACGTTTCCAGAGAGATCCCGCCGTGTTGGAGGATCGACTGCCTCTGTATCTGAGCTGTACTGTATCAATCCAGGTCAGCGCGAAGACTGCAGCTGTGTTTCATTATTATTCCCCTGTCATATCGCATCAACCCTTCAGCATCGCAGCGCTCCGCTCGGCTTCTCGAAAACATGCGCTGACTGCTTTTTTACACCTGCAGCTTCAAGGTGTGTGGCAGTGTGGGGCTGATCCATCAAGTCTAACTCGTGGTGAAATAGCTGCTGGCCTGTTAGGGACATCCCTGAACACACGAACACACTCACGCGCACGCTACTTCACCACCCACGACCTGTCCCGGCGCAGAGGCAATCAGGGATGATTTACAGGATCATAAAAGACACTGCAGGTGGGGACATGAGTAGCCCACGTAGACCGGCTCTCCCTGGAGGGCTGTCATGAGCTTCAACGTGACTCCCTCAGCCGAGACGTCGCTGTTGTTTATTTTGGTGAGAATATCAAGAAGTAATGGGAACTGCAGCACATTTGGGACGTTAAGCACTGATGTAAAACTGTGAGAAACTGTCTGCCGCACATTTGAGATCCAGTTAAAAACACACTAAACAGCAGGACTCAGTCTGGAAAAAAAAGTTCCTGTTGAGTAGATGTTGACCTAAATGGGAACAACAGTGAATCTACACCACAGATACTGCATAAACACATCCAATACACTCTCTTTGTTACTGTTTACAGTCATTTAAAAACACTTTCCTTCTTGTTTCTCTCATAAGTCGATGAAGACGCTCATCGGCAGCGATGCAGTTATCATTATTTTGCGTCTATTGATCGTCTTTATTAGCAAGAACAGCTGAGAGAAGACATCAATCAAATGTTATTCATACAGCGCCAAATCACAACAGTCATATCCCAAGAGCAGGTCTAGACCACGCTCATTGTTTGATGAATTACAAAGACCCAACCTTAAGATGGGACAGATTTAACCCATCGCATCTATAAGAAAGAGGATTAGATCCGTGTATTATCCGTCCATCCAGTTATTCCAATCAATTTGTTTTTCTGTTTAACCAAAAAATAAAAGATTAGTGTTTGTTCCTCAAAACAGAAAATATAATAGAGATGGAAATGAAAACAAAATAATTAATCTACTTTTCGTTTTTCGGGTTATTGATGTCCCCATTTCCCACAGTGCCTTTCTACTGTTCGCACATTGCACGACAAAGTAGCCAACAACGTGGACCAAAAACTCCAGGCCAGAGCGGAAGAGAAAGGCTAACCTGTTGTCATGGAGATGGACGCATCCTATGAATTATTTAACGCCGCCAGGAGGGTCACGCTGAAGGAGGAAGATATGACTGTAGAAAAAATTACAACCAGAGCTCTGTTACAACGGAAGATTTTGGCGCTCGAGCCGCTCTGTCGCATCTTTCGCCATGGTAACTGTCGCTGAGGATCATGGGAAGGCCAATGTAACCTCCATGCACGTACGCTCAAAACAGGCGCACTCAAAATCAATAATTGTAAATAAGATTTTCGTTTCCTTCTCTATTACATATTCTGTTTTGTTATACAGAAAAACAAATAAACAAAATATTGACTCGTTTTTTCATTTTTCGTTTACTAGATTGAATGGAATAATTGAATGGATGGATGATACATGGACCGGATTAGAGAAAAAATAATTACAGGGGTGACATTTTTTTAAAGTAGAAATTTAAAAGAGTTGTAATTTCGACTTTATTCATGTTGACTTCGATCTCGAAATTTTACATTTTTTAATCTTAAAATTTAAAGATTATCCATGACATTTCAAAATCTTGAAAATTTGACTTTAATCTTGAAATTTTAATTTTTAATCCCAAAATTTCGACTTTAATCTCAAAATTTCGACTGTAGTTCCTGTACTTCCTGTAGTTATTTTTTTCTCTTCATGTGGCCCTAATTCTTTTTTGTACATCTAACAAGAGTGACAGTTGCAAGGAAAACTTCCTTTTAACAGGCAGAAACCTTGAAGAGGACCAGACTCATGTCAGACAGCCACCTCGCTGCTGCTGTTGCTGAGTTGGGAAGAAATACAGAGAGAGATAGGGAGGGAGAAAGAGAGAGGAGAGGGAGGGAAAGAGAACAAGAGAGAAGGAAGGAGAGAGAGAAGAGAGAGAGAGAGAGAGAGAGAGATGGGACAACAACAACAACAAGAACAACAGGATCAGGATATAAGTAATTATGGACAATGTTAAATTAATTTAATGTGATTACAGTCAACAGGCCTAACAGTAGTTAACCCTAATTTTATGTTATTAACACTCAGTCTACCAAAATTCTGCAACTACTAGAACAACCATCTGCAGTCATCTTGACTGCTCTGTCTTTATTTGCAGATAATTTGGATAATCAATGATAAAAACTAATAATAAATTGGTGGAATAGATAAAAAACACACCGGTACACAAAATGAAAATCATAATGAATGAGATTTTTAAGAACCGTCCTCAAAATACCAAGACACATCATTCCCTGATTCGCTCATCCATCCCATTCTTCCTCATCAAGGCTCCGAAGCGAGGCTGAAGCCTCCATACTTATTTTTCTTCTAGTTGTCATTTCTGAGTCTCTTGAGCTTTGAGGAAAGTTATAGCAAGATTTTAGCTTCACAGAGCTTAAAGTAGAAAACAAACAATAGAGCAGGAGGAAGAGCAAATCGTGAAAGATAACACCCTTTATCAAAAACATGCACTCAATTTGACTGCTCAGGTCGTTCGAGGAAGATATACTCAGATCTCTTTTTTGTGTTGAAATTTTAACAATAAAGCAATGTTAGAATAAAATATAAACACATTCAGGAAAAGTCAGGGTGAGACTGGTGTATAGGTTTATTTTAAAAAGTTATGACATTGTAAATTTGTAGTGTCCTGAGGCAGGCAGGTCCACAGCAGCCGACCGTCCGTAGAATCAATCCAGAAGAACCTAGGAGACATTCAGAGAGGTGTGGTTAGTAATTAGATGGGAGAAAATGACGTCAATGTACATGATAAAGAAATAAGTAATAACAGACTATGTTTGATTAATTTAAGGTGCTTAGAGTTCGCAGGTCCAATAGCAGTTCACTTCATGTCTGCAGCAACCTAATCCTGAATGTTGGAGGTGGCGAGCAGCAGCTGGTTGATGCTGTGCACGCTCCACTGCAGCGAGGATACAACCTTTATATGTGTGGCATGAGCTTGAACCACCTACTGATGCAAACATCATAAAGTGTGCAAACTTGTAGGTTTGCATGTGATTTCCCGCTTTTGCATGATTATGTTAAATATCAACAATGTCAACTAACTCTTACTGGTGTGCCTGAAACTTTCATCCCTTAATTAATCTTTACTAGCCACCTTCTTCTTCGTCTTCGGTTAAGGTTTTAACACTCAGCTGTATTTCTCATATTTCATGTCTCATTTCTTATATTTCAAATCTCATATCTATGCTGCTGTGTTTGAACACAAAAGTGCAATATGTTAATTGCAAAATCTATCTATCTATCTATCTATCTATCTCTTTCCTTGTACATAGTTTTCATTTTCATTCTCATTGCACTGCCTACGCTGCACTAAAGGATTTAATCTTGTATATAGTCTGTACCTGTATTTTTTCAACTATTTTTGTACCTTCTGTATAATAACAAGAAAGGGCTGTCTGATTCTCATTCTTATTCTGATGTCATGTCTTTTATCTCATTTCTCAGATTTCATGTCTCATATCTCATTTCCTATATTTCATGCCTTATATCTCTGACTTACTGTATATCTAATGTCTCATACCTCATGTTTCATATCTCTGCTGCTGTGTTTGAATACAACAGTGCAATATATTAAGTGCAATCTATCGCTCTCTCTCTATCTATATATCAATCTATCTACATATCTCTCTATCTATCTATCTATATATCTATATCTATCTAAATATATATATATACATGTATATATATGTATGTATGTATATATATATATATATATATATATATATATATATATATATATATTCATAGTATTTATCTTCTTTTCTATTCTTGTATATAGTTTTCATTTTCATTCTCATTGCACTTCCTATGCCGCACTAGAGGATTTTTTCTTGTATATAGTCTGTACCTGTATTTTTATAAAATATTTTTTTTACTTCAATCTGTTTTCTTTTTTGTATCTATTGCACTGAAGATGGAGAAGTTCTTCAATATCATTGTACCTTCCGTATAATGACAATAAAGGGCATTCTGATTCTGATGTCCTTTATTTTATCTCATTTCTCATATCTCATGTCTATATCTAATCTCATTTCTCATATCTTATGTCTCATATCACATGTCTCATATGTCATGTCTATATCTCATCTCATTCCTCATTTCTCATATCTCATGTCTCATATTTCATGTTTCATGTCTTAAATCTCATCCCTCTTTCTGTAAAAAGTCAAACCATTCACTCAGAGAGAATCCATGTTATGGAAAATGTAACAAAAAAAAAAAAAAAAAAGCGAGCTATAAATCGTCTCGTCTGACACCTTCCCTCTGGCAGCAGTGACAGGCATTAAAAACCACTTTATAGAAATTATCAGTATTCATGCAGATGGTCCAGTTTGCTTTTAGAGGTCACAAAAAGACGTCAGGATTATTTCCAGTCTGCTTCATCTCTCCACGTGGACTTTAGGAGGACTTTGGCGGTGCTGATTCTTCTTTTCTCTTTAACTTATGGACGGTGTCGGCTGTTTCTCTTCTTTACTGTCCTGACAGAAGTCTTAGTCCAGCAGCTTGAACCGCAGTCGACGCTGCCTCTTTGTCTCACTTCAACTCCACTTTGTGTTTTAGTGCTGAACCCAAATCCAGAATCTCAGAGGTAAGGTCAGGTCACATCCATACAGTATTTTAACCTGTCAACAGTCTGCCCCCTTGTGGCTGTTATATATCGCCTGCAGCTAAAATAAACATGAGGGCTCTGTTCTCTCTGTACCTGCGGTAAAATGTTACATTCACAGTGCTCTGTAGTGTCCTGAGGTGCACTGAGGCACAATTCACCGAGACGCAGGGCTGTAAAAAGCAGCAGCTGCTGAGGGTCAAATCAGCAATGTGAGCGAATGTGAGCGAGAACAGCTTTCACATGCAATATCTGCAGCAGAGTGTGGAGAAAAGCTGGAGTTTGCCCACAGTTCACCTGTGTAGAAAGTCAAACATGGTGGTGTCATCATGGACAAAGAGCTTCAGGGCAAAAGTCCAACACCCCTCCGTCTTCTCAAAATCGCGATCCGTGAAATTATACCGTCGAGTCCAGGTCCTAAAAAGTTAAGTGATGAATAGACAAAAGTGATGGTGTTCCTGCTGAGCTGAGTGGACTCTAATCAAGATGAATGTTCATATCTGATTGCTTGCGACGGTGGAAAAACTCTGAGATGTTTTTTTGACAGCAGAGGAACGGAGGTGGATAGAGTGACATGGAAAAGCAGAGCGAGAGAATCAATGGGTCATCTATTACATCCAGTACTTAATGAAAAGGCTCTGCTGCAGATGAGTAAAGCGCTGCCAAAAGGAAGTCTTTGGAGGCTCTCTCTCTGCCCTCAGCTTGATGTCATGATCAGTTTAATTCTCAGGCTGCTCGTCCTCCACTATTGACCCGCTGCTTAATGGCTTTTCTTGCACAAGCATCGTTCAAACAGCACTTTATTGCTGTTGTTTTTCTGCACAATGATTCTTTCTGACACCACATATCCATTAGGAAACTGAATTGTTATCAGTCTGTGTGTGTGTGTGTGTGTCCCTGTCTGTCTAATGAGCAGTAAGTAATGAAAAGTCTGTGTTTCCATAATCTTTCCTGTATTTTTGGCCCGCTGCTGTTTTTCTGTCCTCGAATCTTTAATGATTTTGGCTCCTAATGTTCTTGGGACTCAGAGTCTTCAGTCAAAACCACATTCTGAACAGGGTTTGTATCCAGAGCACAGGTTGATATTCTGTGTTTTTACCTTTTTGAAAGGTGTATGGCTCCTTACTCTTGGACGAACAAATAGTTTTAAGGCTTAAACTGACACAAACTTAAACTAGTCTGTTGAAATGATAGTTAAAACAGATAGCAGATTAAGTTTTAGTCATTAAGTGGGCAGATGGTTGAGCTCTAACCCTGAATTTTCCATGGTGGAATGGTGGTGAAAGGTCGTCGGTGCCGATTGCCACCAATAACCACTGATTATTTCCATTTAAGTTAATGTGTCAAATTCCAGCGGCTTCTTTCCAGCCCAGGAAATCTACCAGAAAATCCTGATTTTTTCTTTGTGTGTGTGATAGTTTTATTTCAAATGAATTGGGCCCTCAAATTAAGTGGTGTCATAATTTATTCCAAATATCACCTGAGAGAATGAACCTGTTAGGGTGGTCATGTCAGCCTTTAGGGTGGTGGAGCTGTGTCACTCAAATACCTCGGATACTTTGGTGCTGGATTTCTGGAGCCATGGGCCTCCGACAACCATCATAAAACACGGACCTTGTACCCATGTTTAACATCACTCAGGCTCTCAAAATATGTTGTCCTTCAGGTCAACAAGATGCATGCAGAATGTTTGAAAACACGGACAGCTAAATATACTTGAACAGTGTCAGACTAGTTGTTGTTACACTTGTGGCGTGATGAAGCAGTAACCCAGATCTGCAACCAGTAAAGCTTGTCAAAATGATCATTCGTGTGGACCATGAGCGAGGCATCCTTACAGAACTTCATGTCACAGTCCTCTCAACATATTGGACATTCTGGGTGGGCCCCCTCTTGGGGGTGCAAAATGGTTTAGTCTACCTGACAGCGACCAGCGACGTGTAACATCAGTGGGTATTTGAGCACAAGTAGGTCAATGCATCAATTCATGTGGAGAATGAAAGAACCGCTCATCAATATAATCTGATCTGATTGTCGCTTAAAACCCTATTTATGCTTTTTTATTTTAAATAAATACCCCCTTTTGTTTTCTTTCTTTTTTGCTCACACGCCTGAGAGTGTACGAGGCCCAGAATTTGATGCTACACCCCTGGCACAATGCTTTAAGGTTCGAGGGCGCATCAATCTGAGACCTGCAGGGGTCTGCAAGCTCTCCATCATGCGCACTGAGAGTGAATATATACAAAACCTCTAAAATGAAAAGGAACTAGTGTATCTTAATACTGAACTTCTCTGTCTCTGCATAACAATAAAAGTGGAGTACCAGAACAGTTCAGTAGGAATAAAGCAGGACTTCGTGCTGCTGGAGATTTGTCATTTGGTTGCGAGTTATATCATACCTGATATGAAAATATGAGTTTTCATAATTTTGAATTCTTGCCTTTCAGCATAACTTCACACCTTGCAAAAGTTGGAGGTAATTATAACTCTACCTCTCACCAACAACCCCAGCAGGAGTCACATGCTCAGTAGTTAAGTGGATTTTCTAACTGTGAATAATGTAACCTGCCTGGATATGGTTCAAATTGGGCAAAAAGTACCCTGGCGTGAGCACCTTGACCAAGAAATTCAGACTCATGAATCACGTGTTCGATTTTGTCTTTTCGTCTACCTTCCTTAATCACGGCGCACACATAAAAAAATCAAACACAGACGAGTAAAGTAGAGAAATCAATGAACCAGGTCCTGTGTGCTTGCAGTTGGAAAAACAACTCACAACAAAACAAAGGAGCATAATGGGAAGGTTTTTTTCTGCGTTTTCTCTTCTGATCCCGAGCGTCGGAGAATTGAATAAGCCCGGCATCGGTGCCTGACCTCAATAACTCTAAATCCCCGCAGCATTGCTCCAAAACTTGTGAGAAGGCTTTTTTTTGGTGCGTGATAGAAAGACATCATGATTGTAGTTGAAATGACTTTCCTGAACTTTAAAATCACGGTCATTTATCATGATTGTTTCATATCTTTTACATTTTAATTGTACCTTCATATTTAAGAAACAGAGCGACACGTTTAGCTCTATATTTGCAGACTTGAACATCTGTGCATTTTCAATAAGTACAAATTTAAATAAAATAAAATGAATGCACCTGAATATGGAGATGCATGTGAGTTTTTTTCATACTAAAATATGAAACTTTTAACATACAGTACTAAGACATTTTTATCATACTTTACGATGAGGTTTTTCATAATAAAATATGATTTTTTTTCATACTAAAAATGACATTTGTATCATACTATACTATGACATATTTTCATACAAAAATATGAAAGAAATTTCCATTACATATGAAAAAATATACCATTACATATTTATTATACTATTCTGACAATTATTTTCATGCTTCAATATGATTTTATTTTCATGCCAAAAAAATGAAAATTTAAACGTACTATTCTATGACATTTTAATCACACTATACTCTGACATTTTTATCATTTATCAGACTGTATTTAGCTGTTTTTTTAGAGTAGTTTGTTGATCATATTGGTTTGATAAAAGTATCATAAAAGTATGTATCACATATGATACAAAAGGTATTAAAGGGATAAATAAAATAAACTGAATGCACCTGAAAATGGAGATGCATGTAAGGCGTGTTTTTTTTATACTAAAATTTGACATTTTTTTCATACTAAAATATGAAATTGTTAACATACAGTACAAAGACATTTTTATCATACTTTACAATGAGTTTTTTTTCATAATAAAATAAGATTTTTTTTCATACTAAAATGACATTTTTATCATACTATACTATGACATATTTTCATACAAAAATATGAAAAAAATACCATACCATTAAATATTTATTATACTATTCTGACAATTATTTTCATGCTTCAATATGATTTTATTCGATATCAAAAAAAGAAATTTTAAACGTACTATTCTATGACATTTTTACCGCACTATACTATGACATTTTTATCATTTATCAGACTGTATTCAGATGTTTTTTAGAGTAGTTTGTTGATCATATTGGTTTGATAAAAGTATCATCAAAGTATGTCTCAAATGTGACACAAAAAGCATTAAATAGATGAATAAAATATACCGAATGAACCTGTAAATGCAGGTACATATGAGTTGCTGCCTTTAACCATGAATTCTTCATAATTTGAGCATGCTCTGTGCATGTTGTATGATGTTTGTTACCTGCAGCGTGAGCCCATAAATCAGTGATCTGCCTCTGGGTCTCAGATCTGCAGAGAGAAGTGATGCTGCTGCAGCGCGTCCTTGTTAAAAATGCTCTCTGCGGTTTATGTGTCTGCTGGAACCGTGAACCACAGCCCAGGGATTTATACCACCTCATTACCAAGCCATCATAAAACTCTCATGTTTATAAATGTTAATACTCCTGATTTATATTTAAATGTCGTCTGTATGTAAGGCGTGTTAATGAGTAGGACTGACCCACGGACAAACAGGCGCACAGACGGAGATGTCAGATGAAAGGAGCATTGTGAAAGATGAATTCGCTCTGAGGATGACTTTTATTCCAACATTGTATTTGTTCTTCACTTCTTCTTGTTTGGCAATTTGTCTTGAAAGCTGCTGGTCCCATGTGGCAGATCTGCAACCAATTAATTATGGATATCAGCGCTGTATCCCCAGTCAGAGCCGGCGCTTTTTTCTGTCACTTTACTGCTGCTGGTGAGTCTTTGTTCCAGTGATAAATAGACTGACGTAAAGAAGAGTTTATGTGAGAGCATATCTCACTTGTGATGGCAGCTCACACATGCACTGATATCATCTGTCTGTGGAGGAGAAGGAGCGTCCCTCCCTCTGCTCCTCTCCTCAGGAGGTGACACACTTCCACATCAAAGCTGAAGTGTAGCTTATTAGTGTGGCAGTGTGAGACCGGTGCTACGGTTCAAACACTCATGCTCACTTTCAATTACACTTTTGAGACAGATTCATATTTAGATCTTGGAGGAATGTGATCATCAAAGCAAACAAAGCGCCACACGCTCGCCCTCCTCTCCCTCTCAGCATCAGACGAGAGCAGCTACAACTCCTGATTTGAGCCAATGAAGGAGTTTCATCGCAGCTCATAAATAGGGAAATTTCTATCCGCTTACGATCGACAAATCTGATACAGTCGCATCGCTCCACGTGAACAAGAACCTGGTTTTCATGAAAAGATATTCGATAGTTTCCGTGAAGAATGAAGGGTTGCTGAAAGTTTAGAGCAGATGGACTTGATAGCCATCAAACAAAGTGGGAACTTATCTGTAGCCAAACAAGATGATGCCCCCAGGTGCTAAAATCTTGGCTTTGCAGCCATGAAACCCTTTTTTGATTCTGGCTTTGCACCTCAGCGCTGACTGATCAAACACATCTTGTGCGTATGGGGTTGGGCAATTCAATTAGTAACCAAATCCAGCCTGCAGAGAACCTCAGAGGAGCCCCAACCCAACCAACGTACGTGAATGAAGCGATAACTGAACAGCACATACAGTGTGTAGATAAGTAAGCCATGTGACACTGGAGAAAACTGAATTATTGCCTTACTCGGATCAAGACTGGACAACTGAAGTGCATGTAAACACCTTAGTCCGAACATAATTTAAGTTTGAGAACTTGGATTATAGTCGGAGAACTTCGATTAAGACACCCAGATAATGCGACTGGAATTCGATTTTCTCTACCATGTAACCGGCGTAGTGGGGGTATGATTGGACAATGCATGTGTGCATGCGCTGCACCCCTGTAACCTCGGAACATAAACACCAGAGAAGAGGAGAAGCGTTTAACCTCATCTGCAGAAAAAGTAGCGTGAACATCATGTACGACAAAAACAGCGCTGTACGATGCTCCATCTTCTTGCTCTGGCACAGACCCGCTGTTTTTGTTAATAGTTGTATGGGGTCAATCGGAAACTTCGAAATTTTCAAATACAATGAAGCATGTTTACAATACCATATATTTTTCTGCTCATATATGAGCCAGAGCTGCTGCTGTTTCAAGTCCACAATCCACAGGTCAAGGGTCAATGCTGATTTGCATGCACATTTGCGCTCCATCTCAGTGAGCACCCATTGCTTTACCAGCGGACTTATCATACTGACAGGACCTGCAGTGTAACGTCTGGTGGGCTCGCTGTGGTGGTGTAAAAAATAAAATAATCTAACATTTTCCGAAGAGCTCCGGGAGAGTCACAGCTTCTTTCCTAAAAGTTCCAGGCAATGCAACATTTTGCACACATTGCAAGAGTCCATTTTCAGTCATCCGTGGTGGAAATGATGCATAAAAACCCACATTAAAATGAGCAAACACAGTGGGTACAGGCTGGAAGTAGCACTGTTGCAACCTACTGGCACTTCAGAGAGGCAAACATCAGTGACAGTCAGCTTGAACCTTCCTGCTTCATCAGCTCACACATGTGGGTTTGAGGTAAAATTAAAGTGTTCCTGTTCAGAGGGTTGGAAATATGGTCACTATATGTTATATTCTAATTTAGGGTCTGGTGGAAACCAACGCAGCAGGTACACCATAAATCAGCCGCTTCTTGAACGTTCACTTATAATCATCATGACTTGATGTCAAAGAAGAGCGTTGACATGTCTATTTAAACTCTTCTCTCCTGATTGTTTAAACCTCGTTTAGCTTTTTGTCTTGTCTTTACAGCCTCGGCTTTTCCTCTTTAGCTTTTCATCAAGCTGCTGTTTCAGCCACAGCACACAGACCCTGATAAACAAACGCAGCATGAGACCTGTCCGATACCGAGCGGTAGACAGACAAGTTAATGATTAGCCGGTAAACACAGACAGCTGTAAGAGCGGAAAAGTACAATCGGAGTTTGGTCCTATAGAAATATAAGAGACAGATGTTCAATCTAAAAATAAATCAAATTCAAAACAGAGTTAAAGAAGAGAGCTGACAGACAACTGTGAGAAAATGTTTACGTCTCTTTTGCACCTTCTGGAAATTCAACCAGCTGGAGCATCTTTGTAAGGTAGTGTTGTGTCGTTCATGAACGATTCCCTCAAAAGAACCGAATCTTTTAAGTGAACGTACTGGACCGAATCACTTCCTTGAATAATTGGTTTGTTTCTCACTTCAGTTTAACTGTCAGCAGCGCAGCCGGGTGAGCAGCCTGCGAGTGAGGGACCGCACGCACCGACGCCTGAATCACTTGGTGAACGAATCACGCAGTGAAACTACACTCTCTGGAATTATTTTTGTCCAAGGGATACACTTTCATGGCAACCGTTGATGACCGCAAGATAGCGATACACAGCGGTCTGAGGAGCCATAAACAAACCTCAACCAAAACGCCACTCTATAGACACAAATAATGCTCAGAACAGCACCTAACTTCATCAATAGGACATATAGGGTCCCAGACACAGCACTAGCCACCAAATATCTTTTTAGCTTTGTCTAATTTCTTTAGCAAAGAGACTAAACACAACTCACCTACTCTCTTCCAGCAGCCGCTTGTTTGTAGAGAGACCTCAGGCCAGTCTAATCAGGACTACAGCGGGGTGACGCAGCTCAAGGAAGAACATTTATGATCATTACTTTATGGAAATACAATCAGACCGAGACGCTAAGGCAGAAGAACTACCATGTCTGCAAAGCAAAATGATTAATATGGTGGTTATTAATTTAAGGAAATTATAAAGTAATGATCATAAATGTTTTTCCTTGAGCTGCATCACCCCGCTGTAGTCCTGATTAGACTGGCCTGAGGTCTCTCTACAAACAAGCGGCTGCTGGAAGAGAGTAGGTGAGTTGTGTTTAGTCTCTTTGCTAAAGAAATTAGGCAAAGTTAAATAGATGTTTGGTGGTTCGTACTATGGCTGGGACCCTATATGTCCTGTTGATGAAGTTAGCTGCTGTTCTGATTATTTGTGGCTATAGAGTGGCGTTTTGGTTGAGGTTTGTTTATGGCTCCTCAGACTGCTGTGTATTGCTTTCGTGCGGTCGTCACTAAAGTTGGTTGAGAAGCCGTCGGCAACACTCATCTCTTGAGGGGGTGACTAACTCTGTGTTACGGTGTGTTTGACCCTAACTTAATTTTACGCCAGAATATCCCATACACAGCAGAGTCCAGCCTTTCTACTCAAACAAACTGTCCTTGGTAAGGCTCATTTTTATACAATGTTAAGCTGTGTCAAACTTGACATGATTCAGGGTTTTTCTGCTGCTCTTGTTGACGTGGCAGCTAATGTGTTCGCATCATAATAAATGAAATACTTTCTGATTTTTTAGCGATTTGAACATCTGATTAGTAAAACCTCTAAAAAGATGTTCCTGAGACTTGAGAGTCTGCAGAGCGGAGCAGCAGCTGCAGGGATGAGTGATTTCCTCTACGGACCTTGTCAATATTAATATCACTTTTCACTCCATTGTGAATAAAAGAAATATATCACCAAGACTTAACTTCTTTTGACACTTTGCCTCAGCCGTGGTGGTTGCCATTTGGATGAACCTGCTCCAGCCTTTCAGTCGGAGTTATTTCAGAGTGATTTTCTTCCCTCCTTGTCTGGCGCTGAGATCCGAGCCCCCCGCCTCCTCGACAAACACACACACTCAAACACACACCTCCCACAGTGAAGGCATAACCGCGCACACACACATATAACCATACATCTTTCCAACTGCCAATCAAACGACGGTGGAGAGGAGACGGTAACACCCGGAGTTTAACCCTTTACCTCTGGAACGCTTCCCAAAAATTCAGCTTAATAACTTTTGGTTTTGAAGAGTTATGTTTTTTCAAGTGGTGTCACTTTGAGTCGGCATATAAAATCACTATTTTCATTGTGCATTCGATCAAACGCTTCTCGCTAAAACAATCAAGGAAGAGAGCTGCGCATTTGAAAGTGACACCGTCTCTGCTGTTCTTGTTTGCTGAACCTAAAAGTGTTTTTCTGTGTATTCCCGGGATGACGCGGCCTTTTAGCTTGTCCCCCGGCAAAGCGGCCCAGCTTGTAGCTGTTGTTTTTTTTCACCCTGCGAGGTGTTTCGGCGATCAAGCCGCCCCGCCTGGTGGTCCTGTTGCGCGGCGTTTGCTGAGCTGCAGAACAACTAGGGGATGAATGAGCTGTGAAGTCCCGGTGTCAGCGCAGACAACCACCTACGGTCTCCAGAGGGGCGCCGTATGTGATTGCCACCGGCGTTCTTCTGTTCCCTTTGATGCAAAACATTCATCACCTGACAACAGTTTGCACCGTCACTGCCTCTTTTCTTCTTCTTCTCTGGGAACATCTTGATTCAAACAGGGGAGCAGATTAAGTTAGAAGAAACATGCATGGCTTTTGTAGAACTGGATTATTTTGGAAAAGCTTATTTTTTCTGAGTGTGTGTGTGAGTGTGTTCGGTGTGTGTGTGTGTGAAGTGGAAATTCATGAATTAAAGATGAGGCTGGAGTTCTGCTATTGCTGGTGGGTTGCTGGCACTGAATTTTAAAAAAGCTGGATCTCTTCAAATATCTGCGGACGCCGTTCACACTTTCACACAGAAACTCGACGTATGTTTTCATCGCTCAGAACCTGAACTCCTATAAATCAAACAATACGACCGGTCTTTACCCTGAAAATCAAACTTCCCACCAATCAAAGGTGTCCCTGCCGTTGTCATGACAACCCCGACTACAGCCTCTCCACCAAATCTGAAGAAAAGAGAAAAAAACAACAACAACAACAAGCAATTCCCAATTAGCAGGATAATTAAAGGAAAAACAAGCGAAAAATAAGAGAGAGAGGCACCTTTATAGTGTTCCCCCTCGCAGCATCTCCGGGTCTTCACGCTCTGCTGAAAAGAACAACGGGAGAGTCATCCTCGCCATAATGCGTCATCAGAGGACGCGTGTGGGAGAATATTTCACGGATAATTGAGCTGGTGTGATGCCGGGCAGTGTCGTCGTCTGGGGGAAAGATGGCAAAGGGCTCGTAAGGAGAACAATCACAGAGACTTAACAAGCTCTCACTGCTTTCTCACATCGCTGTAATTAAACCGCGATGGTGGAGCAGGCAGGGAAAAGAGCGAGCAGGAGAGTTTCGTGGGGCTGCACTTTGGAATCTAATTTCTTAGTAATTGGAAATGCTCGTTTTCTAACCGCAGTAGGAATCTTCAGTCTGGTGCCGGCTGTTTAGATGAAGATGAGAAAAATCATGCACAAATTACTGTAGTCTTGAGTAATCCTCAGCTACTTACAGAGCTGGGTAATGTTTAGCTAGCAAGCCTCAACAAAAGGCCTGAGCTCAACAGAAACCTAGTCTGCCGTCTGAAGTCTTCGGGACTTTAAACTCTGTGGAGGACTCGTTAAACTAAGACGGCGCCTCTTTAACAGCTTCTTACTGTTGAACAAAAATGAGAAACATCAGCGGAAACTGATACTGTGAAATTTAGTGTTTATTATAGGCTGACCAAACGTCCTCTTTTACCCGGATGTGTCCTCTTTTTTGAGGGCTGTCTGGCTTCTACGGAGGGAGTTTATAAATTCTTCAAATGCCCGGGGTTTTGTCAACCGGCCTAACCCAAAAAACACTCTAAATTTTACGCGCGACTTCGCCCCATGTAGTAGTGTCCTCTTCTTGGGGATTCAGAATAAGGTCACCCTAGTTTATTGGGACGGTTCTCGTTGCCAGAGGTTGAGGACCTTGCCTCATTTATCTCCTCACACTCCAGTTTCACCTCAGCCCCGAATCAGCCCAAAACTCCAGAGACAGACTATGAACAAGCTCTCCATCATGCGCACTCTCTTCTGCGAAAACTTAACCTCTTTCTTTGGATAATCCTAAAATGGGAAGTCCCTTCAGTTCTGCTCTTTAGAGAGATAGGATCTGCTTGTCAGACAGAACCAAAACAGTGACCTGATTGTGTTTTTAGGAGCACAATTAGGGCTGCATGATTAATTGTTTTGAATTATAATTGGATCATTTGTTTATGACAATGTTACCAAAATTGAATTCCTCTCTATCATGTCTTCAGGCCACCATAGGCTCCCCCTTCCTGCGAGAGCGCTCCCCAGTTTCCACACCCACTAGTGTAAACAAACACGGTGTTGGCGAAAGAAGGCGATAATTTCGTGGCTAAATAGGACAAGAGCGAGTCAGTCGTGTGGAGTTGGTACGACTTCACAGTTTCAGATGAAGAGCAAACCACTCCCCGCTGCAAAGTCTGTCTGTCAACCCGTCCACACGGAAATGAATTCAGGAGTAAATGCAAAAGTTTTTTTGTCGTATTGGCATTTCATCCACATGGAAACAGCGTTTCAGGTGACTGTAAACGGTTCTTTTTGAAAACAGGTCAGAGAGTGCATGAATCTGTAAACAACAAGATGCCTATCTGCATCTCTTGAAATGATCATGTGACACACAGGGTAACCCCCAATTTCCACCGCATCCCGAACGCGAAAAGGCTGTATTCGGCAGTCATAGCTGATCATAACCGTTCAAGTCCATGTGTCAATTTTTACCGGCTTCTTTCTGTTCCGTTTCGGATCGCTGAACTCTGCAGCCTATCGCAGGAGTTTTATTTTGCCTTGGCGTGTCCGGCCAAAACAACCTTTATACATATGCTCTGTACTCTTCTTCTGTCTAATGTGCATTTTCTCAGCAGCGTTACAGCGCTACTTACTGGCTTGGCATATGCACGACATCGTTTTCAGTGGTTTTATTTTGAGAGATGATGGAAGAACTTTTTAATTTTAAAGTGAAGTTTGGTGAAGTTGTTGAATAAAAAATTGAAAATCGAGTCTTGGGAGAAAAAAATCTGGATTTTTTTTTGGCCAAAATCTTGCATCCCTAAACTCAATAGGAGGAAAGTTGAGCTTGTTTGAACCAGTCAGCTGTGTAAATAGTAGCACACCTACCTGCGGGTATCCAAGATAACGGTTTGATTCATGGTACGACCAAACCACATATTAAGGATAATAAAGAGACTTGTGCCTCATCACTAGCAGCCCTGATTCACAAGTACACAACAGAGCTAAGATTTAGAGGCGGACAGACATCTCCATCTCTATCGTTTGATTTTTTTTGCGAAGGCAGATGCGAACAACATGGAGAGCGACACTGTGCAGCAACTCTGAGTGAGGAAAATAACAAAAGCAGACAGCTAAACAAGTGCAGATAAGAAAACGCGTGGTTAAGGGACACTGGAGGTTAGATTTTAAGTGTCACTTTAAGTATCTGTCAACAGCAGCGTGCTCGCTAACATAAGCCTCAAGGACTAACATGTTTATCGTCGCTCTGCAGCTCCATCAGCTGTTGTAGTCCCACTCTTAAAGCAGTTTAATCATTCCTCTGATTTTCTGTCCTTAATATCAGCCGTGCTTTTAAACGGAGGGGCAGCTCTGTAGCCTGCAGGGCCACTTCACCAAATTGGTGCTTTTTTTTTGCTTGCTGTAACTCTTCAGAAATGCACTTCATTTTTTCTTTTTTACTTTTAACACTGAAGCTTTTAAAGCTCGAATCTGTGTCAGGACACTCTCATTTTTGAACAAGCTTTAAAGTGCGTATCGTTGTGAAGTTTTGATGCAACAGGGCTGAGTAAAAACTAACTCAAATGTTGAATCGATATGAACAGCCCAGCTGCTTCAGACAAGAACCAAAATATCAAACATTGACTTGATTTTCTGCAAGAATTTACCATCTATTTTTTTCACAACACAGCCACACTAAATATCAGTCATTTTTAAAATTGATATCAGTTTCAGAAAGGTTATTTCACAAGGTGCACGGCTGGATCTGTAGACCTCTTAGACAAGAGAGTTCTTTGCAACCCATCAGAGTCCAGGACAAGATTTATCTTAAAATGAGTAGTCCAAAAGCCCGACTGCACTCTGGATATTATAAAGTATGATCTTTATAAAGTATGGCATCCACAAAACCCATACTGGAAAGACGGTCGGATGTTAAATCTTCCGCATATCAGATCTCTGGAATTGGATCACTGTGATACCATCAGAAAACGGCGTTGAGATATTTATCCAGTATGACTGATGCCGCACATGTCGCCACATATGCCGGCTCGGTATTTTCATGCTTCAGCAAGAAAGACTGATTTAGAAATACATGACTCAACCACGGAGGCCATATCTCATGATATGCGGCGTGTGAGACACTGGATGAATCTGGACGCACTATGAGGGAATTTCTGCAGAGTAGGGGAGACCGGGGCTTGTTCTCACACTTTTTACACTCTTATATATATATCTTGGAATCAATACATCATATATAAACAAAATGTGAACCAGATGAAAGACAAAAGTCTCAGGTATATAGGTATATATAGTTGCCCCTGAGAATTAGACAGGCCTCCTCGTTTCCTGTTTTTAAATCCCTTTTAAAAACGCACTTTTACTACTTGGCTTTTAATACATTTTAGTGTTATTTTGTTTGTTATCATCTTAGCACTTGATGTGAGCCTGCTTATTTACATATTTATTTATTTATTTTTTTGCATTAATTTATTTTTGCTCACTTTATCTTGTTCTTTGATTGTTTCATCTGTTTTTATGTGTCATTGTGCAGCACTTTGGCTACCCTCGTGGTTTTTAAAAAATGTGCTATAGAAATAAAGTTGATTGATTGCTTGATTGATCTCAGCTCACAATGTTCTCTTCTCTTCTCAGACAGGACACGACCCCTGATCATCTAAAGGAATAAAACTAGTATTCCACTTTTTAGTTGCGCCCTCTGGTGGCAAAGATAATTGTGATGTGAAAATTTACCCAAGCCCTGGTCTCCCCTATTTCTTGATAAATCAGAGAAAACCAAGATTCCTGCAGTAACTGAGTAAATAAATCTGTTGACTACAAGGGTTTCGGTGCAGCGCTCTGCCAGCTTTAGTCAAGTTTTTGAGAAATTATTGAATAAAGCATAAAAAGAAGACAAACGGTAAAAAAGTTCAAACCAGGACAGAGTCATCCGTTTTACTGTACCAGAGCTGTCACAATAGATTTCTGCTTTCTCTGATAGCTTGACGTTTTCATTGGCTGAAAAACGATCGGCTTAATTTGGGTTATAACGTCGTCAAAGTCCCCTCCGATCAGATTTACAGTGACAAAATGAACTATAAAAACCATATTAGTGAATAACAACCGAATGAAATGATCGCCGGCCATTAAAATGAAGGACAGATGGTTCATGGGTAAACAGAGCGATGCAATAAAATATAATGCAAACAAGGAGCGAGCAAACACAAAAAGAAATGGGTTTGAAGACAAAGATGGTGGATGAGTGATTGTTTGTGCGGACTCGATCAGCCTTTGAGTACACACGAGGAGAAATAATCACAAAGAAAGTTTACTTCATCTTCTCTGGGAAATAAGAGGGTTTATTTGTTAAATCAGAAGTTTTTATTGTTTATGGCTGCGCGGCTGCTACACTTTGGGGAAGCTTCTGGAAACTTCATTGATTATGTGTTAGTGTTTGTTTACAGGGCTGATCACCCCTGACAATCGCTGAACTTTTAGTTACCTTAAAAGGTCTGCGGGAGGAAAACATGTTTTTCTGCAGACGGCGCTGCGGTGGGTAAGGCCTCATTTCTGAGCGGAGTAATGAGAGTCCATCATGGAGGCTGACGGAGAATCGGGGTCAGAGAGATGAGTGAGAGGATGAGAGACGCTGATGTTTAAAGCAACGGGTAATATCTCTGAGCTCTGGGAGGAAATCGATGCCAATAACTGGATTTGCTTACAAAGATTTGTTTCTACTGGATGCTTTTCACACTTCTCTGCCTTGGGATGTGATTTTAAAGAGGATCCTTGACATTTTGATTTTTCACTTGGCTACATGCTGCATGATTCCCCTGTTGTGAGAAAGCAGGAACTGCCAATTCAGTTTCTCTGTAATGTCTTTTTGGACCGGAGTATTTATTTCCTACAGCCTGAGCG